TAATTCTTAGGTGACTATCTTCTAATTTCTCCCAACAACATCACTCCTGAATCAAACATTAAGGTTATGAGAATATAAGAAAAGATCACCAACGAAAGAAGCTCTTCACTGTTCAAAAAATCCTCTTTACCAACACCTCAGGAAATGTATAGAGAACAGTAAGGAGAATACGCAAACTGATGTTAGGGTGTAAAGGGTTTACACGCATATTTATTATTACGCATTGTTTCATCCACTGCCGAGCCTAACGATCCACTAAATATATAGACCTGAGACTTAAAGATTATGGGTCGATTATTCCTCGCCATTTCATCCACTGAAGGGCCGAACGAGCCAAACGAGCCACGAGATATATGCTCCTTCAAAAGTGGCCATGTATTGTGTAGTTGCTCCTAAGATTACGACATCATGAGAAGAGGTTGCGAGACAAGTGACGTCAACAGAAGGGATTACAACTGAGATAAATTTGTGGACAGAGATAGAAAGGGTACAGAGGATGGCGAAAATTTCTTTTCGAAATTTCCGCGAACAATAACGGTAACATTTTTATTTGAAAGTATATTTCACGAAGATCGACAAAAACTATAAAAATTGGCAACTTAAACGTTTGAGTGTGCTTAGAGATTACATACCAACCTCTTCTCGGAAATGTGAGGAACAGTCAACAAGGCATGTACAAATTATGATCTTTGGTTGGAGCTGTTGACAATTCACACGCTTTTCTATAAAATGAATCCTCTTCTATGGAAGACATGATTCAGGCATCTGCTCGTTGCGAATATATTCAAGTCACATTAGAAAAGAGTAGATGTACACGGAAAACTGTGGGTTGGATACTGTCAATAACCTGCGTGCGCAGAACGGAAGTGGCTTTCTTCGCACAGTCTCACAGTCACATGATCATTCAGTCTTTAGACATAAAATAATCAAAACATTTAAAGCAAAATTTTTCCTTCCTTGGATTTTTAGCTTAGCATATGGACAAATCAACTCCGAGAGATGACAAAATGTGAAAAAAAGGGTAAAACCCACTTTTTTCGAGTCCCAAAGAGGTCTTATTTAGATTTTGAAGTAGGTTCGTAGACTGGGAACGAGTTAACCGGTGATGACGCACAAAACGGAAGTTGTAGTGTCACAGACTGTGCCACAAAGAGTGTTTTGGGTATCCCCGAGTTACCCAAAACACCAATGTTCTGGGTATCCCTAGAACTGGCCCAAGTAACGTGGCTTCCTTCTTTATTTGTTGCGGACAAAGTTCCGAATTCGTCTTCCCTTCTCTTCTCCTAATAAAAACACGTATACCGCGGATTCTTCCACAAGGCGGGTGTAGAGACACAAGCTTAAGTTTTATCCTAACCCAAAGCGCACATAATAGGATACAGATCAAGACATTTTTCAACTGTAATTAAAACTTTATTGATGTAAGATTGCATATACTTCTCTCCATCTCCTGGCCCAATTAAAAGACCAATATCATCTCCCTATTTAAAAGTCATCTTACGTAAAAAGTAAAGGTACATGAAAACACATACACATACAAAGATGAGTGGCACAATCACCATACCCACTTCTGTAACATGTATGGAAAATGTGAAAATTGCTAGTTTGGGACAAAATCACTTCTTTAGGTCTGTTTTAAATTCACATTTACTATTACAACTGATTTATTTCAAACTATTTTAATTTTGTCACATTTGATTCAAATTTGTATTTACCCATAATTCCTTGTGGGCGTGGTCTTTTTCACAAATAATCAATTTCGAGTTCACTGACATAGTAAAAAGTAGAAATAATAACATTTTGTATTACATGGAGGCTAGTATCTCCCTAGTAAGATCAACTGGCACTCTAAAAACTGACTTTCTGCCTCTTTTTACAACTTGAAGATCACATCACCATTTTTCTCTTGGAAATTCAGCTCTCTTTTTGCGATTCTTTTCATTATATTTTAGATTCCTTAGCCTATTCTTTTCCTGCTTTTTCCTTCTCCACTCTTTGATCCTCGCAAGCTTTTCTTCCTTTTCGTTAACCATACCTCTTGTCAAGCGCACTTGAAGCGATATTTACAGATGGCTAAATCTCAGAAAAATTATTGAGCTTGAAGACCCCCGACCCTTGATAACGTCGCAGAAACCAAAATAAGAAAGGTTACCAAGCTATTTTCGACACGGAGATGAAAAGATGAAGGCGAAAATGGCGGAGCAAACAGCAGATTTCATAGCGCTTTTGGTGGCATTTGTGTCGAGACTCCGTTCTCAATATGGCGTCAACATGGTAAGAAGCGTAGCGACTTGGTCAAAAGTGAATATTTTGGCGGGAATATATATAACGGCGTAATATGCGACTAACACAGTCTATATACTGGAAGATTTTACGCCACCAACCCAGTCGGTGATTTAATTATAATAAATTAAAATATAATAAATTTATATTACTGGCGTAAAATGTTACATATATATATATCACCGACTGGAAGAAATTACGCCGTTAGTTACTGGCGTAAAATCTTCCATATAAAACTACCGACTGGAAGAAATTACGCCGTCAGTTATTAATGTGTTTTTGTTCCCACAGGATTCCAGTTCAGTCATTCTGCGGACAACAACTTGGTGTACTTCCAAATTCTGAAACCCAGCGTTACACAAAGGATGCTTAAGAATGATGAATCTTTTCTATGCGTTTTAATAAACTTGAAATGTCAAAGTTTTGCTCAGATGTAGTGTTTATTGTGTGTTATCATTAGGTGTAATTTGTTTGCTCAAACGAGCTTTCTTTTCAGTGAAAAATGTATTTAAAAAATTTTACCGCTGAGATTGTGTTACGCGTTACAACCAAAATTGGCTCGATTTTTCATCTTTCACGGGTATTTTCTCAAAGACAGTAATGTGGTTTTCTGATTTTTTGCTTTTACTATAATTAATAAGAACAACTTTACCTGCAGAGATTCCAACCCTCCCGATTTGATCGGGAGTCTCCCGATTTGATGTCTTGCCTCCCGCTTTCCCGATTTTTACCAAATTCTCCCGATTTATCATAAAATTCTGAAAACTTGGGGAAAATTGCTAATCTTTAGAATTTTTGGCGATCTGTCACTGTGAAACACTCATATTATACTTACTTTCTTCGCGAAGAGCATTATGGTATGTTATAACTCAGGCCGGAATGATGTCAAAATTCAGGAAATGGCACTTGAGAGAACCTAAATTTGCAAAATTTCCCGGGGGCATGCCCCCTGACCCCCCTAGAAGCTCGTGCCTTTGGCACTAATAATTACTCCCTATTTTCCATCACATGGGATTGGAATCTCTGGATTTGGCTTTGATGAAAATGTAAAACAGAAGAAATCATTGAAAGTTTGCAGTCAACCCCCTATGGGCATGGTGATTGTGCTACTCATCAAAAGTAAACAGTAAAAAAATGGAAGGAAATATTGAGATAGCTGACCTTGAGGAATACTAAGAGCTCAGCAGCCATATTGGAAAGGATTCCTATATTACTATGGATTTGAGTATCCCCCCTATTTTAAACTTATGGGTGACCAAGTAATAATTTCATTTTCAATAAATCACACATTATAGATAAATAGGAATGAAAAAGTGTTTATCATAAGATTAGGGAAATACCCAAGTCATCCACCATGAATATAATGGCCCCATCTGAGACGGAATGCTCTTATCACCATGCAGGGATGCGGGTATCCTCTCACATTCCAAGCTAAGAGTACACAAACCTTAATTCCTTTTTTCTTCCAATTACACAATGGCACTGTACTCTATATAATTGGCCTAATGGAATGTATACCATGCCAACTGAGAAGTATTGGTGTTCCATACTGTAAGGGATACTCTGATCACTGGGAATTGGGTATTTGTTCCTCTTCAAAATGCTGGTTGAAAAAATTGTAACTTCCTTTCCCCTTTTATAGTATTTACATGATTATGCTTACATCTGTACCCTGGGAACTGCCAAAATATTCTTTAAAAGTTTAATGCTATTAATGCCAATGCTACTTTGACCAGTGGTCTAAAACAAGGTAAAAGAGCATGTCATATCTGGTGAACAGAATGTACTCAGAATGATAACACACCAGAACCCCACTGACTCAAACTCCTGAGGGAAATCGGAAATGCTTTGAGATAGACAGGGTTCAACTTAGCTGACAGTAAATAACTGAAATGATGGGGTGAAGGAAAACAGATTTTGTTTGAGTTACTGGGAGGTTCTGAGTGATGCAAGTTTGAGTTAACATGGTTCCACTGTATACCCATTTAGGCCCTTTTTGATAGTTCAGGCAAGGAAGTCATGTCATGGGTATGCAAAGATTTTTATGAGTATAATGAGTTATATATGGGTACAAGTTATCCATGGGTATATGCAAAGATCTTCATGAGAAATGCAGGGGTGTCTGTGGGTGTACAACAGTATTTATGACTGAAAAATAGTTTTTAACCCTTTAACTTGTGAGATCTGATGGTTAATTCTCCCCTCTAGCTGCTACACATTTCCTTGTAAATTAGTTATGAGAATTTTGTGTAAGATCAAGGCAACAAATTCTACCTAATAAGTTTGAGCATTCTCATAACATGTTTGCTGAAAAATATACAGATATTTTAGGGAAAAGTTGCATGTTAATCACTTTTGAGAGTTAAAGGGATAAGAATTTACAGGGGGTATTATTTATAGGGTGCACTTTATTGCCAAATAAGTGTGAATATTGTGGGATATGTGGATGCCTATATGATACCTTGACACGAATTATATACCCTTCTCCACCCAAATATAAATTTGCCTCCACTGGGGTGGGGAGGGGGGAAGGGAGGATTAAGGAGAGAATCATTACAGATAAAGGCTTATGACAAAGTCCTTTGAGCAATCTTTATTTAGAGTTTATTTGCCAAAGGCATGTGCATTTTGTTTTATTGGAAAACTACTGTTTTTTAAAGAAACAATAAATCCAAGCTGCAAATACAAGTATATTTTCTACTGAAATGCTACTTAGCCCTAATGAATGACCATACAGTATAACCATTTGCATAGCAATAAGGTTGCATCAACATTTATCCATGTAATTTAATTTTGAAGTTTTCACTCAGCTGGAAAAGGGAGAAGACACTACTCATGTGAAATTAGAGTTTAGCTTCAGACCACTTTCCTTCAAATTGATAAAAACATCAGACTAAGAAGACAGTTGACACAAAAAAAAATCCAAACTGTACGCAGATTCCATATCTGGTGCATAACCTGAGGTAATAAATTGTGGAAGAATTACCAAAATTTTAAGATATCAGTCTTGGATGATCCCAACTATAATTTCTTATTAATGAAGTGTGAGGGCAGTACTGGCCCAATATTGTGGAATTACAGCCAAAGGGCAGCAAGGTCCATACAAAAATGATTGAGGGCTAATTTTTCTACAGTACAGCTTGATCAAGCAGGGTTAGCAAGTAGCTTAACACAGTGTATATGGTACTTGCATCAAACTTGTTTTTTTTTTTAAATTACCAGCATTTGCAAAAATAGTTACACATCTCATGACCATATAAGACAGTCTGTGTGGCAAAATCTGGACCATGAAAGAACCAATTGGAACCCTCAGATTTACCTCAGGGCTGGGTTATTTAAAAGGGGGTAAATGTTAATCTAGGATTAAAAGTAAACATTGGTTTCAATTTCTTGTGTAGAAGAGCGCATATAAGATTTAGGCTTTTATTGGGTTTTATCTCATTATGACAAAAAAATGATGGGGAAAAATCCAAACAAAAAATTCTTTTGCAGTGCTATAAAACCAAATTTAAAATTTACACCAACACTTTACTCGTGTTTTGAACAACCCAGTCCAGGACTACCTTACCATATATCAATATAACTTATCTTACCAAAGCTAACTCATAGCTTAGTTCAAAGGAGTGAATCTGGGTTGACTGTTGATTGATTTCTTCTTGAGGAGTGGAAATCCTGAATCAGACACTGCTTTACAACTATCTTTGAACAGCACCTACAATTTTCTCTATGACTTAGTGAACAGCATTTTTATCTTTGTGTACCCACTATTGTTACAATAAGACTAAAACTCCTGCATCAGCATTGCTTTTTTCAAAGACTTCATCCATACAGCAAGGATTGAAAATTTTGGACTGTATATATTACACTGTAGCATAATATACAGTGTTACTGATGTGGTCTGTGGGAGAATTTAACAAAGTTCATGTAACCACGCTTCTGAGCTCCAGTGGACAGGTACACTGGCAATGTTTCATCTACAATTTTCTCATTACACAAACATATTAAGTAAACATTCATATACACGACAAAGACAGAATTTGTCATGAGCATTTCATGATGGGTTAATTATATTTTGGACTAAAATACACTTTCCTTCTCAGCATGCAGACTTGGCAGGGTATTTGCTTGAGGCCTGTTTTGCTGAAATAATTTGCAACATGATTGTTGACTCTCAGCATCATATCCATAAGATGCTCCCTTTCTGCATACTCTTTAAAAATTGCCACAACTGTTGAAATGAACCAAGAACCAAGCTCTGGCTGCCTGTAGCTTTGGTGACCAGGGGCAGAGGCAAAACAGATCAGAAAATCAGCATCAGCTGGAAGAGATGAGCTTGCACATGGAACAGGCTCACTGTCGCTCTCAATAGGTACCCTATCCTGTCTATTGCCACGGCAAGCTTGGATCAGAAATATTTTTGGTTTCCCCTCAAGAGAAGGACATGCATCTCGGCGAAAATTGGAAGTGATTGCTTCAATTTTAATCTTCTCATCATCAATTCCAAGAATCCCATCTTGGAGACCATGGCTGAGGATTACACACAAGAAACAATCATATCTGCTGAAGTCTTTCTCTGCAGTTTCACTGAGTATTTCCACCATCTGACTTTGAGTCAAGTTATTTGCAATTCGGGTTTTGAAGTTGAAATCATCAAAGAGGCTACAAAGATTTTTCACATCTTCCTCTGACCCATGGCGTACAGCCTCCTCCCTCTTAGGGAAGCTGTAGTTATGAATTACTAACACATAACCAGACTTTACTTTTAAATCAATATCATCCCCAGACTCTTGAAAAGGTGCATGAGCTAGAAAAAAAATAAGTGAAATGAATAAGTGAATTCAAATGACTAAGTTTCCGTTTGGATTGAAGGACTAAGCACAGAGAGGAAACATATGAGACAATTAAAAGATCTGATCTTACTTTTTTAACTCTTCAACTCCCAGAAGTGATTAACATGTATCTTCTCTTATAACATCCATACATATTCCAACAAACAGGTTATGAGAAGACACAAACTTATCAGGTAAAAATGGTTACTTAATCAAATACCAAATTCTTGTAACTAATTTACAAGGAGATGTGTGGCAGCTAAATGGGAGAATTAACAATCAGATCTCGGGAGTTAAAGGGTTAAGACAGTAAAACTATGGAGTAGCTCCTTTAATCTTGTTGCTACCAACCATGACCATAAAGGAAATTCTCCTTACAGTCTCAACACAATTTTAAGCAAAAGAAAGATGAGAAGTCTGAAAAATTTAACCCAGATTTTAATTTGGAGAATAGTGTTAAATTTCACCTTAATTTACATTATTGGAGCTGAAATATTTAGAAATGAATGGCAGACCACCCAGAAAACAGACATTGGAAAATGTAAACTCGATAAATAAACTCTACTTACCACTAGTTTTAGTTCTTGCTGCTTGCTCTGGGGTGTGCTCTTGGTTTAGTACTCCTAACAAAGTTACAAAGTCAGTCAATTATCTTTGTAATAATCTGTGGTTACTATCAGGTAGGCTTCCAACAATAACTTTCTAGATTTTCAATAAGCTAGGTTGTAGATAACAGAAATCACGCAACATGTAAGGCAATGCTTCATAATCCCTACTATGTTGAAAAAAAACACAAAACACAATTTTCTGATGTATTTCACCTTATTGATCATAAAAATGACATCAACATCATTTAAAACTTTGAGGTGAAACCTCAGACTAGGCCTTGTGGTTTTCCATGCCACTTCTCTGATCAATAAGGTTTTAAGACCAAGACAGAATCTCTCCCTATAATATCAATACAATATCAAGAGTGACTAGCATCTAATTTCTTCTTACAGGATCACCCTGAATAAAACATTAAGGTCATGAGAATAAGGGAAATGATCACCAACTAAAGAAGCTCTTGAATGTTAAACAAATTCTCTTTTCCAAAACCTTAAAATAATTGTACAAAGATTTAAGTATGGAGAATAGCTATACTGATATGAGGGTGTAAAGGGCTAACTAGACAATGGAAAATTGTGGTCAATTTGTGCAAAGTCGGTTTACCTAAGCCTGAGATCTCAAAAGAAGGCGATTCGTGAAGCAAATAAATGCAAATGCAACCGTCATGATTACTCTTTTACAAAGTTGTTGCTATTTTAGGAGTTGGAAAGGGGTTTTCTCATTTCATTTTCACTTAGGAGGTTTCTCTCAGTAATCAAGGATGTAAGTAAATCTTTGACCGGTATAACAGAAACCCATATGAAAAGAAGAGCCAAAATGCAGAATAAAATGAGGTTATCATAAATGACACCGTATTAATTAATTCCTGGAGTATAACTCTTCAAGCTCCTTCCGATTTTTTCGAGTTGAGTGAACGAATTAAAACTGTGTACTGCATCGTCGAGGTTTTAGTTTAGATGATGTAGTTCGAGCGGGAGAACAGGAAATGAAGTAATGTTTGAAAAATAACGTAGGCGGAAAAATTAAGTGGAGAAAGAGGCAATTTGCCGTGATGTGGGCCGGTAACATGGCTGACTTGGCTAACAATTGATACTCAATCGATTTTCTTTGATTTTAAACTACATCAAATCAGGTTTGATATTGTTCCCACTATAACGTATTTAAATGAAAGATTATTATCATGTTTCGAACAAGCCACAAGTTATGAATTATTCTGATTCATGTGTCGAAGCACCGATCGAAAACTTCCCTCACAAACAGAGAAAGTTGCGTACCTTCTGATATCTTACCAGTCGGCCCAATAGTCAGTTTCGCATGATCACCAACCACGACAGCTCCTTTACACTGTTCTACATTTACATTGAATTTGGCCATGCTAGAAGGTTTTCCAGTCAAAAACGGTGCGTAAAGACCAAAGTAACGACTCTCACGATAAACGACGGAGCGAAGCGGAAGTAAACGAAAGGATGGGATTGTGAGTGGTCAGCGGAAAACACCAAGTAAGAGTTATTCATTCGAAGTCTTCACGCTAAAATTTAGCATTTAGGAGGGATCGACCCCTGTTCTATTTAATTACTAGAGACCTTAAGCAAACCACGACGGCGATGGCAACGAGGACATGGAAAAACAAAAGATATGATGGGTAGAACAATAGCTCAGCACGTGCGTTTGTACATTTCTGAGCCGTCCTATGCAAAACAACAACGTGAAATCACCACAATTTGCGTCGTCTACGAACCGAAACCGCGACGGCAAATTATTTTAATTTCTATTTGGAACTCAACGCTTTTTTGATACGTTATGCTGAAGTTGAGGTGTGGCGCTGTATGAGACGGTAATCACATGCAGCCACTTTTGAAATTCTAATTATAGGCAGAAATTTCATTTTTTAATAGAAGTCTTCCTTGGCGTTGCCGTCCTGACCGCTTAAGGTCCCTACTGATTGGAGGGAGAGGTGGCTATGCATAAGCAACCCTTTCCACATGCTAACGGGAGGCGCCCAGGGGAATAAAATGGGTTCTTTTTAGAGATGGAAAAAGGGTGCTCTCTACTTTCAGTTGCCCTTATAGGCCTCTCTTTTAAAGAAAAAATTATGACTGTAACAAAGCGTCATTTGTGTGGTTATTTCGATTTTTCGAGGGTGGATAATTTCGATTTCAGACTTTGGCAATCGACGGAAACTTATCATAGAGGGAAAAATCTGCGTCGCGTTTACTATGTATTTTTTCGCCAAATCTGGCTTAACTGATACGTTCACTTGGCAAATAGTGCAAATTTTCAAATGTTCTTAGGAGTGGGGATAATTCAGCAAAACTCAATAAACAATACTGTATATGAACTTAATTAGCAACAGGCGGCTGGTTAATAAATATTCTTACCTTCATGTGGTGCAACTTGCACGGTGGCATAATCACTAGCAACAATCTGCGAACAATTTTCTACAATTATGTTGAACTTGGACATACCAGAAATAAGCTTCACTCAAAAATACTTCTGATGTGTACGAAATTGTCGAGGATGTTTCGTGATGTTGGAAAGAAGACGGGTAGCATCCGGAAGTAGTGGCAATGTTATTGTGGTCAGCGGGCTGCACCGACTGCAATCAGGCAGGTTTTGCGTCACACTCTTGCTTTTAAAATTTCTCACAAGTCATCTTTCTGTTTTGTTTATGTTTTCGATTCAAATCGTGATTACATGCAAAATTGCCGCGCTAGTTGATATCAGGTGAGAGATGGCCGTGGAAAAGATATGGGTGGAGGCTATGGGATCTAAATATGTCTACTCCTTTAATCCCAGAAAGAGTACTAATATTTGAGAAAATGACCGTGTCCTATGCTGGTGAAGGACCACCTTCTACCTCCCCATCCCCCAACCTCCCTCATGTCAGAGGTCAGAACTGCTTAATCTTAGCCAGGTTTATGGATACTGTTGGGAACACTTAGTGATATTCACATTATACGTTGATTGTTAAACTACTTAGGGATAATCAAGTAAATGCATATTAAGTAACTGTAAACATAATAATTTGGTATTATCAACTGAGTTGATAACATAGATTGGCCACTGTAAAGAATTTCATGGCTGATATTTTGACCGTTTACCCTTCATCATTTGTTCTGACGAAGGGCTGATGCTCCCAACTTCAGATTTGAAACTCTTCATGGTGGCCAATCTACGTTATCAACTTGGTTGATAATGACTGTAAATATATAGAGATCATATATGTGCACTGTGGTTGAAAATAAGGCCTGAAAAAATAACTTGGGGCCCGTATGGGCCTGAGTTTTTTTATGCCTTATTTCAACTACTAGTTCATTAGTGTTCATAACTGGGAGGATCGCCTCTATATCCGTTTCAGTTGATGATAACACAATAGCTTGTTGTATTCTCCCACTGATGCAGTACCAGTTTCATAAGAAACTTACTCCCTCTAACTGTAATCATAGCTATTAAGGGAAGGGGGTTCTTCTTAATAATTTGCTTATAGGGATGTGCTTCTGGATGTGGTCAAATTTTCTATTGCGTGATTGCCAACAATGAGGTTGCATTTTCATTTAAGTGAATAGCATGGGGTTGCATAGGTATGGGAATGGGATATGAAAAATCTGGTAACTAGGGATTTAAAAATGGAAAGATTTGGGACTAAAAAGTAAAAAATTGGGGTCTTCAATTAAGCAGGGAATACATTAAAATGGGGTCCAGGCTCTGAGAGGCAAGCAGCACACACCCAGCAAAAGTTGACACAAGTTCCCCCCCACCACATAATATAATTTTTCTGGTAGCAAGTTTGATATTGAAACTGATAAAACATGGCATGTGTTGTAATCCAGGAAACATTAAGCTAGGAATGTGTAAAGAATCTAGGACCCCAAGACAAAATTGTATAACAACTTTAATATCTTCATTGTACCTGAAAAGCCTCTGTGTGCAGGTACCTAGTTCACAAGATTATTATAAACTATCCAGCAATTCCCATATTACTTATATTATAACAACTACAAATCACTTCATTGAAGTGACTGATCAACTGGACAAGTCTTTTTTGTTCAATTCTTCTTTCCTAATATAAATATCTTCATCTTTTCTACTTTGGATGTTTATTTATTTTTTATGCAATAGAAGACATTTAAATAAAAAATTCAACCTAATAATTTAATTGTATTCAGCAAGCAGACTGTGTAGATTTTACATGCTATGGTATTTAATGAGCACTTAAAAACAAAGCTGAGTGAAAACCACTATCATGCCAAAAAAATGATACTTTATAAAAACTGTTGACAAATTCTCAGGGAAAATTATTTTTATGCCTGGAATGAAAGATTGAATACAATCTGCTTGAAAGGACTGATGACAGCTCAGAATTTCCTCAGTGGTTGGTATGATCAACTATGCATGTTTAGCAAACCTGGATCATTTGAAATCAGCTCATTGCAAAGATTACAAATTTATACACTGAGTAAACACACACAAATGCAAACTGCCTACTGTATTGCAATACATTATCATTCATTTTCTTTTCTATGAAAAACCCCTTCTCTGAAACTAAATCGATGATTTCTTACTCTCTCTACCTTTTATTCCTTAACAAAAATATAATCCAGATGGTTGCATGACAACCACACATGCAGTACACCCTATGACCCCATGACAGGGTAGAAGGGGGGAGGCCTGATGAAACCAAACCAGTGTGGGAGTGGAAGGGATGGGACCCTGTTACCCTTCACTAAAATACCCTCCCCCCCCCAACCCCTAACCCTTTCACTCCCATAAGTGACCAAGACAGAATTTCTCCTTACAATATCAATACCATATCAAGCAGAAAAGTGATGAGAGTAAAGAAAAATAATATCAGTTAGGCAATTATAAGTTGATCCAATACCAAATTACCCAAACTAACATCACAAGAACTGTATGGCAGACAGTAAGGAGAATTACTAATGAGATCTTGGGAGTTAAAGGGTCAAATAACTCCCACACCTGCTAACTTGAATCGGTTTTCATTTCCCTTCATGAAGTCAATTTTAATGCAATTTTACCCTCCATGACTTGAACAATATGACTTTCAATTTGTGGAAAGTCAAAACAAACTGTACTGTAGTTCAAAATATTGAATTTACAGAGAAACAAGAAATGGTTCTCTTCCTCTTTTCTTCCCTTCACACTGAACAAAACAACTGTGAATCCAGTTATGTTTTGCAGACATAGGATTCATTAAACTACAATGCATTGTGCTTTCACAGAGCTCTCCTGCCTAGCTTAGCTGCTACTTCTGGATGTTCTATTTTTTACTAGACTCCTCTACACTGCAAGAAAATTTGATTGACGAGCACATTGACAATTTGACAATGTATAACTCAAACCTTTTTCAATTTTCCTTGATGCATCCAGTCAACAGAAGTGGACTGCCTAGTCTACCATCACAAAGCAAGAACTAGCTGTACCAGTAGTTTAAATTCTAATGATGTACTCAGATTTTTCCTTGTTCCAAACTTGTTTCAAATATTGAACAATTTTTTTTCCAAATAACCTGAAACTCATTCACATGACAACATTTATTGCAAAGAGTTCATGGAGTGTTATGAGTAGGATTGAAAAACACTTTCCTTCTCAGCATACAGACTTGGCAAGGAATTTGCTTGAGGCTTGTTTGGCCCATTTGGCCTAAATAATTAGCAACACGGTCATTGACCCTCAGCATCATATCCATGAGGTGCTCTCTTTCTGCATACTTTTTGAAGACTTTAACAATTGCTGAAATAAACCAAGAACCAATTTCTGGCTGCCTGTAGCTTTGATGATTGGGAGCTGAGGCAAAACAGATCAGAAAATCAGCATCAGCTGGCAGAGATGAGCTTGCGCGTGGAATAGGCTCGCTGTCGCTCTCAATAGTTAGCACATCCTGTTGACTGCCACGGCAAGCTTGGATCAGAAATATTTTTGGTTTCCCTTCAAGAGATGGGCACTCATTTCGGCGAAAACAGGAAGTAATTGCCTCAATGTTGATTGAAATATCATCAGTGCCATAGATTCTGTCTTTGGAACCATGACTAAGGATAACACAAACAAAACAGTCATATCTGCCAAAGTCTTTCTCTGATGTATCTTGCAGTAATCCTTTGATTTCTCTTTGTTCCAAGTTGTCATAAATCTTGGTAGTGAAATTAAAATCATCAAAGAGACTCTTGAGACCTTTCACATCTTCTCCTGACCAATGGCGTTCACCATCTGGCCTCTTGGGGAAGATGTAGTTATTAATTACCAGTACATAACCAGACTTTGCCTTGTAATTGATATCATCCCCAGTCTCTTGACAAGGTGAATGAACTGCTAAAGAAACAATTATAAATTTTATTTCAAGTGGAACTTTGAGTCTCTATTTGTTCTGGTGTTGCTTAATGTACACTCCTCTCTTAGGGGAAAAAACTTTGTGCTTTTGGGCCATTCCTTCCTCAAGATGACAACTGGTACACAATTATCTCTACACTATGATTTTTTTTTTTTTTTCCTGTACCCCATAATGGCTGCTTGCAGCTTCAACATGATGACCAAAATGGTCCCTGCTTGGTGCACAGTCCAAGCTAAATTTTAGTAGATGAACAAAAAGTTGAGTTAAGCTCCCTTAACTGTTTAGCTCCAAGGTGTGACCACAAAGAAAGTGCAACAATGATTAGGAGAAATTAATCAAAATGTAAAGTAGGGGTTATGGTGGGATTTAAATCCAAATCAATAGAGCTAAAATTGTTAGTAGGAAATATATGGAAGATAGAGCAATGACCTAAATAAATACTAAGATCTTGGACATGAAAGGTATTTAAAAAACTAACTGTGGAACTCTACTCACCACCAGTTGTTGTTGTTGTTGTTGTTGTTGTTTCCCTTGGGACATGCTGTTCCTGTGGTATTCCTGATAAAATTAAGAGCTATTTTAGTTACTTTAACCCTTTAACCCCTAACAGTGACTAGCATCTAATTTCTCCTTACAATATCACCTCTGAACCACACATCAATGTCACGAGAATAAAGGAATTGATCTCCAACTAAAGAAACCCTTGACTGTTAGATGAATTCTCCTTGTCAGCACCTTAGTAGATGTACAGAGAACAGTATGGAGAATATGAATGCTGATGTTAGGATGTAAAGGATTAAAATAATCTATTTGCAATCTAAAGTAACTTATTATAGATTCTCAGCTGCTTCATGTGCTTTGATTGGTCAATTTAGCAGGGTATATTTCTCTGTACCACCTACTGGTTGAGTTTAGGTCTTCTCCACCCAAAAATATTATTAATATATGACTAACCTAGTTTTCTAAGTCTGTACTTTAAGTTATGGAACCTTTTTTTTTTTTTGGATTTATGCCTTGTGCATTTTACACTTCTTGGGCTATGAATCCAAGTGGAAAAAAACCTGGTCTGTCAATTAAACTACAGACCTCAAACTCATTTAGCAAGAGGAATATATTATTTGGCCTTCTTAGCCTAAAGTCCCCGAAAATGAGTAGACCCCAGAACAAATACATTCTGATGCAATCCCAAAATCGGAGTCAAACATCTATGTATGTGTGAAAGTTGTAATGACTAAGTGGCATGCTGTCAGGCTGTCAGAACCAAGTTGTCTTGTTTAAGTTATTAACAACGTTCACTCAATCCAGTAAGTCAGGGTGTTCTAAAAGCAAATAACTGTATTGATAAATCTAAAAACAGATAGGTAAACCAACAGGATACCCCTTCTTGAAAAAGCTCTGGGCTCAAAGAGTCTCAAATTTTTCCTATTTCCTACTTTTCTTTTCCCTCACAGATGTTAATGAACGTTTAAATTTTCGTTCGCTTATGTTTACCAGACAGTGGTTGTTTTTTTTTTTTTTTATGTATTTCTAAGAAATTTTGTCTGGGAAATTGGCATGCTGGCACCCAAGATTGATCCCCTGCCCATGCCTCAACTTTGACCCCAACGTGTGCAATCCCTATCTATGTGAAATTAGCTGCTATTTCAAGAAATGTGAAAGGGGTTTTTTTCATTTCTTCTTCATGATTCCTCTTTTTCACCTAGTTTGTACTAATTATTTCGCTTGTTTCAGATTAAAGTGAAATTAAAGAATAAAACAAGCGTGATCAACAAAATGGAATAAACTTCACGCGGATTTAATAACTCAAAATTCCTTTGATCTTCTTCGACTTGAATTTACCTTGTTAAACCTGCATCGATGCATTTGCGAGGTTTGGTTCAAGTGATCTAGCTCGAGTAAGATAAATAGGAAGAAAAGTTGCCTATGAAAAATAACGTAAGTGGGAAAATTCAGTTAAAGTAAGGGCTAAAAGAAATATTGTAACGCCCCGGCGAAATGGTATAATGATTTCGTCCTACATCCTGTTAGGAAGAGCATGTCTGACTGATAAGCCGCCTTCTTCAAGGTAGCATTTAAATGGCTTTCCCATGTCAGACTTACATCACAAATTTTCTATAAAACCTTTCCTTCACGGGGGAACGTTCGATCGCGAAGCCAAACCGTATTGTATAAGACAAACTCGATGTAGAACGAAATGTTTGTGGTGACAAACCTTACCTTGGGTCGCCCCAATTGTCAAATTCGCACTATCCCCAATTAAGACAGCGCCATCACATTTGCCTATTTTTATATTGTATTTGGGCATGCTGGAAGGTATTCCAACCGAAAACTGCACGTAAAACTGAAATAACAAATCTACAGACCATTCGACAGTTACAAGCGAACAGTACTTAAAGCGGAAGCGAAAGCGAAAGTGAAGGGCATTAATAACTGGTCAGCAGAAAATGCCAAAATCCAAAAATAACTTCAAAGTCTCATCACTGACATGTACTATTAACCTGTTCTCTAGAGCGGTTTAGTCTTCTGATGGAGGGACCGCCCTACAGAACGAATTGCTTACTGAGCGGAGGGGGAGCCGGTTAACCAAGAGGCAACCTTTCCACGTCCAAATTAGCGAAGTGCACTGGAGAAAAGATTATTAAAGAAATGAAAAAAAAAGGTGCTTTACTTTCAGTTGTTTTGAAGCCTTCCCTTATCAATAAAGGTGACAAAACTCAGGTATGATAAACACCTAAAATAAATTTTAAAGAAAAATTTATGACCGTAAAAAATCGTTCATTTAACAAACCCCTGATTATTTCAAATTTTTTTTGAGGGGGGCGATGGATAGTTTCGTTTTTAGACTTTGGCATTCGGCATAAGAAGTGTCAGAGGAAAAACTCTGCGTTGCATCTATAATGTACTTTTGAATGTGACACGTTAATCTGCCAAATACAGCAAACTCAAGAAACAGTACCGTAAATGAACTTAATCAGCAACAGGCGGCTGGTTAATAAATATTTTCTTTACCTTCATTTGGCGCAATTTGCACGTTAGCATAATCGCTAGCAACAAGATGCCAAAAATTTCCTACACTTTTGTGGAACTTGGACATACTAGAAATAAACTTCGCCCGAAAATACTTCTGATGCGTACGAAATTGTCGAGGATGCTTCGCAATATTAATGAAAAAAAGACGGGTAGCATCCGGAAGTAGTGGAAATGTTATTGTAGTCAGCGGGCTGCACCAACTGCAATCAGGCAGTTTTATTGCGTTACACTCTTGCCTTTAAAATTTCTCACAGCGAGTCGTCTTTCTATTTTGTTTATATTTTCGATTCAAATCGTAATGACACCAGATGCGAAATGCCGCGTTAGTTGATATCAGGTGAGAAATGGGAATGGCAAAGATATGGGTAGAGGCTATTGGATCTGAATGTGCATACTCCTTTAGTCCCAGAAAAAGTACTAACATCTAAAGAAAATGACAATCATACGGACCTCGTTCTACATCATCCCCTCCTCCCCCCCCCCTCAGGTCTATCAGAGAGAGAAGTATTTTAGCTGCAATGTTCTACAGAAATGATCATGCACAAAATTAAAGAAAAACAATCTTGGAGCTATTCAAGTTAAATTTTAGCCCTCAAATAATTTCTGCCAATGATCTCTATTCAAATATCTTATTTACCACCAAATTGACTTAAATGAAAAATTGGTCACACAAAACAGATGGATGAACAGGTATTGATGCTCTCGCATTCCTCTAGAAGTGACTTGGATCTAATCTCTCCTTACAATATCACCCCTGAATCAAACATCAATGTCATGAGAATAAAGGAAATGATCAACTTGAGGAGCTCTTGATCGATAAACAAATTCTTCTCATCAGCACCTTAACCCTCTAACTCCCATGAGTGACCAAGGCAGAATTTCTCCTAACAATATCAATGCAATATCAAGCAGATAAGTGACAAGAATAAAAAAAATATAACATTACATGCATTGTAATCCAGGTCATATTAAACTAGGAATGTATAAAGAATCTAAGACCCCAGACAAAACTGTATAACAACGTTTAATAATATCTTAATTGTATGTGGAAAATCTCTGTATGCATGTGCCTAAGTTATAATTTTTTAAATAAATTTTTAGGCAATTCCTTATTATTTTATAACAACTGCAAATCACTTCATTGAATTGACTGATCAGCTGCATAAACTTTCTTTGTTCAATTCTTTTTCCATAATATAAATATCTTCATTTTTTACTTTGTATGTTTAATCATTATTTTATAAAATAGAAGACATTTAAATTAAAAAAAAATCAACCTTGTGATGTAATTGTATTCAGCAAGCAGACTGTGTAGATTTTACATGCTATAGTATTTAATGAGCACTCAAAAAACAAAGCTGAGTGAAAACCACTATCATGCAAAACAATGACACTTCTTAAAAACTATTGACAAATTTTAGGGGAAAATGATTTTATGCCTGGAATGAAAGATTGAATACAGCCTGCTTGAAAGCACTGGTGACGACTCAAAATTTCCTTAATGGTTGGTATGATCGACTGTGCTTGGTTAGCAAATCAAGATCATTGCAAACATTATTAGTGTAAGCTCTGCGTAAACATGCACAAATGCATATTGCCTACTTTTCCTGAAACACTGATATAAACTGTATTATATACATTATCATTAATTTTATTTTCTATAAAACCCTCTTCCCTAAAACTAAATTAATGATTTCCCACCCTCTATACCTTTTTTCCTGTAACAAAAACATAATTTAGATGGTTACATGATAATCACACATATGCATTATACCCTACCACCCCATAAAAGGGCAGAAGAGGGGAGGCCTGGTGAAAAAAACCAGTGTGGGAGTGGAAGGGTTGGGACCCCATTACCCTTCAGTAGTACACTCCTCAACCCCCTCCCATGACCCCATGATGAAAGGGCAGAAGGAGGGAGGCCTGGTGAAAAAAAAAAAAACCAGTGTGGGAGTGAAAGGGTTTGGACCCTTTACCCTTCACTGGTACACCCTCCCCACCCCCACTAGCAAGTAGACTTTTTTTTCACCCACTCCATGATTTCTTACTATTAAAATTCTGACATGGTGGCTTCAACAATTCCTCAAAAAATAATCATTCACTTTTGAAAAAATATGCTTGATATACAGTCAGGCTACCCTTGATATATCACTCTATAAAATTCTCCCACATGGTACAAGGAGGGATGAATTCACTATAACCAGTTAAAAAATCAAACAGAAATCTTGATCAGTTATTCTATTTTTTATGAGCTAACTTAACAACATCCTGATCTGCTGGCATTTTCTTTAGTGATCCTGTGACTTGTGAGTTCAATAAATCCTCCTTGATCAGTACTGGTGTTGTTCTGAGCAACTTTTTCTTCATTGTTTTTACAGCTGTCTAACAGTTCTGCTAATAAGTATCTGGAAAAATAATTCAAGTAGAAATTAATGGTTACATGACCCCTTCACTACACTGTACCTGAAGTGAAAACTTGTAACATCTCCTCAAATCATCAATCTCTTATCCAGTGAGAAGATAATGATGGAATAAACATACAAGGGTAGCAAAAGTTTTTTAGGCGAAGCACGATTGAGCCCAAAATAAATAAATTATTAATTTCTGGCACATTAATTTTTCAATAAGGCAAGGTGAGGTGAGATTTGAAGTTTTCCCTTTAAAGTTGTGAGATGAAATACTTTCAAAAATAGATGTAACATTTAAATTTTTTCTAAGCTTAACATTCATCCATGAATCAGGATCAGAACCCCCATCTCTCCCTCCCATTGACAACACTCATATATCAGCTGAGTGGTTTATCTAGGAAGTATCCATGCCAAAATGCATTGAAGGCAAGAAGATTTTAACATAGAAGATGAAAAAAAAAAAAAAAAAAGATCTTTTCTTACTCCATTGTCTCTGATACATTGACATCTTCTTTGACTGACATCTCTGTCCAACCCAAGAAGCCATTTTCTTTACATAACTTGTCAATTGCTTCTTTCTCAATGGGTCTTGTGCTTGATAAATCACTCTGAAGATTAAATGAAAAGAAAAATGGTGAAATTTGAATTATAGAATTTAACCAAAGAGATGTCAACTGAAAGCAGGAATAACCATATCTATAAATCATAATGGAGCAGTTATTGAGTTTTCACGTCAGGCCCTAGTAAAGACAAATATTACAACTGGATAACCTCTTACAGCAAGATGACATGGTATTACTCTAACATAACACTAGTTAGTAAGCCAGTCACTTGTGCCTTGTGTCCCACTTCTTTGTTCTCATCACATTACTGAAAAGATGCGTGGCAAAATGGAATCTATTTACTAAATCAATTGTGTTGATTGGTATATAACTCACTTTATTTCCTACTAATATACATGGGATTGTCTTTCCATTAGGAAGTGTACATTTGCTATCCAGGTCTCTCTTCCATTTTATTGTACTATTAAATGTCTGTTGACTGGTCAGATCAAACATTATGACACAAGCTGCAGCTCCCTTGTAGTAGACTCTTGTCATTGATGAAAATCTTTCCTGCCCTGAAAATTGTTGATGTTCATTAAGTCAGAATAATAATTAGTTCTCAACTCTTTGACCCTTAATTGTGACTAACATCTAATTTCTCCTTACAATATCATCCCTGAATCACACATTAAGGTCAGGAGAATAAAGGAAATGATCAACAATTAAATAGCCCTTAACTGTTGAAAAATTTTCTTCTTGTTTACACCTTGAGAAATATATTAAGAAAAGTGTGGAGAATATGCATATTGATGTTAGGGTGTAGAGGTTAAACAGTTTATGTCAAATAAGAGTTGACAGATAACTGTTTTTTACATGTATATGGAGGCCCTTACAAAACCTGCATGACTGACAGATCAAGAAAGGGGCAGGGCAGGGCAGGGGTGAGGTGTATAGGTTAACTCATAGGGGGAGGGATAAAGGGATATGGAGAGAGGTGAGAGGTGAGAGGTGAGAGGTGAGAGGTGAGAGGTGAGAGGTGAGAGGTGAGATGGTGAAGGGTACTTCTCTTACTGACTGCTAAAAGTATGGCAGATGATGTGAAATTGATAATTAAATCTTGGAGGTAAAAAGTTGAGTAAATTATCCTCTGCTCAAAGGTTCACTTTCTTCTAGTTAAAATGTGGGAAAAAAATTGTCAACTTACCAGCAATATCCCACAACTGTATAACCATGTAAGGATTCACATTCATGAATCATTCAAATTTTGGAAACAAAAAAAAAAGGGAAAATTAGTGTGGAATAAAGCAAAATGAAGTGCAAATGTACTTAAAAACAAAATAGATTAGGAGTAGTGCCTCCTTTTTGGCAAGGCCTATTGTGTGAGTCTGAAAAAATCAGAAAAAAATCAAAATTATTTTAAACTATCTTTATTAACCCTTTAAGTCCCACTAGTGACCTAGACAGAATTTCTCCTTACACTATCAGTTTAATATCAAGCAGACAAGTAGTGAGAATAAAGAAAATTACCAATTGAGGGATTATTGGTTGATCCAATTCCAAATTCTCCTAACTAATATCATATGAATTGTATGGCAGACAGTAAGGAGAATTTCTAATGTAATCTTAGAAGTTAAAGGGTTAAATTTGTAAATATTTAAAAAATTATCAGTTCGATAATTTGTTGCTAATTATAAAAATACTACCCACCTGAAGTCGTATTGTAGTATCATCTGAATATTTGATGACTTTCAAAGCAAAATCAACTGCAACAAAGATACAGAAAAGATAACAAAAATATTTGGCGGAGATTACAGATTTAACTCGGAAGTGTGTAATAAGTGCTTGTTCTCCGTGGAGATTTTATTTAGGACCAAAAAGGTACCCCTTCCACTTCGCATGACAAGGAACACTGCATTTTTATGGTATATTTAAACACTGTGTATCATGGGTTATAAACACAGAAAAACAAATACAGAAACATCTTGGCACCAATAAAAATTGTGGTGCCATCATCGCGAGACCACCCCAACCACCAACTAAACGTTTTCCATGACATCAATAGTTCAACTCGAAAAATTCGGACTCTTTCTATTATTAATAACCTGGAAAATCAACATCTCTCCAGTTAACGCATAACAGGAAATGACCAAATGACCCCTCCACCGAAATGCACACAATACCTCAAAGAAGTTTCGTGAGGGAATTATTTGTTCTTCAATTCAAGACATGTCAAATGTACAACTTAGAAATGTTTACTGTACTTTGACCGACTTAAGTCCTTATTTTAGTGCACCAAAGAAGGGCAAGACAATCTCAGTTTAAAGCTATCATAGAAGTTTTTGACAGACAATTAATAAATCCGGCTCGTCTAAGAAAATAAAAAATTCCTAGAAAAATTGTAGACGTGATCAGGCACAACCTACCTCCTACAGTTGGTTTATACTCCCGTCCTGGTCCTGAATGGTTATTTACATAACGTTTGACAAAGCTTGTTTTTCCTACGGTAGCATCACCTATTATGATCACCTTAAAAAGTAGTTCTGACATTGTTAAAAACTGTATTTCCCTAAATAGACCTAGACCTAACTACGAACGCCATTCCTACCGATTCACGTGACTCTAAGAGTCACCGGAAGTAAGAAGTGACTGCGAAAGCAGGATACATTCTAGTTCTCAAGCCCTCTCGATTTGTTAGTTAGTCGCGTAATTTGGTTTATTCCGTCCACATTAAATGATGAGTACTTTGTTTGTTTGATTTTTTTAAATACATATATTTTTAACAGAAGACTGAGGTATTTCCATGAGAAAATTATTCACAAAAACAATATTTAAGACAGAAGAAAGGCCTTTGCTGCAACACCTCAATTCCACAAAAGTTATTTTCAAATGTATGCTGAAAAAGTTTGTTTCAGTGAACATGTGAATTCTTGCTCATAGAAATTTTATAACATTTGACTTCCCATCAGGATATTTTTTGTCAACAAAACTAACCACCCAACTATCTGTCAACACCATGCTTTTAATCAGAAAATCAAATCAAAATGAGCCTTCATGCCAAACTCTTGGAAGTAAACTTCCATGTGAAAGACTTTGTACAAAGAACTTATGGAGAATTGACAGATCCCCTGCTGAGATAACTAAGAAAAGAGTGCAGTACCCTGAGAAAGGAGGTATCCTTTCAAGAGTTACTTGAAACTTAAATACTGAGTGATCAAGACATAATTTCTCCTTACAATATCAAGCAGACAAGTGATGAGAAAGAAAAATATCAATTAGGTGATTATCAGTTGACCTGATACCAAATTCTCCCCACCAACATCATAAGAATTGTATGGCAGAGTGTAAGGTGAATTACTAATGAGATCTTAAGAGTGAAAGGGTTACGAGTCAGGGGCTCAACAAAGTATGCATTCTATACCTGTCTGTCAAAGAAGAGGTATATTTCTTTTGACAAGAACTGGTCATAGATAGTGTATAGCTTGTTCAGACTAGAAACATTTCAGGAAGTATGAATTACAATTCATATTTATGTGGGTATTCATTACAACTATTGCTAATTAAAATTTAGAATGCTTAAAAGATCCCTTCTGCCCTTGACCTAAACAAGGTTAAAAAACAGAGGGCTTTGTCCCACACAGGGTACTTATTTATTTTTGTCTCTCTCCATGTTCTTGGTTCCAAACAGAGTCAGAGTTTTTACAAGTCATCACAGCACTCCTTCACCTAAAAACTGATTAACTAACCTCTCCTTCCCTAACCCAAGATGCCTGCTATCTCAAATTCCCATGAAAAATTACTAGCAAAATGAATTTGAGATATGGTAATAAGCCAACAGGATGCAAACTGCATTTGGAGGAATCTTGAGAAATCTAAAGTTAGTGTTACTGGAAGACCTCCTCTATCTTATGAGTGTATAATTAATTATATGTTCTGCTTTTATCAAAGATGATTTCCATTTTGTGGGTGGTATTTTATCATCACTTTGAAGCTAAATACTTCCATTGGAAAGCTACACTGAATTTCCTTGCTGCAAATTTCAGCATCATGTCTTCTTCTCTCCAAGACTGAGCACAAGTTCCTTCAATGCTTTTCTTTTCTTCCTAATGTCTTCTGGAGTTAAGGTATCACTCAGAGATATTTTCACATTGTTCATAAAGTTGGTGCAGAGTTGTTCAGTGATGCAAACCACATATAGACCACAGTCATAACCTGTTGAAATATGAAGCCACATTAGAAAGTTTCAAACCCTAAGGATGACTGAGGGCTAATTTCAGACAGGATCATAAGCATTAATTAACCCTTTACACCCTTGCAACAGTATGCAAATTCTCTATACTGTTCTATATACATTTCCTAAGGTGCTGACAAGGAGAATTTGCCTACCAATCAAAAGCTTCTTTCATTGGTGATCATTTCTGTTATTCTCATGACTTCAATGTGTGATTCAGGAGTGATATTGTAGGGAGAAATTAGGTGCTAGTCACTCTTGGGGTTTAAAGGGTTGAAGAAATGACCACCAACTAAAAAAGCAATTGATTGTTACACAAATTATTGCTGTCAGAAAACAGTATGGAGAATATGCATACTGATGTTGTGGTGTTAAGGGTTAACAGAGAGAAACACAATGGCTCAGAGATTAGCAAGCTAGAATTTGGAATGAGAACTCCATGATCGAGCCCTGGCCAAGTCATAATGTTGAGTTTTGAGCCAAACCTTATCCCTTCAACAGTGACCTAATCTGCTCATGAGAAATAAAGGGTACCACAAACTGTCAGGGATTCTTGACAAACTGCATAGAAATAGATTAGCATCCTGTAGGGAGGTTATGTAAAATTTTTGCACTATCCCCTGGGAAAAAAGTGGAGGTTTGACATGCCTTTGCATCATGGGGAGAGTTCAATTAACCCTTTAACTCTCAGATCAAATTTGTCATTCTCCTCACTTTCAACCAGACAATTCTTGTAATGTTAGTTCAGAGAATTTAGTATTAAATCAACTAATTATCCCCAAACTGATATTTTTCTTTATTCTCATCACTTATCTTGTTGATATTGTATTGATATTGTAAGGAGAAATTATGTCTTGGTCACTATGGGAGTTAAAGGGTTAACCGGTATTGAGGTCATTACTAGTTAAAACTCTTAATTGTTCAGAGGCTAAATGAAAAATGGTGTTACATCAAAACACAACCATTTTGTTGTTGAGGGCATCTGTCCTCCTTGAAGCTTGGGTTTTGTCCTGCTGTTTAAAAAAAACAAACAGAAAACACTGTGCATAAGTGGGAGGAGAAAGTCTATGACAGAGAGTTGTGTGAAGTCTAAAGTGATCAAAATAACACTTACATCTACAGTGTAAAAAAGGTTCCACATTTTGTGCGAGAGATCTAGCAGCTGAAGTATTAAATGAACTGGATGAGTCATAATGATGAAAACTGTTTGTTTCTCGGTAGTATGCCAGCAAGCTCCTGGTAAACACACAAGTTTCTAGTTGTCAATAGAAGCATTAGATTAATAATCAAACATTATATAATAAGCTCAGTTATACAAGCATTCTGATTGGTTCTCACTTATGATCTAATGGAGGACAGATATATAGATGATGTCATCATTAAAACTTTTTTAAAATTGTTTATTATATAAAACAAATAGATCACAGAGAATGTCAAAATGTGGTAAGAACATCAGAGACACACTTGGCTGTGCCTCATGTGCCACTTTTTTGTTTTTACCACATTTTGACATCTGTGATCTATTACTGAACAGACACACGGCAACTTGGAATCTATTTGTTAATTAGACACTCATCAAATACATAAGCTGTTTATATCAAACTCTATATAAAGAAATTTAATCTAGGCTCCTGCAACCAGTGCCAAAATTGGTTGACACATCATGTTTGGAGAGTTCTATTTATATCTTGAATAACACTCCTGTTCCTTCCATGCTCTAAATCTTTGACAGGACCCCTCCCCCCCCTTCAACGTTGCCTGTATGTAGTTAAAAGTTGAAACAACATTGTTTTTTTCTGGGGGGGGAGGTAGCAAATAGGTTAACTTAACAAGAAGAGATAAGATTGAAGTAATGGGTGGTTGAAAAGGTCAATGTGTCAACAATTTTGTCACTGATTATAGATTCCTACACTACTTTTTATAACTTAGACATAAGGTAAAACAATTTGGAATGTGACAAAGGACTATTTGAAAAATGATACTACACTACTAAAATGTGAGGATTTCTTATAATGCAATAAGATACTACACATTCCAAGGTGATTTAACCTTGTAGCTATTGAATACCACCTTGTTGTTTTTTTCATCATCAGTTACTCTCAATCTGCAACAGTCTTTTGTAAAAAGCTTGATTTTATTTTGATTGGATAACTATTTTCTTCACCCTTTAACTCTCATAAATGACCAAAGAAGAATTTCTCCTAACAATATTGATACAATATCAAGTAGTATAGTGATGAGAATAGAGAAAATATCAATTTGGGGATTATAAGTTGATCCATTACCAAATTCTCAGAGCTGACATTACAAGAGTTGTATGGTAGATAGTAAGGAGAGTCAAATTCAGCTCAAAATCTAGTTCAATGGCTCTCCAAGATACAACAAAATTCAAAACTAGTTTTTGATTAATGAATTGTTTCAGCTGAGGAAACACATTAATTAAAGGATGCTTATTGTATACCAGTGAGATCCCCCTGCTGAATGTCTGGAATCATTGTCATTCACGGCAAAAAATATCAGCTTTCGACTTGAAAGATCAAGTGGTTCCAGAAAAATACCAATTTCAAGGCCTGCAGCAAAAAAAAAAAAACAATAATCAATAACATAAATGCTGTATTCCCTCATCACAAGGATATTTCAACATAGATCTATGACAAAGATACAACCTTAAGACTGATGCAAAAAATTTCAAAACTAAACACTCTACATGTAGCTGCATTACGATCCCACTTCTTCAATCATTCGTTATATCTCTCAGTTCGTACACGTACCATGATTGGTCAATTTAGCGTGCCGCATTTTAGTGTGCGGCCCGCTAATTCAAAAAATCGTTTGAATTGAAATCTTACCCCTCTAATTGAACCCAGAGATATAATAAAAGTATCTCACTGACTCCGTTTTCTCGGTCTGTATCGTAACTTATTGAACCTCGTTTTTCCCGCCCGCTTCGCGCTTAGACCATAAATTCAGGTGGAAAAAACTCGCCACGTAACTTTACGTTACGGATCTGGAAAACGAAGTTAGCAAGACGTATGTCTTACCTCCCCCAAGCTTCAAGAACTGCGTGACATCAGGACTGATAAAGATCGCAATATCTGATATCTGTTTAAATTTGTTATGAGTAAAGTAACTGCAATCAAACAAGTTTTCTGGAGTTAGTTCAAAGTGAAAACTTCTCCCCCGATAAAATGCAACCTTGTAGATTGCATGTTGACGCTACGCAAGCGAAAATGTACGCTGCATCTGCGATCAGATTTCTCACAACTACAAAAACTCACTCAAATACGAATCCTATCAGTCTATCGTTCAGCCAACGACCTTCCTCGAGCAAGCTAAGGTCCGATTTTTTGAGAAGACTGTTATGGAAGCTCAACACAATTTCGTCCGCCATTTTTCAAACTTTCCCTCGCTGAGCATAAGATCCATTGGTATACCGCTGATATTTTAGACGCCCACAGCGCCCTTCCGTGGTTGGACAAAATGGCGGAATCAATTTGTCAAGACAAATTTACATGATTCACAACAGTGACGCCTAATTTGTGTAATGAGTTCGATCGGAAGAACACGATAGTATTTATTTCAAGGTATATAAGGTAATATAGTAGCTATCTAAATTGTTTTTAGTTTGCTAAGAGGAAGTGGAAAATGGCCGTCAGTACGAACAATTCGTGTTTTTCTTTTGCCACTTCACAGCACTGAAGAGTTATTTTCCCCGTAGATTGCAACATTTTTCAATTGTATGGGTAGGGATTGCAAAATATAGTATATTTAAGCCTCAAGCATACCAGTCACTTGTCGAAAAGTGGTACAATTTGAGATTTATCACATCTTATGCACTTGACATTTTCAGGTCGGAAACCGTCGGTATTCTCCGAGACCTTACGTTTCATTCCGACAGTGACGTCACGGAATTGGTAGAAAGCAACATCGGAGCGGGAATGAGGTTGTAATGGCGAAAATTCACTGTCATTCTTTACTTTCTGGGAGCTCATGGAGTTCCTTCGAAGAAAATTCGCCTTTGGACGAAACCGAAGGTAGGTGTAACTATCATGCCGTCGATCTGTATCCTCATTTGACTCTATAAACGCAAAGGAAACTTTTTTTAGGGGATTTACCGTGTATAATTTTTCCACGATAGCAATGGAAGTGGACGAAAACAATGGTTTGGGCTCTCCAGAAGCCACGCGATTGCACCAAGAAGGTAGGTAGCGTGACTTTTAAAGGCTATATTTACTCAGAAAAATCAGATATTGTTGCACAAAATACCAAGTAGTTTGTTCCGCCCTGGGCAAAAATTACTATAAGCGAACTGTTATGCACAGGTTGAAAGTTAGCTTAATTAGCATGAGATATGTCGTGCTAACTGCATGCGTGCACCCCTTAAAAGAGCGCTGTCTTAAATAGAGTTAGCTGTTCATCTGAAACTTCAACAATGGAGGAAGTGAATACTTGGGTTTCTCTAAACAAACAGCGCCAAATCAAACGTGCTTTAATTTTTGGAGTGGCTTACGCGTTTATTAATAATGTAAGCGGTACATGATTAACTTTTTATATGCTTTTATGCTTTGATCCTAGATATGACCCTTTTCGGGATTTGCCCAGAGCAAGAGGAAATTGTCCTTGTCGTTTGCAAAGAGTGTGGCAGGGTTGTGAAAGCGCCGGCATTTTTACGGCATTGTGGTTAGTGCATTCATAATAATATTACACCTTTATCGAGCTTAAGTGACAAAAGCTCTACAAATGTCATAACATCTGGCAGTTCCAATGAGTAAACCATTATAAACGCTAGGTTGATTCCATATTCTGGTAACGTTTTCCATCAAACTGAAACTTGACCGTTTATAAATAGTTTTTACTCCACTTCATATACAAAAATGGAGTGTGATGTTGTTTTTGAAATTGAATCTATATAAGCTTTAATTTTGAAATTATTCTCTGTGCTAATTATATTGTTTTAATTTTCCTGGCCATATCTTGTGTGACCCATGATAAATTCAAGGGAGAATTCACTGCAAGGTTGTCATTGGGAAATTGAACCTTGACAGAATTCTCCACCTATAATGCAGAATTTCTGGTTTAAATTTTTAGCTATAAATATTTTAAATTCAGACCTAGAAAGTTGTCTACTCTTCCCTTTTGCTATTTCTTAGCAAAATCCGTATCACTGCACCTTCTGAAACATGAAAAAATTGTTTCACCATATAGTTGATACCCAATTCATATACCATTGAGTCGGCCAATAATCAGGGATATCATTTAATGGAAGACTTTGTCAGCTTTTGTTTTGAGTCTACGGGAAAGAAATTTCTGTAATGACACTCATGGCAGACAAAGCTTTCCACAGTGTTTATGATTCCTAATTGTTACCCACATTGTTATAAATTAGTTGAGTATATCCTTGCCATTCTTAATTTATTGTTTTAATTTCCTTAGTAATAACTATTGTGACCATTGATATATTCAAACTGGAAATTATTGTGTTGAGTTACCAAACATACTAGGGAACTTTCTTTTTTGTGTGTAATTGTGAGGTAAATATTATCAATGGGGTGTAAGACCATTATATAGGGTTTATCAGCTAGATTTCTTAAGGGATGAGTCCTCAATTATTATTTAACAGACCGCTATCAATCTTAATCTAGTTATAACTTTCCTTGTTTCTAAGTCATACCTTTTGTTTGAGAACAGGACTAAAGAAAGCTATTTTTTTAACTTTTTCATAACTGAGCAATTTTACTTGTATTTCTTTGCTGCATGATTTTGATTTAATAGAAAATCTGGTCCTTTATCAGTTGTAAGTGTTGTGGTTAATGAAGATATCAGGTTTAAGTGATTTCAAACTAGGTGTATGTTTTCTTTGTAATCCTTGCCATTTGATAATGTCTTTGGAACAGACAGAAAATCAAATTTAACTAGTTTGAAACCTTTTCGGCCAGAAAATCTTTCAAAACTTCAACAAATACTATTTGAAACATGTGTGGAATTATTCAGACCTTTGTAATTGTAATGAGATAAAAATTCTTTAAGATCCTGTTAATTATGCATAGCACCATTAAGTAATATAGGCAAACTAGAAGTATCTTCCATTATTATTTATCATTACTCTTTTTCTGATTGGCTACATAAGTGGGGAAGAGGGGTGTAAGTTGCTTGAAGCCAGCTTGCCTAGTTCAGAACGTTTTGTGAAGAAACATGATTTTTGATAATCTTACTGGTTTTTGCTGCTTCAGTGTTGAAGGGAAATACCACAGGCATGTACTGAAACAAAATCTAAACGAAGAAAAAATATATTGAGTTGCATCCGTTTTCTTTGAAACTGACACAGGTTCTTTAATGTTATATTTTTGCTTTATATTGTATCTTTTATTCAACTAGCTTGTTTGTCAAGAAGGCTGGATTTGTTGTCTTATTTCAGTCTTTTGATGTTGGAAATTTAACCCAAATCCAACCATGTTAACCTTGGGTTTGATTTTAAGGGACAGAAAATAGTACCTGAATCCTTTAACTCTCAAGATCACATTAGTGATTCTCCTTACTGTCTGCCATACAGTTCTTGTGATGTTAGTTTGGAGAATTTGATATTGGATCAACTTGTAGTCCCCTAATTGATATTTTTCTTTATTCTCATCACTTCTTTGCTTGATATTGCCTTGATGCTGTAAGGAGAAATTCTGTCTTGGTCACTCATAGGAGTTGAAGGGTTTAAAAAAACGTTGGTGTTGTTAACTGATCTTGAAATCTAGTTACCCTTGATCATGTGGTCTCTTGAGTTCTACATTTTGTTGATTTGTTCCTATTTTCTAAAGATCTAGGATCAGAGGATGGCCAGTGTAGGTTAGAGCTATTATTGTTAGTGTTAGAAAACTTAATTTTCCAGTCTTTTTTTTCAAACACTGTTGCTGGTGTCTTGGAAAGTGGTAGATTGTAGCATTTTTTCATCCTACAAATGAATTGTCCCTCTTTTACACTGCAATAAATCAATAGGCCATTTCCAAATTACTTTAGGCCTCTTTTTCAAAACGAGGCCTGGTGCTCAACCATTCCTATGAAGATGAGTATGATTTGTATGTGAATGAAAACTTTTAATCACATGAAAGGATGAGCACTAGGACTTGCTTTTCAAACAAGGCCAAAGGTAATTCAGAAATGGGCTATTACAATGCTGGCCATATAACAACAAAGGCCTCAAGAAATATTTTAAGAAGTTATGACTTATCATGATAAATTACTATTTTACTCTTCCATTCTTACAGAGCTACACCATCAGAAAGTTATTCCTGTTCCCACCCCATCCTCCCCTGACTTGGTGACAACGTCAAGCTCAATGGTGGAGACAATTTTACAGACAGGATCAAGAAAAGGAAAACCTCATGACTCAGTCATTACTAACCAAAAGATTGAACTAATGGATGTCACAGTGAAGATAGAAGAAATGCCTTTGACTGTTCCATGTCTAAATCATGGCTTCTCTTCCACTGCTGTTAAGACAGAAGCTCTGAATAATGTAATAGTGAAGAGAAGTCCAAATGAAAAAGTTACTAGCAATAAAAAATCTCCCAGGAAACAGGTTCCTACAAGAGGTAAGTTCCAGTATGGAATTATGGTGCCATCTGTGTTACAGTCCAAGGTGAAATGGATTTGAATCACAATAAGTGATAAAAGTAGTTGGCACTCTTCTCTGTAGTAGGTGGTCTACTATCACTCATTCAATATAATAAACAGAAATCTTGCAATTAATCACTAATAAGTAACTTGAAAGTCCACTCTCCCCCCTTAACCTTTTAACTCCCAAGATCTGACTGTTAAATCTCCCCTCCAGCTGCTACAAATTTCCTTGTAAATTGGTTATGAGAATTTGGTGTTCATTCAAGATAATATCATGTACCTGATAAGTTAGGTTAATCTCACTACCTGATTGCTGGATAATGTATGGATACTATTGGGAGATGTTACATGTTAATCACTTCTGGGAGTTAAAGGGTTAAGTTAATCACTGTCCACCATTTTGATAAAACCAGGCAAAATTGAAATAGGAGAGATAAATGAAAGTTAAAACAAAAAATCGAGTAGTAGAATGTGCCAAGACTTGGGCTACTCGTTGTAATTTGATTTTTGTTTTTATTGTGAAAGGATTATGGTTATATATCTGGAACAAAAATGAAAACAGAACCCAATTGCTGATAGTTAGAAACCATTTTTCTCTAGAATATAGATGTAACTACCAGTTACATGTATATTAATTAAACTACTCAAATGGTTTGAGCTAGGAAGTAACTTTTAGTCGTAAAGTAGATTCTGTAGGTGAGCAGAGTCCACACAAGATAATCATTTGTGGCTGTGACTCATGTTTTGACAACTTAAATGGAGAGCATCGTTGAAGTAAAGTTTGAAGTTTTCTCTCAGTTATGGTTTAGTCTGAACAAGATAACTTTTCTTGTTGATTGGCACTTCCCATTCACAACTGATTGCAAAACCCCTGACTTGGCCAAATGATACTTTTATGATTATTATAGTTTATTGCTGAAACACTGGTCTGTGGCACGGAGGAAAGGAAATTATCACTTAAAAGTAGAATTTTACTCTGTACACTGTACCTCCAACCTATTAAGATTCTTTCTTAAGTCTTGATTTGCTGGTCCCTTTTAAATCTTATTTAGAGTGAAGATGCTTTGTGACCAGTGTAAGCTATTTGAGCTCATTGTTGACTTTGTATCTATAATGTTTTGAAGAACGAGAGTTTGATGCTGACAAGCATTGTGGAGTTTGGGTAGCTGAACACCAGAAGAGATGTACTCGTTCACTAACTTGCAAGGTAAAAAAAATTCACGTGTTTTTGCATTTGTTAGTTTTATTAATAATTACAAAGTTTGTAATGTACCATCCCCTCCTTGTGCATCAAAGGTGAAGTAAAACACAGGTTATTTATTTTCCCTGAAATGCAATAAATACAAGTGTATTTATGTACAAAGCTTGGTCAAGCATAGTCAATGCAACCTCTCATTCCTGGCAGTAATTAGTGTTTATATTAAATATGCTTTTTAGCTGAGGGGTAATGAAAAGTGGGAAATTATGTATTTCATGGTATGTTGTCTGATATAAACACATCTTTGGAATGTTTTGTCAAGATCTACCATAAGATATGGGATTTGTAATTGTAGCTGAAGATGGGTCAGTGCCGATAGAGTATGCTGTCACTGATCCTAGTTTACCGTTCACTACCAAACCATGAAATCACCATTAGGTAACTCTAAGATATACTCATTTCAGACACATGCCTTGTCACTGAGACGTGCAGTTCCTGGACGACGGAAACCTTTCGATGAACTTCTGGCGGAGCATAAAGCACGAGTAAATTGTGAAAAGGAACAACAACAGAATCAGGCTCTCAAGCTGCAAGAGCAGGCGGCAAATCAGAAGACACTGGATGCTACTCTTAAAAGAGCATCAAGTACCTCTGACTCATCTGTTACTTCATCTGCAAGCTCAAGGTTTGTGACATTTCTTTTTGAGACACATACCACCAGTAGTTTTGCCACAGTCCTCTGGTAAGAACATCACTTAAGTATTAATTTTTTTTTTCTTTTAGTACTAAAATGCACATTGGAAGGTCTCTCTCTGTAGAAGGTAGGTTTTGATTTTGTCTTTTTCACATTTTTAACGTTTAACATATTAATGTTGATAGTAGTTTTAGCACAAAAAATCAAATTTGGTGCTTAGAAGATATTGTTTATGGTATAGATGGACTTGTTTTGCCACTTGTTTTGAAAGAACAGCTCAAATCTTTGATGTGTGCTTTAACCCTTTAACTCTCAGATTAAATTTGTAATTCGCCTTACTGTCAACCATACAATTCTTATAATGTTAGTTCAGAGAATTTAGTATTGGATCGACTAATTATCCCCAAATTGACGTTTTTCTTTATTCTTGTCACTTATCTAGTTGATATTGTATTGATATTGTAAGGAGAAATTCTGTCTTGGTCACCCATGGGGTTAAAGGGTTAAAGGAGTTAAGATTGCATCTGGACTTTGGCAAGCAGTATTAACATTATGTATCTATCAAACTTCTTTTGATAACAATATTTCAGATGAAAGCAACCTTGTGAATAAAGTTGTGAAAGGTTCTTCTGATGGCAGCACTGAAAATAGTGATAGCAGCACAAAATCATCTGGTTTGACAACCCTTAGTTGTCATCCTAAACCTATGGCGGTAAGCACAGTCACATCAATCTGTTTAGGTGCTTGGAATGACACTTTTCACTCTTATAACTGTAGTTATAATAACTGAATGTTAGAGTTACCAACTGACTGATTGGAAACTTGATCAACTGATTTTTACTGCCTTTCATAAGGTAACAGTCAGGACTGACTATCTGACCAACTGACTAATTGACTTTGCTAACTTACTGGCTGAGTTACTGCTTGACTTATTGACTCACAGAATGATACACTGACTGACTGACTGACCCCCTTTCACAGACTGACTGACTTATTTGTTGAATTGACAGACTGACTGACTGATTGGCTTTACTAACTTATTGGCTGAATGACTGCTTGATCTACTGGCTGACAGAATGATAGACTCACTGTCTGACTCACCTGTTGACTGACTGACTGACTTATGTGTTAAATTTATTGAGTGAATGAGTGACTGACTATGTGAATCACTAACTGATTTGATGGACTCACTTGACTGACTCACAGATTAATTGACTCTAATGACCTGAAAATGGAGGACTGATTTACCCACTAACTGTTTACTAACTGCTCTAAAAAATCAACTGACTGACTTTTAGCTAAAAGTTTGACTTAATGCACTACCAACTAACAACTGGCAACCTACAATTGTGCAAAGTAACTATTTTAATAGACAGAAACACACCTTTGTCTTCCCAACTAGTGTCAAGCTTCTCCCTCTACAACTTGTCTTCCTAAATTAACCTACTTCACTTTGTTACAGTCTTGTCGCTTTGGCACAAGAGCAGTAGGGAAAGGAGGGTACGTCTTTAATCGCAGAAGTGACCATCTTCGATGTGCTGTTCTTTCCATGGTAGAGAGATATCTAAATCCTTCATTGCCAAGGTAGAGTACAAATGCAAATTGAGTTTGTGAGGTTTGCTTTTAGGTTTTTTAAGTTACATATAGGGTACTTACCCCTATCCTCTTATTAAATCTGCCACATCTCAGAAGTTTCTATTTTTTCACGGACTTATTTTTTTTCATGTTACACAGGCAAAAATCTAACAGAGCAAGTGCTGCTATTCTCCAAAGACCAACTATGAAAACTGTGGGACAGTCATCAAATCAAGGTAACAAGGCTGCTAAAGAAGTGCAAGTATTATTAAGCTTTACAATTACTGCATGTTGTGAGAATGGTCTTCTCTAGTTCTTATTACAATTAACAATTGATCACCAAAGTGGAGGTAAATATCCATCACTTTCACTAACACTGAGGGGAATAATTGTGTAAGTATATACCACACAGACACCAGAAAAACGAGTTTATTTCTTTCAATACATTGAAAATGGTCAGAAATTAAACTCTTGACTTGCAGTTTTGTCTTGTCACTTGCTTAGAGGTGAATGGTACTTGTTATTCACTTTCGAACTAGCCAATCAGTGGATTGGGACTGGGTGTTATATGCTAATTATTATCATCATTATCATTATTGTCATTATCATCATTATTAGTGGTAGAAGTAGTGTTCAACATTTGTTATTATTATTTGACAATAATGGAGGTTTTCTTTGATGTAAATAGCATTGATGACCTTGTCATTCAATATCAATGATGCAAGGATTATCTTCAAATTTTCAGTAATTGGTACAGGCTGGGATTTTTAAAAAGAGAGCTGTAGACAGAGGGTTATCATGTAATTGTAATTGATATAATTTTTTGCTCAGAAACGGTTTGTACTAAGGAGCACTCATGGTAAAATGTTGATCACCTTTATAGGTTTTTCTTCAGTTCCAGAGAGGTATAAAAGCCACTCCAACAAATCAATGAACAATTTTCTCAAAGCTCCACCCTTTCCTAGAAATAAATCATTCAAACAAGGTAATTCAGGACAAGCAGTCAATCATATGGAGAATGGTTTAAATTCCTCAAGAAGTTCTGTATTCCAAGGATCTACGTTGCAAAGCAAGAGACCCTATTTAGACTCTATTGGTTCCGCAAATTCAATAGCTTGGCATCAACCACATACATCAAACCTGATGCTAGTAGCCAAGCGATCAGTGATATGGGAAACATTGTCGCAAGCATTGAGACTAATGTGTCAGGTGGACACCCCCTTAGTCTTGGACACCCACTTGGAGTGGTGGTTACAAAATCATCAGTAGTCCCAGGACCAAGTTTAAGCGTCAGTGGTAATGTAAAACCAGACTCAAGTTTAAATCTGTGCTCAGCACTTGGGATAAATTCAGGTGCTGCACAGGGATCTATTTCAACAACACAGACTACTTTTGTTACAAGTAATGGTCTATCCATAATGTCTGCAGCTAGTGGAGCTCAGTTGTCTGGCATAAATACGGTGACTGGTCCACTACAGCCTGGGTTGACAAATGTGAAAGAAATTTTGCCAGCCCCCCTGGTGGGAGGGAAGGTTGCAGTTGGTACAGTGTCCTCGACATCAACATCATCGCCATTGTATAAAGCGGTAATAAATATGTTTTTCTCTTTCTACTTACATTCTCAAGGCAGGGTTGGTATTAAAGTAATTTTTAAGATGTAACTGTTATGGCAATGTAAAGTTTTTGTTTGTAGTTTACTTAGGATGAGTATTAACCTTTAAACTCTTAAGATCTGATTGTAAATTCTTCCCTTGACCTGCAACCCATCCCCTTGTAACTAACTTATAAGAATTTGGTGTTTGATCAAGATAGCAACTTCTTCCTGAAGTTAGAATAATTTACTCTCATTACTTGTTTGCTTGATTATGTATGGGCATTGTAAGGAGAAGTAACATGTTAATCACTTCTGGGAGTTAAAAGGTAAACTGTGTCTCAAATAAGCAAACTGAGAGCACTTATCAGATTGTTTGTGTGATTTCAAAAAAAGACACCAATTTGGAACAGCTTCATCAATTTTTTTTATAGTTCCTGCTGGGGTTTTCTTGTATCTGATTGGCTGGTTAACCCTTTGGCTCCTAAGAGTGACTAGTATCGACTGTAACTTCTCCTTACAACATCACCCGCTGAATCACAATTTAAGGTCCTGAGGATAAAGGAAATGATTGCCGACTAAGGATGCTCTTGATTGTTGGAAATATTTTCCTTGTTAGCACCTTTGGAAATGTGTAGAGAGAATTATAGAGAATCTGCATACTGATGTTGGGGTGTAAAGGGTTATAAAAAAGGAGTTTGAAAATATTGATAGAATAAGTTTTTGGGCAAACTCAAGAATAAACATTTTCCATTCACTGCAGAAAACTGTGTGATATTCTGTGCCTCTACTAGAGAGAATAAGATTGCCATGCCAAGAAGTAATTTTACCATTTAGTTCCCAGGGGTGATTAACATGTAATTTCTCTCTATGATATCCAAATGTTATTCAACTAAAAGGTGGTGAGAATATCAAAATTTATCAGGTGGAAGTTATAACTAATTTGCAAGAAATGTGTAGCAGCTAAAGGGGAGAATGAGCAATCAGATCTTGGGAGTTAAAGAATTAAAATGCTCATCTCGGGTTTTTTTTTTTTTTTGTGATATTAAAAAATTATTTCATGGATTGCCTCTGTTTTTCTTTAGATCACAGCACAAGTGGATCCCTCAATTGGTATGAACAGTACTTCATAGCTATCATACAGTTACAGCATTTACAAGTAGCCTGTGAATCAAGCTGAAGTATCCCAGATGTGTTACAAAATTATGATTGCAGTTTTGAGGAAAAAGTAGATTTACAATTTTCAATGGAATGTAATCATACCTGGGATGAAAAACCAGAAGAAAATTGAGAGCTGTTGTGTACTTTTTTTTTTTCCAAATTCAATTCAGCAAAAAATAAAAATGAACTGTACTTTTGGAATAGTTAATCATGGCAGCTTTGAGGAGAGATATCTGGTTACTGACAGATTTTGTTATTACACAGGGCAAGTGACATCAAGCTCTGCTGGTCAGAGTGTCAGCCCAGTGTTCTTTAAACAGGTTAGTGTCATTATAGTCAGGATGAACAAAAACACACACGGCAAGTTGGTTGACCCTTTAAGTCCCAGGAGTGAGTTACCACTTCTTTCAAGTGTCTAGTCACCAGAGAGGTTTCACATTTTTGGCAGTCACTTGATAAACCAGCTGGATACAGACATCTATCAATTGGCATAACAATTATTCTTTAACAACAAAGAACTTTAATTTTTTGTTGGAAATATTTCTTTTACAATGCACATTACAGATTGACTGTAAAAACAACATAGGAAATCCCTGTATAAGGGCAATAGGCATTGCCATATGCTGGGTTAGAAGAAGCTACACAGCCAAGCATACATTGCCACAATTTAAGAAATGCAAGAATACATGAAGAAAGTAAAAGAGTATTTCTCACAAAGTGAAATGCTTATTGACTTAGGTTGGGTTAGACAGGGACGTATTTGATTAGAGGTCATGACCTGTGGACCTTGATTCTCACTGTCTTTGTTACATGTTATAAAGCCATCTGGCTTTCCTTCTTTGTCAGCATGTCCATAGTATTGCTGCTCTTGTCATACCAGATGCTAGTACATCTTATTTCTTACATTGTATTTGTTAACATATCTTTTAACAAATTCTTTCAGGGTTCGGGTGCTGTGCAAGTTACTTCCATGCCTAATGGCACAGGTCTCTCCCCACCACCTCCTGGTGGAACAGTCAAAGGCTACCCCTTGAATTTTGTCATTAAGGGTAATTCTGCAACTCAGGGAACATCTACATCAGTCACAGGAGTAACTGCAACACCTGCGAATATAAACAAAGGAAAAAATCTGATATTTAATAACATGGGATCCATGCATCAGTCACAGTTTATTGTGCAGCCATCTTCACCGATGAGTCCAAATATGCATCAGAGAGGTAAGTCCTTATAGCTTACTCTGAGTACTTCTAATAGTGCTTCCTTTCGTGACTCTCTCACTCCCAAGATCTCACTAGTAATTCTCCTTACTGTCTGCCATAATGATGATGTTAGTTTGGAGAATTTGGTATGGGATCAAGCAACAATCTCCTCATTGATATTACTTCTATTTTCCCCATTTTTCTACTTGATATTGTATTGAGATTGCAAGGAGAAATTCTGTCTTGGTCAATTATGGGAGTTAAAGGTTCAGTACTACCCCCAAAAAACAAAAACAAGAAATGCTGTGGTGGTAAAAAAAACTCAGTAAGTGCCACAACACTATTTATGACTTCCATATATTCACAACTGTTTATTCACCACGTCACAAGTTTATTTGGAACCAACACATTGACCAGCTCCCAGTTGGCTTGTTAGCTCAGTTGGTAGAGCACTGCACTGGTATCTCAGAGGTCATGGGTTCAAATCCCATACAGGCCTGAATTTTTTTCAGGCCTTCTTTTCACTACTACTTAAGTAGTGTTCATTACTACGAAGATCGCTTTCATATTCACACTATTTCAACTATATACAACTGTATGACAGTTGAAATTAGGAGATCCTCGCAGCTAAGAACACTACTGAAACGAGTAGTTGTAAATAGGACCTGAAAAAAATTTCAGGCCCGTACGGGATTTGAACCCATGACCTCTGCGATACCGGTGCAGCGCTCTACCAATTGCGCTAACAAGCCAACTGGGAGCTGGTCAATGAATTGGGTCCAAATAAACAAATAAACAACTTGTATGACAGTGTTTTCTCAAAAGAAAAATAAAGAAAAAATTCTGTATCTAGACTTCAGCTCTTATTCTGAATTATAAAGTTATGGAATGACCTTTGTTTAGGCCAGTGAACAAGTATGTGCATGTATACATGTTATTGTTATCTTGAAAAAGAAGACAATTTGTCCTTTGAAGCACGGCTGTTGTCACATTTATCATGTCTAAACAACTTGTTTCTCTTAGGTAAAGTTGCAAATGCTCGCTCAGGATCTATACATAAAGGAATCCAGAAAGCGCCATCTCCTTCATCACAGGCAAAAGTTGTGCAGTCACCTCCATCTCAACAGCCAATCCCAGCACAGCAACAAAAAACGGTGGTTGTTACAAGTCCACAGGGAAACCAAACCAAAGTTTTCATCAATCATAACAATATCACAAGTTCGCAACAACCAATTGTACAACTTACCCAACAGGTTCAACAACAACACCAACAACAACAACTTCAACAGATCACACTTCAGAAAAAATTACACCATCAACAACAGCAACAACAACAACAACAACAACAGCAGCAGCATCTTCAGCAACAAAAACCACATATCAACTCGCAATTCATCAAACAACATCCTATACAACCTCGCTTAGCGCCTGCACCACCATCACAGTCATTTATCTCACAACAGCCCTTAACAGGTCAGAACATCATTGTTAAAGTTACAGAACAACTCAAGAGTCCACCAAACACAGTGTTTGCAACAACAGAACCACATCAAAATATGCAACATGCGGTTTGCCAGAAACCACAGTCAAATGTTGTGTGATAAGTTAATTTATATTATATTATCTTGAGACTTGAAAGAAATGAATGTGAAAGGGTCATAAATTAATAACTTCTATTGGTAAGTGCATTACCTTTCTTGTTTGCTACTGCAGCCTCAGCCCATACCAGGCTTTGAATGAAGATGAATAAATAATCAGGTCAGAGAAAGTTGAGGGGAGTCTGAGGAGGAGTGACAAGGACCTTCCCTCCCTCTTCTTAGTCCTCCTCATTTTCTTTTATTTTTCCATCTGTTTGCTCTGCTTTTTTGTTTATCCTCATAATCTGGCTGCAAGCTGCTACAGCAAGGGTCCAGTACCCAAGAACCTGGGATTTTTTTAAGGGTGTTCTTGAAACAAAATCAGGTTATTTTATCAGGTGTTCTTTGTGTTGTGACTGAAGAACTGAGTAGTTGTTGGAATTCTGTGGTCATTGGTATAACCCTGTGATCTTTTCTCAGAAGATTCTATCAGTTTTTGCAAAAATTAGTTGTGGTTTAATGAAAAGAAACAAAGCATACATTCCAGAGTGCCAAAAAATGATATTTATAAAGTCAAGTGTTGTAACATAGTATGTTTCTCTGGGAAATGTGTTATTTAAAGAGTTTATTACATTACATTGTCAGCTAGGTAGGGTTAAATTCAAATTCATTAAGAAACACTAAGTCAAGGTAATTTCTGGTAACAACCTTTCAAACTTAAATGAACTTGGTTTGACGATGTAGTCTCTAAAAATGCATAATTATTTACACCTCTTTCCAAAGCCGTTTTTAACCATAGTAATGTTGATGATACTGAGCAATCTTAGTACACTAAAAAATGCAGTGGTTTGATTCTTCACTGTGCTAGACCATGAAGACAACTGCTACCAGTAAATTATTAGTATGAATTAATCATTAGTGGGGGTGAAAAGTTTAGTTGCACATCTCTGTGAACTGTAAGATCTTAAAGCTTGCCCTAATTGTCATTGCATTGTTTGTTGCAGCTACTTTTTCCTTTCATTCTTCTGGAATTTCTGTTCAGCAATCTGACTTTATTTTTGTGTCTCTTGGTTTTCAAAATTATTTTTGGGGTTTTTTTCCTAGTCAAGGAAACGCACTAGCTGTCCTAAGCCAAGTAAACTTCACTTTTGCTACAAAGTCCGTTTATTTTCAATTCATGAACAGCCATTTACTGAAGTGGAGGTGGCTGGTGGTGGATACTTATTGAGTCACAAAGTGGTGAGGTAAATATCCAGTGCTAGTGGCCAACAGTTGTTTTAGTACATACCAAATAGAGAGATAACATCACAAAAAAGATGATTTTAACTCATTTATTCCTGCAGCAATTATAATATTTTTTGGTGCAAACCCTGGACAAGGTGCTCAGAGGTGAATAGCTAGGGATATTCAGAGTTTGAGAAGCCAATCAGAGTGCGCCTAAAAACATCAGTGATTACCAAGCAATCTATATCTGTTTCACTGTAATGAAAACATTCCTTTATCTTGGTGATGCTTGCTATTTGTAGTCAGGAGATTAATTTATTTTAGTTCAAAATTTCCAGATCTGCATTTTATATACTGTGAATTTGTACATGGACAGTAGAAAAAGTTATAAAGCAAAACTATATTTTGTGAGGAAATGAGAAGTTGTGTAGGTTATAATGCTAACAAATCATCCTTAAACACGAGAGGTTTCCTCATACGTAAAAATCCTCTGGTTTAGGGAAGATCTGGAGAGTTTAATCTCAGGAGTAAAATAGCATGGAAGATAACTTGAATTCAAGTTCAAAAACTTTGTACTTGTCATGTACTTGCAATTGTGAAGAATTCAAATAGCTTATGGTGACAACTTCTAAATTCTCACCACTGGTGCCTTTGATATTGCATTCTATGTAAAAATATTGGGTGTCAGTATCTGAGCAGCAGTACACTTACCCTTCCCTAACCTAACATTAACCCACACTTATCATCAGTTGACTGTTGTTGGGTAAGGGTAGGGCAAGGCATGCTGTTGCTCAAATACTGATCAATACCCCTTATTCTCTCTGTTATTAAGATACTCACTGTGTTACTTAGCAAAATATCCTACAAGATATCAGGTAAATCTGATAGACTATTTTATAGAAAATCCCTATGGAAAGGTTACATGGCTTCGCCTTCTTTATGTACATGATTGTACTCTGTAGAGTTGGTATTTGATGCAAACTGTTTTTATCTCTTAGAAATGTCAAGTTTGTCTGGTACAAGCTTGACGTAGAGCAAACACTAAAAATCCAAAACAGTGTTCACAAATGTTTGTTTGTTTGTTTGTTTTTTTTGCAATGTTACCATATTTTTTGAAGAGTAAGCTGGGATTTGAATACATTTTATGGTGTTTCCTGTCCAAAAAATAAATAAAAATGAAAGGCTAAGACATGCATCAACCACTTTATACAACATCAGCTTTAACCCTTGCAGTCCCAAGATGAAAATATAAATTCTCCCAGCCCATTGTAAGCATTTGTGGCATGTTAGTTATGAGAATTCAACAAGGTATCGATAAAATTGCCGTCAATGATTTTTTTTATTCTCAGCACTTGCCAGCTTAAGAACTCAGGGTTCTCCTCATGAGAAGTTAGCTATTCATGTCAATTGGGATTTCAAGGGTTAAATGAAGATTTTAAATGGTTCTTTAGTGGAATGAGAGTTGAGAATATAAATATATACATTCACGTGATGGTCTGTATGCTGTTCTAATTAATTATGAATTATTATTATAATTATGTGAAGTGAATGAGGCACATTTGTCTGAGACTTACACTAAATCAATTTTGTACCTAACTTTTGTAAATAAAGTATTTATATGTTCAGAGATCTATGCAAATTGCCTAAAGAGGTCTTGAGTGTAATGTAATTAACCCTTTAACTCCTAGAAGTGATTAACACATAACTTCTCCCCATAATATCCATAGATTACCCAGCATAAAGGTAATGAGAATACTCAGACTTATCAGGTTGAAGTTATCATCTTGATCCAGTACCACATTCTCATAACTTATTTACAAGGAAATGTGTAGCAGCTAGAGGGGAGGATTAACAATCAGATCTTGGGAGTTAAAGGATAAAGATGTTCTGGTATCATACCTTGTGGCATGCAGTACAGCCCACTGCAACAAGACTCACTTGTGTCTCTACCTCTGAGACCCAAACTTAGTAACTAGAGGTGTTGCCCTGTTACAAGTCCACCCCCAGAGGATTTCCCCCATATAAAAACAAACTACTCAGCCTTAAATCAACCTTTAGCTCCCAGGAGTGATTAACAAGTAACTTTTCCCTATGAATCCTAAACATTATCCAGCAAACAGTTCATGAGAATATTCAAACTTATCTCGATCTGATACCAAATTCTCGTAACTTATTTACAAAGAAATGTGTGTCAGCTAGAGGGGAGAATTAACAATCAGATCTTGGGAGTTAAAGAGTAAATATGCAAAGCTTGGTATCTCAGCTGTCTTGTTCTCATCACATTTGGTTCTTGGCCAAAACATTCCTAGAAACAAGTTTCATGAGGTAATTCTCTTACAATCAGTTGGGTGGTCCTGAAACTTCAAATGTCCTGCATGAATACTTGATTTTGCATGGTCACGACCAAGTAGTTTAGCAGGATGTTACTCACTCTTTGGTCTGGTCTTGGAAAGTGAGAGGAGGGCTCTCCCTCGTTAGGCTTAAACGGGTGAGGACTGCTAGACGGGATGTGATTTCAGAGGTCTTATTCTTAATAGGGTAAGCAGTCAATAGTGGTTATTCACTGTGGAGAATACAACAAAAGCGGAACGTTGCGATCCACATCGGAAGTGGCAGCATCGTTTCTCGGGTATACAGTTTTTCCATTTAGCGTACTGAACACGTTGTTCCTACAGTCCTTTACAATCCCGATGCCTTGGGTAAGTTGTGAACTTGGAGATGCCAAAAGCAACAACTTTTTTTAGCATAATCCCAAAAAAAGGTCCTAATCGATGACGATCTTCTATCATTTGTACCATTTGCTATCCAAAACAGGATTGATAAATGAATGGTTTTTTTTTTAAGAGTCCCCCTTTCCTTAGTTCTTGTTCTCGGAGAGTCATGCTCCGCCAACCTCGTCCCTAGGCTTGTCTGTGAGGATGGAACTTAAGTGACGTCACAGCTTACCCGTGGGTCTAGGGTCTTATACTCCTAAGGGAAATGCTTTCTGAAGTTTTGGAGCCGGAAATGGGGTGGAATAGTCTATCATGACTGAAAACTTTTCAATCCAGTCAACAAACTAACATCTTACAGGCTCTTTTAATTATGTTTTCCCTGATCTCAGAACCCAAGGAGGTATTCTAAGTCAAATAAAAAAAATCGAGTGACAAATGGTAATTATTCCTAGTTGAGTAAACATTTTGCAAGACCTCAATGTTTCCTATTTCTGTGTGCAGCAAAAGCAAACAAGCAAACTGTTCTTCAATTCGAAGCAGACACCGGAGGAAATTGATGTTTCCGTGAAGAAAAACCTATGAACGCTGAAAATAATAAACTTTTCAGTCGTACACATTGAATTCAAGTTGTTCCTGAGCCTCTATCAACTCGTTAACTGCTGCAACCTATAAGCAAAGTAACGCTCCGCATCGTAGTCATGTCCGGCTTGTCACGCAACGCTCTCCTCAATCCGAAAGTTGCAATGCTCTGAACCGTAAAATAATAACCAAGGCTTCGATTATTGAATGAGATGTTTATTCTATCATTTATTTATACCTTTACATTCGCTATCACAAAGAAGAAGAAGAAGAAGAAGAAGACGAAGAAAATCGTTTGTTGACTGAATTAGTGCATCAAAGAAAAAAATATGTCAATATGTAAAATAAAAAGATACGAATAAAAACCTAACACAAAATTAAACCTAGAATTTTCCTTTTATTGACTTTAAACAATAACATAGTTTATAATATATATTAAATTCTACTTTAATAGAAATCTAACTTTTTAGAGAGATCACATGTCTCAACTATATGTAGTAACTAAATTTGAATTTACATTACTCAGCGTTTTCTACTTGCGTTTTGATCGGTTCGTACTTCCGTTCCTCTGTCAAGTCAGTCAGTCCTTTCGTTCCCTCACTCGTTCTTTCGTTGAACAATCAAGCACTTGTTCTTTTTTTCAAACGCCTGTTTTTGGCATTGGTTGTTAGTTCCTTAGCATATCATTTCACGTCTTTAAACTACCTCCACGAATAACGCTGAAGAGAAAGCAGTCTGTCAAGAATCCCAACTTAGGGCGACGATATTATGTATTAAGTTCGTATCACACAGCGCTGAGCTGCTTATCTATCGTTGGTTAGGTGGAGAACAAGACTGTATCTTTACCGTCTTTCATTTTGGAGAGAAACAGTATATATTTTTTATGTTTTGCTCGAATTTATGTGAGTGAGCTTTAAGTTTTGCTTTCATTTCATCAAGTTCATTTATGAGTGCGTCAATGGCCTGCCCAAAAGCTTCCTTTGTTTGCGCTGAGAACCATTTCCCAACCAAATGACCGCCAAACATTCCGAGTAGAGCTCCAACGAGGCCACCAACGATTGGAACAGGAATAAAAATTTGACCTACAATCGTCCCAGCGATACTTCCGCCGGTACGAAAAAGCGCCAATATCACTTTGTCAACCACTTCCGCGATGAACTCTTTTCTTGTTTTATTTAATACTCCACCTCTCCATTTCGCGTACTCCTTACGAATGTCCACAATTGCCATAATGGTTTCGATAACCATGGTCGATACAACCCCAATGCCGATTCCGAGTTTCGAGAAGGCATTTCTCACAGCTCTTCCAGCTGCAGCCGCTGCAAAGTCGTCCCAAATTTCGGCACCCACCTTCGGTAGCTGCTGAATCCCATGCCAAAGTGTTCTTATCGCGGCACTTGATGTCTCCGAGAGGGCTTTCCCCGTTTTAGTCACCTGCAAGCTAATGTTAAGGTCACACAAACACCACATAACGAATGATTCACAGTTGTTGTTTATCAGATGGTAGTACTTCTCGTTCATCCTTCTAAGAGCTCTTGCAATCACCTCTTCTGTCGAGTATTGTCGCAGTTCGTCCGGCCAAACAACCCTTTCCACTTCGACTCTTAACAGGTCCGTCTCTGAATCGACATCATTCTTTGCGATCAAGTCTCCGTCGGGCAAAGTCGCCTCCTGAATTTTCCCCAACTGTTCGAGACATGAACCGGAACCGAGGGAGGTCGGAAACAACTGCTTCATGGCATTTCCCGGTGTGTTATAATAGTGAATGATCTTTGGCTTTCCGCTTATCTCGTCTATTCCGCTGCAGAGAAAATGGTGCGCGTACTCCAACAAACTACCTGGGTTTCTTGTCATCAAGAGGTGGTCGCCTGGTTTCATGTCTGAGAGTCGACGGATCGGCTCCCTTGCTTGAAGTTGCCATCGAAGAAGATGCTTTTGCTCTTCGGATTTACGTTTCCTGATATCCTTCCAGATTTCTAAGGATTCCCTTGAAACCATTTTGATATCTACCGCATCCAGTGCATAGCAAGCTTTCAACTTCTCTACTGAAATTGAAATCGTCACAAGAAGCCTTTATATATATTTCGGTTTCCACAACATGGGATTTTTCCCTGCTTTCATTTTCCCAAAAATAGCTCAAAGGGACTTTCCCTTCTCATGGTTTAATAGATACTTGCATCAGCTAACCTTATTTGGGTGTTCTCATTGGCTGCAGAAAAGACGTGACGTAAAATATTTAAAACAATTGAGCAAACCACGAGTGGGAGGGAAACAGTAGCGTGGTGAAACTAAAAAACTTACGTTCACAGCAATGGCTCCATACGTACGTTTCAAAACTTTGCACAACAATGCAAGATCACCAAATTTTGAGCAGACTGATCGATTCGAGGAAAATTATTAATGTTTCTGTCTGGAACTCAAAGGAGCGTTCTAATGTGACACTTAAGTAAACTTCTGGCGCCGTTAGTTAGGGTAAACACATGTGCATCGAGCCATAAGTAAAAATCTCAAGATCTATGAAAATTCACAATTCAATCAATTTTGTTTTATTGACATTTGACTGAGCTAACATTTAAAACTGTTTACGCATTATTGGGAAACCAAGCCACATCCCAAAATAATTTCACGTAATATATATCTAAAAATTAACTTTGGAGCTGTAGTTGATATGAAAGAAGCCTTAATCAACATCCACACACAGAATTCAACAGCTGATTATCTTATTGTTTTTGTGTAAAGCTACAAGATATTCATTAAGAGCAGGACAGATTCATATCTTTATTGAATAATGATGCTAATTATAAAACCGGCGGCGCTCTTAGGCGATATGAAACGAATCCTTTGTTCTCATTAGCTACCCGAGCAGGCAAGATGGCCTCATCTTACCCGCTCGGGATTGCCCGCATTAATCCCGCGCAAGTAAAAAGAATTCGTGGAGTGGACCCTTAAAGTTCTTAACTTTTGGACAATGTCAGTGCTTGAGTCCCCAAAAGCAGCAGAAGACAGTCAAAACAAAGAAAACATAAACGATTCTCGTAGGTTCATTGTGCTATAAACACAGCTGGCTTTCTTCTCCGACCCTCGAAATAAACAAGTAATTCTTGATCCATATCAGAGCAAAATCTTTTTGCGATCTAACCAATCCTTTATTTGCCAAGCTTGTTCGCTTAAAATGGCTAGATATTAGCCTTGTTTTTCTTCCCCTTTTTTTAAAGCGCAGAAAGAGAACTCGGTCAATATCCAGCCATCTTGACCTCACACCTGGTCACCAACGCATATATATGGTCACGCCATGTGTGTGTAATTTGATTGGTCACTTTAGTTGCTGTCTATGACGGAACGGACAGTGAGTGGCGGAGCCAATCAGACTGAAGTATCTGTGACGTGACAGATTTAAAGTGCTAAAGCCTGTTGGAGGTTGCAAGTGGGTCCCTTACAAGTGTATACCCTTGAATGGGCGCAAGGCGCTTATTTACAATTCTGGAACAAAAAGGCGGGGGGGGATTAACCATCGTTTGAGTTTTACTTCGAATGAAATGAATCGCTTTATTGTCCCATGGAAATTAATAAACAGGGAATGTTGTCATATGAACTTAGTCCTTTGATGCCTAAGAGTGACCAACATCTAATTTCTCATTCCAATATCGCCCCTGAATCACAAATTATTGTCACAGGAAGAAAGGATATAATCAACCACTTAAAATGCTCTTGATTGTTTAACAAATTCTCCTTCTCAGTAACCCCGGAAATGTGTAGAGAGTAGTATGGAGAATATGCATACTGATGTTAGAGTGTAAAGGGTCAAACTCGATTTTACATGAATTAAAGGCCGGGGGAAGGAAACCTCGACAGCTCTATAGCTAAGGGGAAATACTGCTTCCACGTTCTTGAGATTTGGAAACAACCTCTGGCTGAATTTCCCACTACAAATTACAGCTACTTGTAGAGCCGCACAAATCTATTCTTCTGAAGTCAAGCTAGCATCACAATTCAAAGTAATTGTCATTGTTCTAAAGAGTAAGTCCTCAGTTATCAAGATCAGCCTTATCAAATGGGTGACGGGTTTCTCTCGCTTCAGCACCTCAAGCTCTGAGAGACTTTTATCGCGTTATTTACACTCGCTATGAATGACGGAGCGAGCTAACTTACACAAGCTTGTGGAGAGAAAAAAAATCTGTCACTTAAGATAAAACAGTTCAGTGTCTTTTCTTTTAGTCGGATAAATGCGAGGCCAAAGTAAAAGCAAAGGCCCAGATATCCCTCAATAGCTTCTCCACAGCTTCGCTATTACTCCAACTGTTGGGTAATCCAGCCTTGGCGACAACTTCCCATCGTGTCATAACTTTACTGAAGGCAGATACGTGTTCTGTGGGTCGAGAATACTCAGTAACCTCGTTCACACTGATACGAAGGGCTTTCCTAAACTCGCTTTGCATTGCTAAGTCTTCGTTCAGCTTGTATATCCGGGACTTTTTGTGTCGAATCAAGGCCACCTCCTTCCAAACTTCCGGTTTAACTACATAAGGACATCAGGGAAGCCTGTGCGGAATGTTGAGGCTGCAAGGTATCACGGTACTGTTCATAAGCAGTTCCACGTATGTCCTCTGAGCGCAGTGCATGGCGGGTCTGTAATAAGAAACGGACATCAGTCTCGACTCCGTCTAGATCAGTGATGTCATGATCTTCGGGATTTTCCCGCCAAGACCTCTTCACATCTACCGCACACCAGCGCAGCTTGGGATACATGATTTCGAGAAAATTAAAAGCTCCATCTGTGAGAACACAGAATTCGTGATCCGTGTGTATTTCAACCAGGTAAGACTCTGAGCTTTTTTCCTCTAAAAACCCGCGCTGCATCAGAAAACCCATGATTTTCTCATGCGATGTAACGATTGTAAAGAAAGAGCTTCGAGAGGGTTTCCGGTTTGGTGCCTTTTTGCCATCCTCCCCGACTTCGTTGTTCTTTCGCTTCTTAACTTTTCGACTTTTTAGAGTCTTGACGTACTTTTTGTCATTTCTAGGAGTGGTGGAGAGCACACTGGGTCGAGGTTTGTAACCACGTGACAGATTTGTTTGGAACACACTAACAGTTGGCGATTCTGTGTCCTCAGTAAATGATTTCGGAATATTTAAAACATAAATGCGTCCGAAGTGAACGGCGAACTCCATTTCACCGTGAATGGAAGGCACAAAATCCCTCTCTATCATCTGGAAAATTGAAAAAAAAAGGAAGTGAAGGGAACAGTCTCAATTCATAGCCTACGAGGGGAAGGGGAGCTTAGAGAATTTTCTCTGTGTCACGATAAAAATTACCTGAAACCCCATAGGGCTCTAGAATAATTTTATGCGTTCCCCCTCCCCCATTGGCAGTTAATTGGCAGTCAATTTACTATAGTCCCCCTTTATACTCTGTTAGCAACGACTGATCTCCTCCTATGTTGCCCCTGAAAACCATGAAACCCCAAAATCCTCCAACTTCCCTCCCCCGACATCCCGCCAAATAACAATGACTGGTCTTGAATCTTTGAATCAAGGTCTTTAGGTTCAAAAATCAAATGTTCAACAGAAGGTGATGTAATGGAAAATGAGATGAAGAAAGGCCCAAAAACATTCCGGGAAATAATGCTAATTTTTTTATAATTTGTTTTTTAAAACAATGGCAAATATTTTATTCGTGGAATCATGCATTCGTAAAGCTCACAATATTCGTCTCTGGTACAGAGATCTCCGTCGCTTCCCGGTATCAACCCGAGCCCCCAAAACTTTTAGATCACTGTCTAAAGCACTGCACGAAGATCTATAAAGTCTCTCGATATCAACCCGAGCGCCTTCAAAACTTTCAGATCAGTGTCCAAAGCACTGCACGAAGATCTGCGAAGTTTCCCGATATCAACCCGAGTGCCTTCAAAACTTTCAGAGCAACGTCTACAGCACTGTAACAGTCATCGTAATTCATACCTGAACTTGAGTGAGAAACTTCTCCTTAAAGCTTTGGAACTCATATCGGGTAAAGGCGGCTCCTATACGCCTAAGGTCAGATCTCGGATTTATCAGCATGGGCACGTACAAAGCCAGACTATCATGGGTGGGGTGGCGATTTCCGTAGTACGGCACCAAAGTGATGCGGTCATCGTCACTGAGAGAACCTTCTATCACCATGAGTTTGGCTTCCTTAACGAAGCAAACTGACATAATGGCAGCCCTATTACGCAAGGCTTGCGTTGCCATGGCATTCAGTGCTCGCTCTACTGACGCCACAGCAGACTCAGTACCAATAGCTTGAAGAACAAGACCAAATCCTGATCCGGGGAGACTGGGACGAATTGTTACTCTCGCACCAGTCTTTTTCGACAACTCATACGCGTTATGCCTTTCTGAGCCCGCCATGGCATATGACAGCTCCTCTGACAAGAAAATAACACGGTCGATTTCTGATGCACTGATTGTAAGAAGCACTTCAACGTCACCGTAAAGTGCCAACAGATGAAAAGCGCGTTGCATGTGCTCCTTGAGCAGGCGCAAGTGTTCTGCGTCCAGCAGTTCTGATAGTTTGGCCACGCCTAATAGTGACGCAAATGGTTGAGGAATTTCTGCTTCGAGGGTGGAGTTGTAAGCTTGGAAAAAAGTCAGCAGGATCTCACCGATTTCTTCATCACCGAGAGTGATTGGAACACTGGCCTCGTTTTCTGAGGATTCCAATGACGGTAAAGATGCAAGAACATCTCGCCACTCCTGGATAAGAACTATGTCGCTCACTTGTCCAGTTGAAATCTGTAAGCACCTTTCCCAAACACTTTCCATGTTGAAATTTTGCACCAAATTCTTGGAAGCGCAGAACATAAGCAACAAGAAAGTTAGCTCATTTGACTTAATCCCTGCCTCAACACCATGTCCTGCGAGCCCCGTCACATGACCCCAACTGAGGAGGAGACGGAGAACCGGCAAGAGACCTGGGTATGATCTTATGTAGCTGGATAACACAATAGCTTTGAGGAGACCTTCCCATGAGGCTGAGAGATCACCTGTTACTTTAACCAAGGGACCCCCATAATTGGACGGGTTCTGGCAAGAAATCACCTGAAATCAAATACAAACAGCCTTATTAGACACAGTTATTTTCAGGGAGAGAATCTGGCAGAAAACTCTTAGCCATAGGGAAAAATTCTTAAAAAAGCGCTCATCTCGGAGTCTTCCACTGAGTTTCCATGTCATTTTCACGTAAACAAGCATTGTGGTCAATCTTTTTGTCTCCTTTTTTGAATGGAAGGGTGGCCTCTTTCCTTCTAGAAGATTATATACCAAGTTTTGGTGCAGAAAGGGAACATAGCAAAAAAAAAAAAAGAAAAGTGGAATATGTGAATTCATTGAGTGCTCGAGAATTTAATCATTGATGATGATTGTATCGAGAATTTCCGCATGTATACAAGGTATCGCTACTCCGAGATGAGTTTGCTAGATCTTCAGATAAATGATATAGTTATAGGATGACAGAGGTCACAGCACACGCATTATTTAAGAGAAATAATCCACCTCCCTCAACTTCAAGACAGCACTTACCGGAACCTTAGCGGACTCCACCAGACGCGCATGCTTAAACAGCTTCTTCATGATTGGGTGTAATTTCGTCAATAAGGCGATCTGTTCCTCTCGATCCAATCCTTTTCGTCGCGCGATGCGCACAGAGTTTAGCACACAAAGATCAAGATCCGAATCTGTTCTGAAGAGAAGTGTCGCTGAAGAACCGAATAAAGCAAGACTCATTCCAGGAATTTCTCTAGAAATTAGATTCTTTTTCTGAAGTCTTTCTTCAAAACACGGCAAGAGAACTCTTCTGTCTTTCTCAAAGACCTTCAAAACGCTTTCATTAATCGACTCTACGATGCTTGGAGACTCCTGTTCCTCAAATGCGCTTTCTGTTCTGATTGACAGCATAACGTCATCAACCAGCCACGGAAAGCTTAAGAACTGCTTTGAAGGGGTTCCATCCGGAACATTTTCTGCTGCGTCGGTCGATTGCTTGTTGCTGTACGCCACGTAGTACCAGGCCGAGGCCTTTCTTCGCATTTCTTCGGAAATAACATCTTCGGCTCCTCGAATATCTTCGTTCACTTCGAACTCTCTGAAGAACCTTCTCCGAAAGCTTTCGCGTATTTTAGTGAGAATTTGCCCAACTAGGTCAGCAATCTCGACTTTTTCTCTTCCAAGACGAGAGTGTACTTTAAGAAAACAGCCCGAGAGCAGCTCGGCTTCTGTCTCAATTCCGTAGAGGTTCATCAGCGTTTGAAGCTGGTTGGAGTATTCCTCATACAGCTCCTTTGCTTCGTCTTGGTACCTCTGGAAATGGGGCACTAATAAAGCGTAGTCGATGTGTGGTTTCTTTCGAGGAACCTCTCTCCCTATACTGTCTTTAAATGCTCTGCACTCTCGATAAAGCTTTCCCAAAACCTTGTCTGAAGGGTAGCTGGGTTTGTCGGATTTCATCATGAAATCAGGAAACTTTAAGACTTTCGCCTCTTTGGGCATTTCGGGCCATTCCCCCGTCTTTGGAGCGTCAACTGCTAATGAATGAAGCTCAGCTAATTTAAGACATAGTGACGACTCGACCCCTCCCTCGTCACAATCGGCATGTGCTTTATGTGCGTTGTCAATCACACCAAGCTGGTCAAACCGGATATACTCGGCGACAAATTCGGTCATGTGATGTATTTGAATTGGTCCGTGCACTTTTTTTTTAGGGGGTGCTTCGTAATTCATCGGTGGAAAAAGTTTTCTCTTTGGCAAAAGCTCTTTATTCCAGCAGACAAAGTAGAGGTCGCCATCGAGATCTCCACCTGACAAGAAGAAAGTCATGATTACAATTTGAAGACATCCTTACCGGTGGCATTAACGCTTTCAGCCCTAAGATTTCCATAGTAATTCTCCTCACCGTCTACCAGACAATTCTTATGATGTTAGTTCGGAGAATGTGTTATTAGATCAACGGATAATCCCCTAATGAATATTGTTATTTATTCTCGTCACTTTTTTCTTGATATTGTCGTGAGGAATTCTGGCTTTGGTCACTTATGCGAATTAAAGGGTTTAGCATTAAAAAGCGTGCGCTTACAGAGTTCAGAGAAAGAGCAGAGAGAGAGCGCCTTAAGAAAGATCATTAATATAAACTACACACCCAGAAGTGAATAGAGCTTTTCCCGCATGCTGATTGGTTAGTTCTGAAGTAAATAGCGGGAACTTTTCGCCAAAGAGTAGCCAAAGAGACAAAATCGCAAATCAAGCGTTTAATTTCCGACCATTAACTACTCTGCCGCCGAAAAGAAATAGACTTATAAAAGAACTTGATTGAATCCTTATGTGTTTTTTATATTCTACCCCTGAGTGGAGGTTAAGAGTACCTATTCAACCAAAAAATTAAAGTTCCGTTTGAGCTAAATCCTTTGCGTGCACTGCTGGATATCTCCTCACGCATGCTCATATTAAGAGAAAATTTGCAAACACAAAGACACCGTCATTCCATGCTCTGTTCATGCGCAATGGCGACAGCGGTATTGGTGGTGAGTCGTGCGTAAGTCAAGAAGGAGAAAAATTGTGAATGACCAGTATTTTTTCGTCACTCCTTTGCCTTTGATGAAACCTGGTGATCAATACTAAAGGATCAGAAATAATTACTAACATCAGTAATACCTGCCATTTCACTCGGATGAGGGCGTGGTCCATGATTAGGAAACACGACGCAGTCCACCAAATGAACGAGTTGAGCCGCGTATACTGCGGTCAGCTGTCTGACATCTCCGGGATGGAGACAAGGATTTCTTGTTATCACTACCGGTCCTTTGAGGATATGTTTTTTTGATTTACTGAATTCTCCTTCGTGATCAGGGTCATTGGAAGTCGCTGAATACTGTGCAAATACCTGGAGAGATATTAGTTTGAGAAGAAATGTTAGAGTTCGTAGACAAACGTAATCTAAGCAGTAACGGCAAAAAAGAAAAAAAAAGAAAAAATCCATTGAGCATCGAAAGGGATTCGGGACTACACTCGTTTCGCTTTACTTCGCAGTGTGATAGGTTTAGATAACTTGGTCACTCGCGTTTTTGCGCGCTTCAATAAATTTGTTTGTTTTTGCCATGAGGTCTAGATAGATAGATAAATTTGTTTATCAACGATAAAATCCTTCAGGACAATCTACGAGTACAAAATATTTAATTCTGCCGGCTAAACTACCTAATAATTGATACCGTATTAACATCGTTAATAAATTAATAATGAACTAATAATTAATACAGTATTATAAGAATAAAAACCTATCATATCATTAAAGCCGCTTTTCTAGGATGCCGTGTCTCATTCAAAAGTTATAATGACGCACTTTAATTTTGAATTCGCGATAGGAAACAGTCGATCAGAATCCATGGGGAAGGCTGTTCCAACTGTTCCACAACGAAGCACCCTTATAGGAAAAACTTATCCTCAAATAGTTGGTTTATTTCACTTTCTTCTGATTGGCCGTTGTAATTAAGATGGTTTTGGTCTTACGACACACAATTTATTTACACTGAGCATTAACAAAAAGTAACAACAGCGAGAATAATCACAGATCAAACTATTTATCTTCTAACCTCGCCTGGCTTTAAGGTCCCCGTCTCATCCATGACACCTATCATAAGTCGAGCCTCCGCTGGTGGAAGGAGAATGCGGGCTCGGCTAAGCAGATTTTGCATTCGCTCTTTGTACAGTGCTACCAACAAAGACTTAAAAAAGGGTTCAGTGGTCAGTTGCATTCCAGCTTGAGATAGGCTCATGTAAGCGATGCCAGTTTTGGCCCCCGAAGTCATCTGCTGAGAAGCCAGCTGTTCGTTTACAAGCATTCCTTAAAATCAAATATAATCAGGTTACTCACAATAAAGAGGCTAGAACAGAGAGTCTGGTAACAAGTCTTTCCCAGGTTCTTTGCTTCTCAAGTTTCAGAGGTGATGCTACCTCGGCTCCGCAGAATTGCTTTGGTAAGTGCTGAATTAGAGGAAAACTGGGTCTAGTGCACAAAGTCGAGGCTAATCATTAGCTTCTGGGAGAAAAAAGATAAAAAAAAAAGCAGAAATATTTAATGTTTAAACATTTCTTTTGTAATTACGTCCCACTGCACAATTAGGAACCATTTGTAGCAGGAAGACAAGCCAAGCAATGCAAGTCAAACCACAGAAGAAATTAAGTATGCTTCATGATTCAGATTTCGGCCTCGACCCGCTGTGCTCAACCCAGTTTCCTTATACTTCCTCACGTTCACACAGGGCGACGTCTATTTGAAACAGATCGATTATTTACGTTCTCACCTGCCAATCGGTCCAACATATCACGCTGTAATTTCATGAATACATCATCCGGAATACCGAGATTAGACAAAAGAATGATCAACTGGTGATTCAAGAAAACGGCCTGGGGACGAGAGGTCTGTAGCACTTCAATCCGTCGATGGGAGCTTTCAAACTTGCGCATGCTCGGGCGGAAGACCGCTATGTTGCCTGGAAGCCTGGGATCAAGTGTTAGAACTCCTTTACATCCAGCAAAGCGAACTTGGATCGCGGAAGGCAAAAAGTTCTTGGCTATCTTCTTGGCGACCTGCCAAGGAGAAGAAGTGCAACGGTTGTCGAGCGTGGAGAGACTAACTCAATGTTAATGACGCTGAGAAAGCACACAGTTGTTGGCAAGCTCAATGAAAAAGGCTCTGTTAAGCGTCAAGTTGGTTAACATCATTCTTTAGCGTTGAGTAGTGCATCCTTACACAATATGACTTCACTCGCGATCAACGCGCGTGCGCAATACAGAGGAGTGACTTCTCGTCTACATAAAAACGATGACAGTAGCAGAAATCACCGGTTCTAAAAATAATATTTCTGACATTCTTGCTATGAATAGAAACAGCTATACTTGAAGCGATTGCATTAACTGAGTTTCAAGTCTTTTTTCCTATAACAATCACTGATAGTGTTTCTATTCTCTGAGTTCAAATCCTTACCTGGCGAGCAAGAGATTCCGAAATTCTGCCCACTCCATCCGAGAAGCAGTAGCTACCATTTGTTGTTTCAATGTCTTCATCCATTTCCCAATTGGTCCCTTCACTGACGTCGATACCAACTGCATCCATGGATGTCGAAAAGCACTGACCCATTCGCGCCATGAATGTGGCAACACAACTAAGGATAGATGGGAAACTTGTTGAGAATTTGAAGGAAAATGATTGGCGCTCACTCGCCATATGAGTTATCATTATCAGTATCTAAGCAACTGTGCACCTACCCCTCCCCTAGCACAACTCCAGTCAACTAGTAATTAGTTAAGGCTAGGGAAGGGGTAGGTGCGCAGATACTGACATTGATCCCCGTTTTCCATGACATGCACGAACCTCTCACTAGGAGTAACGCTGCTCCTTTTAGATTTAAATGGTCCATCACGTGTAACCTCCCCCCAGCCCCCAGCTTTAAGTCAGGTTTTCCTGATTTCAATCGTTTTTAGATGTCCATCAAAACCTCACATGTCCATAAACGTTTTTTCGATCTTAGTACCTTATTCTAGAGAAGTCTCCCATCCATTCTCTTATCTCCTCTGGCCGAGGACTGGGACGAACAAACCAGCAGCCGTGATTGCGCAACTGACTGTTGGAAGATCCTAAAAAAAGGAATCTATCCCCGCCTGCAATCACTCCACTGTCCAAGATCCGCTTCAAACGTTCTAAAATGTTATCAATGGCTCCAGCTGCGGACGAAAGCCTCGAGAAGTCTTCATCACGAAAGTTCACACACAAAAACTGGTTTGTGTTGTAATTGCGAAGGACACGATTTTTGGACATGATCTCTGGTGTGTAGTAAAGGATTCTTGTGGGTGTAATCACCATCCGTTTTATCATGGCGCACTGATCGGGTAGCAGTTGCTTTGGGAATCCCCCTAGATTCAAATTTGTTTGGTTGAGCAAGGCTTCGAGTTGGGCCTCTGGATCGCAGAATAAATTCTGATTGAGAGCTGTGCCAAGTCTTTCCAAGGCAGACAATGTTGTTTTTTCAGGTTTACTTCTAAGCAAAGTGGCGAACTTGGTCGTGATTCTACCCCTGGCGAATGGGAAGGAACTCAGAACACATTGCGCGGCGTATTTGACGACAAAAGGTAACTCCTTGGAAATGTTCACCTCTGGTAATCGTCTCACAGATTTGCGCATAGAAACAAAGAACGACTTCTTGTCATATCTAGCAATGCTTTTAAGTACCTCTTTGACATGTTGCCATTCACTCGCCTTAAAGGTAAAGTTGTAGGCGAAGCACAAACCAAAAGCTTCCCCGCTGTCTCCGATTTCTGTAACACGCTCCCAATTCACCACGTCGTCAATTCGCGCGAGATCCGAACTCGTCAAAAGAGCTTCGGTATCATCTTCGAACTTCACTTGAGTACTTTCGGCACTACTGCGGTTGACTCCGGAAGTCGTTTGATCATCTTCGGAATCGCTCGAGTACTCGCTGGAGAAGCCACGATCGTCATCAAAATCGAAGTCGTAGTCGTTCTCATCGAAGTACCAATCTTCAAAGTCGTTTTCTTCGTCATCCTGCTCTTTCTTGATTAAATTCTTCGCTCTATAGATGCGTGGAGGATGCCTCAGGGAGATTATTACCTCTTGAGACGAAGATGAGCTCCGTTTGTCCACCAAAACAAATTCTCTCAGTTCGCTGTAACGTATTTGCAGCTTGTACAGATCTGCTTTCCATTTGCTGAATGGATTAGCCATTGTAAAACAGATCAACAATGTTCGCAGATCATGCTGAAACGCAACGCGAATGTTTTCCATCCGCTTGGTGGAGTTGAAAGGCCAGTGAATACAGAAATGCGCTCGATTCCAAAAGTACCCCAGATTGATGGCTTCTGCTTTGATGACAAGCACCTGTTTGGAATACTTTTGACTCTGTGAGGGCTCATCTCGATATAACCAGTGCTTCTCCGTTTCAGATCGATACGCTTTGGGACGCGAACACCACGACTGAACGATATGAGTGAAGAATTTTTCTTTTTTGCGGAAAATTTGGTCTTCACAAGGCTCTAACTGTAGGCGAAGAATGACTGAGTGACTTTGGTCCGAAGTGCTCTCCTCCCCTGCTGAACTCTCAGCGTCTTTAACAACTTCAGAGGTTTCTGGCGCCAAGGACTTCACATCAAAATATTTCTCGAAGTATTCTGTTAGTTGGCTAACTTCCTTGTTGTTGTTTCTATCTGTGACAACATTGAAAATAGCGATTCGTACATTTGGAACACGCTTCTTTCTTCTCTTTCTGGGTCCTCCTGATGCGAGACTTTCTCCTCGTTCATGGATGGTCATTGCTTCGACGCTGTATTCATTTTCCACGTCATCATCCTCTTCCTCAGCTTGTGGTTCCTCTTCTGCGCATACCATGGTCGGCGGTTCAACTGGATGTGATCGTTGGCTCAAGTCTGGCTTCTTCATCTCACAACCGAATGACTCTGCTTGTAATGGAGCTATGAAATATTGTTGCAACCTCATTGCGTATTCCATGTTCTTTTCCATTTTGATAGCATCGAACGCGTTCGTTTGCTCTTTGCAATCACTGCAGATGACGACAAACCGGCTGTCGGGTCTACGAGATGCTCTCCCGCGACTCTGCACTATTCCCCGTACAGTCAGTGCGCTGTCAAAGCGGATGACCAGGTTACATACTGGTACGTCCAGTCCCTCCTCTAAAACGCTCGTGCTGACAAGTAATTTAACTTCTCCAGATCTTAACTTCTTGAGGATTTCCTCCTGTTCTCCTCTCCAGTCCATTCCATCGCTTCCCCGGCCATGACCGACGAGGAAGGCTGGGTTCAATGTTTTACAAATTTCAGTTTCTTTCTGTAGCCGTTCACAGAGCTTGTGGGCAGTCCTCCTCATTTTGACAAAAATGATCCCTCTGGAAGTTTCGTCTTTTTCAACCCGAAGAATAAATTTTCGAAGTTCCATGGTAAGGTGTTGATACCTGTCGCTGAACGCGAAAAAGTTTGAAACTCGTCTGAGGTCTTTGATCGACGATTCTAGAACATTTAGCGCATTTAAAGAACCAATGAGCTTCTTCTTGAGCCGTTCCAAAGGAGATGTGGCCATTCGAAGCTGTCTAATGCACTCTTCAAGACACTCCACAGCATATTCGTTCCCCAAGATGTTGTTCACTTCAATCACACTGAGCATGTGCATGGCATGTTCTCCTAGTGCCAAGCCCTTTACGCGGCTCTTGTCACCATGGCAACGTTCAATCAACTTACGCAAAGCACCGCGGTAGTTGTGTTTTAGAACTTGCAACTTGTCAAGCGCTCGAGGACACTTGGCTTCCCATTCGATGAGCTCTTTCAAGGAGTTGAGGTACAACTCCACGTTTGATTCAAAAACTGTTTGCTTGGTGTTAAGAGGAACCACCTGATATTCCGTATCCGGTCGGTTCCAGTACACTTCTAGGTCTGTAGACCGAGAAGGCATGCGCCCACATGCGGATAGGTTCGCCAGAAGTTCCTTCAGTTTTTGCGACGTTTCCTGGGGTGTATCAGCGCTTGCTGGAGAGGCAGTCAGCGCCAGCACTAGAGGCTTAAACTTGTCACTTGTAACGCTATAGAAATCTCTCATGACCTGATTGTAGCAATGATTTCCAAGGCAATGATGGGCCTCGTCGAAAACGAGAACAGAAATATCAGACATGCGCACCACCACAGGATCACTGGCCATGAGGTTTAACAAAATCTGATGAGTCAAAACCAGGAGATCGATTTTATTCTCTGCCAGCGCCTGAACGGTGGCTATCCAACGCGACTTATCGCCCGGGAAACGTCCAACATCTCCCGCTAATATCTCCACTCTGAGGTCTGGAACTTGGGACTTGATGTAGTCTCTCTGTTGGTACACAAGTGGTATGCGGTCCACCAAGAACACCATCAATTTGTTTGGGTTTAGTTTTTTCATACAGCTCAGCACCATGGCTGCAATTAAAGTCTTGCCCGAGCCCGTGGGAAGGTAGACCAGCGTGTTTCCGCGCAAGGCGTCCAGAAACATTTCTTGTTGATATTCGCGCGGGATCTGCTTCGTAAAAGACAAGACTTGCTCCGTAGTTAGGCCGTTCCGTACATCGCAATAAATCAACGGCTCTGAAGGAGTTTCATTCTGTTCAATAGCATCTGGAAGTTGTAGCTGAGAAATATTAACAACCTCAAGGCCATACCGCAAAAGTTTGTCTTTAATGTGCTTCAATCTTTTCCCTCTGATTTCCTCATACCCCTTTTTGAAATATACGTTTTCAATCTTGAAACAAATCAGGGTGTTTTCGTGTACAATGCTGACTGTACCCACGTAATCATTGCACTGTTTGCAAAGAATTTTGTAAGGAGAAAAAGAGGCTTTTTTAGCGTCAGGGTTTGGAATCTTTCTAAGTGTTTTGTAGGCTTCTTCTTCCTTCTCTTTCTTAATGGCCATATGCGTCGCTGATGGAGGAACTGTAGCTAACATTAAAATATCCACGGTAGCCAGCCCTGTGTTGCAGTGACCGCAGTACAGGGTAAGGCAACCCCTGTAAGCCATTGAATAAGTGACACACGTCAAAGAAATTTCTGCAAAAGTTTCAAAAATTGTAAATGAGTTTGACTTGCTGCTAGCTTTAAAAGTCCAGTCATTATTTATTGCTGGGGAGAGGGGGGGGAGATCCAAAGGAGTTTGGTTTTTTTATGACAAAATTTACCCGACCCCCTCCCCCTGGGGGTCAACTTTCTATATTCACCTCTTTACACTCTGTTGGTGACGACTGTACTCTCCCCATTACCCCTGAATACCATGTTATCCCCCCTAAAATCTCTCAACTCCCCCCCCCCCCAATTTCTCAGGCGATGGTGGATGACTGATCCCTTATCCCAGGATAATACAAAGTAAGGCAAAACTGAGGTCAATGAGGTCTACCACCTGGGAGAGGGGTGGGTGGGGGATGGGGTGTACTTGCGTCAATTTTTGCCGGGTTCCCATTATATTCAATACAATACGGTCGTGAAAATGCGACCCCATTCAGCGTCACATGCCTATTAAACTATCACTGAGAAGTACCCCCCATCCCCCCGCCCCCCCAGTCTAACAACAGGACTAGTGGTAACCAAAAACCGACAAGGCACATTTTTTAATACCTGAAACTGAGCAGAAACCGATTTTCAAGAAGGTGCGTTTACGATAAAGATCGCAAAGGATACCGAGATCGAAAATAAATACAAAAATTAATTTTGAAATGACTAAAATTGGAAAAAATAAGAAATACCATGCTCCCTTCCTGAAGCAAACTCTAGGACAAAATTGAAATATTTTTGTTAGAATATTTTATCAAGTAGAGCTGTCTTTCAAAAAGGTCATATGAATGAGAAAAAAGGTCCTAACAAAAGAGCCAACAAGTTGTTTATTGAGTTTATGAGAGGGTTGGTACGACTAGAGAGACGAAGGTCGAGCTCTGCTAAAAAAGATTCTCCTTACGTAAGCTTCACGTTTCATATCTTGCATCAGCTGCATACCTCATACCTGTCTCATAGCTTAATTTTACCTGAGAGCTATAAAGCTTTGCTGAATCGTTTACTATTTATTCCTGATTGAAATTCGTTAATTGGCTGGCTTCCTTCGATTCGTCAAATTTACTTTAAGTGTAGGTCATGTAAGTAAGTAAGTAAGTAAGTAAATAATTAATTAAGTAACAACTTTATTTAGAGAAGCTAACACATGACATTATAACTGATAAACTAGAGGCCCTCTGTGCTGAAACATCAACCGAGTAATCATAAAATAACTAAGAATAGTCCAAAGTATGAATATTAATCACAAAAACATCTATCATCTACAGTTAAAAATATATACAAAAACGAATTCAAAACATTTAGACATCACTATTTACAACACTATGCTAAGAAATGTATTGTTTTGAAAACCGCAAACGGGAGGACCGCTCGTCACTTCTTATTCAGCATTTGATAATTTGGATTAGCTAAGTTTCTTCGATTCGTCAAATTTAAAAAAATGTCAGGACTGCCGGTCACCCCTGACCGACTGACCACATAGCGTATGTTAGCTCGGCGTATTTTTAAGTCTAATTCTCGGGAAGAGTAAAACAAGTCTTTGCTCGAAAACCATTTCATTTTGTCTTCCTGATATATGTTTATTCTGATATTCATTGTATGAAACTCAACACCATCAAGTTTTCGATCGTCAGTGCAAATGCCGTAAATAATATTCAGCTTTTAAGGAACCGAATGTTTTGCTATACTGGGTCGTTATAGAAATGAATCTCTGATCGACTCGGTTGCTTATAACTGTGCCTGATCACGTTTTCGTTTATTAAAGTTATCGATGTGTTCCGGTGGGAAAGTGAGTTACAGTGCTCGTACATGCATTAATATGAAACTCTAAATCCGCATAATCTCTGTTGGTTACGGTTTTTGCTCCTGGAAAAGTTTATAAATTTATCCATCAAGTTTCAAATCGTTCTTTTTAACTATTTTCATCCATCCTTAGGCATCCCTGTTCAGTATTGGGTTTACGTGGCCCATTTTGCTTTGTTTGTGTTTAAGCAAGCCATCACGCTATCGATCGTTTCCTCCGAGGCAAAACTCTCTTGATCGCGTTAATATTCCCCAACTCTAGGAAAATTTCCCCGGATTAAAATCTACTGTATTACTGATATACTTAGCTTCCACTTGCAGATTGGACAAGAAATCGAAATCAGTTTTGTTGCTAACAACAACTAACTGCTTGTTGGTTTAAGAACGCCGAGAAATACCGAGTGCATTACAAAAAGCATGTGCAAATCCTACCTTGAATTTGCTCGTAACTTTTTGTCTTGTTTAAACACCGCGCCAGTTTCTCCCAGACATCTCGACAGTCCTTACACCAGTCCAACTTTCACATGGTGTCTTGGATCAAAGCTTGGAGAGGAATCGATGTTACAAATTTTAAAGGAAATCGATCAAATTCCTTTTAAAACTTTCCGAGAAAACGAAAATGCTCGGATTTCTCTTCCGGGAAAATCGCATAAATTAGCATAAGGGCCTCCCGAAGGTACTGGGAAGGAAAAAAAAGCTTGAAAATTTAAGCAGAATAAAACATTATTTCAAGTTCATTTTACCAATATCTTTAAGTTGATTTAAAAAAAAAATTGTCAATATTGTTTAAAAACACTATGGAACAGTCACTACTATCGTTCACTGCCTATGGGAGGAGGGGTGGGGGTTCGGCGGACAAAGCTTTCAGGATAGAACAGGGAGGGGATCAGCCATCGCTGAAAGGGGAGGGTATAGAAAATTGACTGCCAATGAGGGAGGGGTCAGTAGAATACTACAGAGCCGCATGGGAAGATCAGGCGAATTTCTTCTGACACAACTAAAACACTCCGTCCCCCCCCCCCCCAGACTTTGATAAATCTTTTCTTTTACAATGAAAATTGTTGTGTGAATTCATTAAAATTAGTGTATTTTGAATTCAGAACCAGAGGATTGCTGGTCGCCTAGAGAAGACTTACTTTTTTTAAAAATAGATTATTAAGTATATAATGATAATAATTTTTAACCAATCTCACCGCAGACTGTAAACTTTAAATGTTTTATCATTTGTTTTCTCAAGTTGGCATAATTCTCATGATATATCTATAGGAAATCAGATTTTATTCTTAACAGAATATGAATACTGATGAACACTGCGATGGAGGAAATGGAGAAAAGGGCTTTTTTGTTTTAAAGCTGTGCAGAGTAACCCGTGATGCATAATTAATCAATGGCTCTAATTATGTGTTATAAACTGAAAAAACGGAAAATAACTGTAAAAATACTGAGTGATGTAAAAGTACTGTTACCAAGTAGAATAATTTTTCAAGGATAAAGATAGTTGATCAGCCGATGGAGTAAAATATAGATAAAACAAAAGCAGAGCGGGTGTCTTCTGTCTTAACTAGCTAGCAAATAGATCACGACCGTGTATTTGCTAATTTTTTTCTTATCCTAAACTGGGTGAGCCTGCTTTGATGAAGAGTTCAAAATTTTTTTTTAATTTTCTGGACAGAATATTTCATATTTCCAACTCATTTCCATTTCTGTTGTTTTTGGTTTTTTCGCAGTTTGTCCGCTAGATGGTGTGCGAAACTGAAACACTGACTACATGTGCCTTGCGTCTTGTCACGTAACCTGGTCACGCGAAGGGAAATCGAAAGTTCCCTGAACAAGAGCTCTATAAGAAAATCTCAAGTCAAATAATACTTTTTCGAAACATTGCCTTTCAAGAATTTGTAGGAGAGGGGTAAATTGTTTTTTTAGAATACCGCACTCTTCAGATCGTCTTGACCCGCGTCTAGTTCGAGAGGCTTTTTAGTAACCTCGCCTTTAAGCAACTAAGATGGCGGCCTCAGCACCTCCAGCATACCACGATGTTGTCTCTCCCGAAGAGGCTGGCTCTTTCAGAAGTTCTGTGCCAGCAACACAAGTTGAACTGCATATTTCTTGCAGGTAAAACTTCACAGAAGCTCAGTAACTTTTTACCGGACACCAAACAACATGAATTGTTAGCTTGCATGCTTTGCTGCACGAGCATTCGAACTCAACCTTTTTCACAACACCTGGAAATTTTTCGAGTTTTTATTGTTTTTATTTTGTTCTATTCAGGAATCTCGCTGATATGGACGTTTTTTCAAAGTCTGACCCAAGTAAGTTTGTTGTATTTGTGAAGAAATAGTTCATGATCGTAGAATGATTATCACGTGCCTGGAATTCATTTTCTGATATTTACAACAATTCGTTCTGTTGCAATTCCACAAAAATTGAATTCATGTAAAACTGCCCTCATATGTCGTTGAACAGAATTTCAGGTCAAAAACACGTTTAAATCTGTACTAGATTGGAGTAGATTTTCTCGTGTCCCAGGTGCTTTAGTCCTCCAACGACGACAAAAATACGATTTAGATCGATTAATTAGGTTTGAATGTGTTCTCTTGAAGTCTCAAGGATCCACATAACTTTAAGATTAAATATAAAATGTCTCTCATATGTTTGCGATTTTCATACTTATGAAAAAGCTGTTCCCTGTGCTATTGAATGTATATGTTGTGGTTCAATTTTATCCTTGGTTCAAATTTGATTTTCCTTTGTTTCAAACTCATTATCATACATTACAATACCCAAAAAACAAAAGAAAACAAAATTTGAACCAAGGATAAAACTGAACCACAACATATACAATGATTGTGCAATTATTTAGTCTGATCTACGTTCTCCTGAGTTTCAGTTGTAATCCGCCAAAAAGAAAGGAAAATTCACCTTAGAGTCGTTTGATTCATTTTTAAATGCAAACATCGCTGTATACATGATAAGGGCTGATTGAGGAAATGTTCAATATTCACGTCAAAAATTATATATATAAATTGAACTTTTTGAATGCCACGGTTTAATATGATTTTCCAACAAATTTTCTTCATAACTAGAAATTAAAATGCTATGCAGATGAATAACATAAACAATTGTTTGCTTTTATATTGAACCACAGCTGAATTTTAATAGGAAACTGAAGCAATGCAATGTTAATCTTTGACAAAAATATGGTTAAACCACCAGCTTGCTGTGGAGATGAAATTTTAATAGCTGAAATCTCTTCCTCAAATGGCTACATTATATTTCAGTGTTTTTGGTTTTGATGAGTATTTTCATGATTTTAAGTAAAACTATTAATAGTAACAACAACTTATAGAATGTAGGTTATATTTTTTTTAATAGGATTGCAAAATGAAGGGATTTTCAGGGCTCTAAGCTCAAATCTTTATAGGTACCATTTGTAAACCTTAGATCATTATATGGTCACTAAAATCACCTGGCTGTGCTGCCCCCCCTCCTTAGAAAAAAGGAAAGATGAAAACAAAAAGGAAAGATGAAAACAAAAAGGAAAATGGGAAATGGAAAGAGGATTCTTTAACATTGACTGGCAATGGGTTTTGGAGTTGTAAGTGACACATCTCAAGACCTCATAATTAGAAATCTGAGGAAACAGAGGCAACTTTATGATTAATAATATTAAAAACAATTCATCATCGATAATGTTGAAATAAATGGTTACCTCACTTCAACTTCAGATCATCGCATTACTTTTTTATTTAAAATTGCTTAAATAAGTGCTATATTTTAGATGTAATGGTAGGCCATTCCACGGCTTTGGTGCACAAACAGATTGAAATGATATTGTCTTTTCTGCTAGGTAATTATAATTGTGAAATACCAATTGTTTAAATACTTTACATCATGTCTTTCTCACAGTGGTTGTGATGTATACTCAAGGAATGGGAAGTAAAGAATGGAGAGAGGTAAAAAAGATGTCTTGTAAATCTTTTGAAGGGTTTATCAAATGTCAATTTTCAGGAGTTGGCTTTTGTTACATAATAAGTTGCATTAGATTTAATGGGTCCTTGTCCAAGGGTGATGATAAGACTGCACCTAAGCTTTGTGGCCTATGCCATTGGAGCATGATCTGGTTTCCTTAACATTCATAAAGAGATTATTTATTTTGGAACTCTCCCTGGACTGGACACTTGCCATAGTGGACTAACCTCTAGCATTTCCTCAGACCTCTGTGACAGATCACCTTGTACTTTTTTTACATTCCTCATTGCAAAGAGGCATTATATATAAGAGTGAATTAATTGCAATGTTAGCAACTGATTATTTGCTGGATAAATTATCAAAATCTATTGAAATTTGAAGTTGAGGGTACATGTAAATCATATTATATGTGACAGCTGTTTACTGTTTTTTCAAACATAAGTTGTTTCTTATCTTTCAGTTTGGGAGAACAGAGCACATAATGAATACACTTAATCCAGACTTTGTCAAGACATTTACCATCCACTATTTCTTTGAGGAAATGCAGAAGTTACGGTTTGAAGTGTAAGTTGAAGAATATACTTACTAATTGGAAGAAACTTTTTATATCTATAGAGACTCTTTATCTACAATCTTTGTTTCCTCTAAATTTTGACAACATATCGAAAGAAGTTGATTTTAAAGCTTAGTAAATTGTTAAAATGTCTTGTTTTTATAGGTATGATCTGGATAAAAGTTCTGCCAAGTTATCAGACCATGTGAGTATCAGGCACTTACCCCTCTATGTTATTAACCCTTTACAACCTAATATCAGTATGTATATTCTCCATACTGTTCTCTATACATTTCCTGTGGCACTGACAAGGAGAATTTGTTTAACAATCAAGAGTTTCTTTAGTTGGTGATCATTTCCTTTATTCTCATGACCTTCATGTGTGACTTAGGGATGATATTGTAGGGAGAAGTTAGATGCGAGTTATTCTTAGGGGTTTAAGGGTTAATAGTTTTAACCCTTTAACTCCCAGATCAAATTTGTAATTCTCCTTACTGTCAACCATACAATTCTCATAATGTTAGGTCAGAGAATTTAGAATTGGATCAACTAATTATCCCCAACTTGATATATTTCTTAATTCTTATCACTTGTCTGGTTAATACTGTAATGATATTGTAAGGAGAAATTCTGGTCACTCCTGGGAGTTAAAGGGTTAAAGGTGCATTTGGCCCTCTTAAGTCCCAGCTGAATGCACTCAACAATTCAATGCAACATCTTGCAATACTATTGTGTACAACATGTTGCATACATTTGGCCACCTTATGGTAATTTGTTGCAACATGTTGGATGGTGTTGAGTCAAGTATGAAAATAGTCAGTTTTTGTTACAGCAGTTTTTGATGTTGCAGAAATATTAATGAACACCCCCCCTTGAATAAATGTAGCATCATCATGTAGCATTTATTTATGAATGATATATTAAAAAAGCACATAGCAATTATAGCTATGATCACAGCTGGAGATTTTGAGTGAACCAGACACAAATGCTTTTGAATATAACAGTTCTGATGTCGAGAAAACATATCTGACATAATTAAGATCTTTATTAACTTTATGTATTGCAGTAGTAAATAAAACATGCAAATTGTGAAATTGAGAACAATATAAAAAATATTGTTTTAGAGAAGCACTGAAACATGTTTCTGTTTTCCAAAATTAATTAAAGATGGCCAGTTACCAATACTATTGTTTGGATTTTAAATAAACAATATCAATACAATATCAAGGAGACAAGTGATAAGAATAGAGAGAAATATCGATTGAGGGATTATAAGTTGATCCAATACCAAATTCTCCAAACTAACATCACAAGAACTGTATGGCAGACAGTAAGGAGAATTACTAATATGATCTTGGGAGTTAAAGGGTGAAGCCCTGATATGAAGAATCTCATGGTCTAATTATATTCACTTCTATATTTTAAGGATTTCATTGGAGCAGCTGAGTGTACACTTGGATCTATTGTGGGAGAATTTGGTGGAAGGCTTCAAAAACAATTAGTGTAAGATCTCAGTGAAATGAAATAAGTAATATTTTAATCTGTGACTAATATTCAAGTATAGATATAATAATGATACTTATGAAAGAAATTGCAGAAAAGAAGCAGTAAAATATTCAGACTTGAGGTCAAGTTTCTTTTCTGCAGTTGCTTAAATTGTAACTCATCTGCAAAGATCATTTCTTTTCTTGAATATGTGTAAATTTTCTTACTCAGCATGGTTATCAATGTGGCTAATTTATCTCAAAATAAATGCAGATTGTGAACAAGCAACAAAAGGTGTTGAATTATGGATGGCAATGACCTTATGTGGCCTAAATTATTATCAAATGTATTGTGTGACATAAGAAGTCATGCTGTCATGCTTATCAGTCTCGTATTCATGTAATTTGTGTGTAGTAGGGGGATCTTTGGGTTACACATCTGAGTTTAGATATATTGTCAGTAAATAAATTTCTGTTGAGTTTTTGTCATGTCTCACTCATATTTTGAACATGGAATGACACCATACACTACACCAAAGATTTTACTTACTTATATCAAATGAGCTATTTTACATAATACTCTATTTATTTTTAAGGTTTCTCAGTTTTTCGTTGTTAGTTATTATTCTGAATACGTTCACATTTATTTTTTTTCCAGAAATCCAAAAGTGAAAAAACCTGGAACAATTATTGGTATGTAAATAAAATTGATGTACAAAATAACAACATATCAGCCTAAGGTTACAAAATGAAATACTTGATCAATTTAAAACTTAGTAATCAAAGCTGTAGTACTTAGAACAAGAAATTTCATGCCTCTTTATCCAAAATGTATTGCTATTTTCTTCCTCTTATAGTAAGTGCAGAGGAACTGAGTGACTGCAAGGTTAGTAATTTTGTAGAGTGGATAAAAGATAAATGTTTGCATCCTTCAATACCCTCTCTAATAGGCCCCCCTTCTCTGATAAGTCCCCTCTCTACTGAGTCCTCCTCTCCAAAGAGCTCCATTCTCTGATAAGCCCCTAACCTAATAAACCCCCCTTTCTAATAAGCCCCCCTCTCTAAAGAGCTCCACTCTGTAATGAGTCCCTATTCTAACAAAGTCCCCTTTCTAATAAGCACCCCTCTGCAATAAGTCCCTATTCTAATAAACCCCCTTTCCAATAAGCCCCCCACTCTAATAAGGCCCCTCTCTAATAATTCCCTATTCTAATAAAGCTCCCTTTCTAAAAAGTACCCCTCTCTAATAAGCCCTCCTCTCCAAAGAGCTCCCCTCTCTAATAAGTGCCTACTTTATATGCCCCCCTTTCTAATAAGCCTTCCTCTCTAAAGAGCTCTCCTCTCTGTTAAGCCCCTTCTCAGCCAGGTTTCCCCTTTCTAATGAGCCCCCAACTCTTGTTAAGCCTCGACCAGCTCTATTGGAGCCTCAAGTTTCTATTACAATAATTTTATTTTTCTTCAATACACTCCTATTCTTGATCCTATCATCCTAATTAACCTCCCCTGTCTAATGAGCCCCCGGAAGCCGTTAAGAGATGGTTACAATTATTGACAGTCATGGACTGAAAAGTTATGAATGAAAACTTCACTGCAAAATCATTAATTCTTACCTGGTATATTTATAGGATGTGGTAACACTTCAGTTTAAAGGACACAAGCTTGACAAGAAAGACTTCTTTGGAAAGTCGGATCCTTTCTTGGTATTTTACAGATGTAATGAGGACAACAGGTTAGGTTAACCCCTTTCACACAATGATCAGTACTTAAAGTCTTCTTAAAATATCTTAATATTGACAATGTATTAAAATACATTGTCAAACAGGCGTGTATTTAGAATTGAGAAATAGTTACAGGAGAGAGGTTGTTTTGATGTAATGACAAACTTGCAGAAATGGCAAACATAAAAAAATCTGTATCTGTCGGAAGAATTTACCTTTTTTTTGTTGAACATTTGAAAATGTTGACAAAAATGTTAGCTGGCACTCCCATGTGTTACAAAATAGATATCTCATGGTAACTTCAAATGCTATTAAGGGGTGTGTATTAAGTAGGAAAAAATGACGTTTAGCTATTAGAACTTGAGTGTTTTATTTTGAGAAATGACTCATTTGGGGGAGGGGGGATGGTGCAGTGGTGAGAGCACTCACCTTCCATCACTGTGGCCTGGGTTCAATTCTAGGACCTGGCGTCAAATGTGGATTGAGTTTCTTTTTGGTTCTTGTCCTTGCTCCAAGGGTTTTTCTGTGGGTCCTCTGGTTTTTCTTCCTCCACAAAAACCAACATTTCAAATTCCAATTTGACCTGGAAACAGTGGACAGAAAGAGTCACCTCATGGATCGTGAACTGCTAAATTATTATTATTATCATCATCATTATTATTATAGGTTAAGAATATATGAAAGTCATATATTTGAACTGTGGATCAATGAAAGTATCATATTTAGTACTTTTTGAACCCATGACCTCTGTTATTTCCAACTGAGCTACACCAACTGGGAGCAGTTCAAATAAACCCGGACAGAATAAATGGTTAAGAATATATGAAAGTCATATATTTGAACTGAATCCAATGAAAGTTCCTCGGAAGGCCTGAAAAAAAAATTCAGGCCTGTATTTACTATCCATTTCCAGCCAGAGTTCACTTTAAGAACAATTTGGGAGATTATGATCGGTAAATATAATGTTCTCTGACTATTTATACAGTCAAACCTTGATTATCCAGATTTATTGATTATATGGACCTGCTTCTCTGGGCCTATATTTCAATAGTATTAATTAGTTACATTGGAGATCAGTATCAACTTTTTCCCCTTCAAACAAATATTACTAGTATTGATGCAATTTTAATAATGCAGCCTCTAAGAATGATAGAATTAGAGATGTAGTAGCTTAAAACAAATTGATCTATTTCAGCATGTTAGGTCTTAAAACATCGTTATTTATAAAATAATTCAAATAGTACACGCGCTCTGATTGGCCATAAAACCATTTTACATGAGCGTATGCAAACACGGTTTTCGTTCCTCTTTCATTAGTTATTTTATAAAAGAAATGTAAAATAGTTTCCGTGTTTTCATAGCCTGATGTAAACACTTGGGAGGTTGGGAGAACACGAGATAAGCTTAGGAAACCACGACACAAAGCGGAGTGGTTTCCAGCTTATCGAGTCCGTGTTTACATCAGCCTATGTAAACACGGAAACTATTAAGTACATTTCTACAATATCAAACACTTTTACTCCCAAGAACAAAATATCAATTCCTCATAACATACTTAATATATTTCGTATAACTTTGGCTCTGTAAATTTGGTGTGAATTCAACAAATATCCCCAAATATATGTTTTCCTTTCTTCTCCTCACCTTTTTTTAGTTAAAAGTGCATTGATATTGTAAGGAGAAATTTCCCTTTGGTCACTCCCAGGAGTGAAAGAATTTATTTAACATCTGGTTTTTTTGCATTTTGCTTCTCAGGTCCATAAGAGTTGAATGTTATGACTGGGACAGGGATGGCGGGTAAGATTTAAACAACTCCAGACCTGTAGATATTTTTCATCTCTTAACAGGCAACTTGTTTGTCCAAATAGGTGACAAGTATGTTCATCAACACTCACTATTTCTTGCCTGCATAGGGTTGCTTTTACAGATTTTTCCTGTGAGCAACAACCTCTAAAAATTTTCACACACCATATTACTATTTAATATTAATATTAAATTTACTGAGTGCAGTTGGTGAAAAAAAATTTATTATAAGTGTCTGGAAATCTTGATGAGGGATTCTCTTGTTTTAGACATGATCTGATTGGAATATTTTCCACAACCATCAATGAACTTAATAGAACTCCAGGATTAAGTTTTGAGGTGAGCAAGATTCAATGGAATAGTACTGAGAATGACAAGCCTTGTAATGATGATGAGGAGTCTGTTATGCCTGAAATACAGACAAAAGTTACACAATATTAGTCACCCAAATCACTTTTTGCTACCAAGTCGCAGAGGTCACACTCATGACCACTAACAATCTCAGGAAAAGACAACCAGTAACACCTAGGCATGTAACAACAAGATTATGTGCCCTACAAATAATAATAATAATAAATGCTTTACTTAAATGGCACTATTTCAGTCTATATCTATCCAATAGTACTTTGCAATGACTGAAATAAACATAAAGTGCTTGAAAATCCCTATTGGTAGGAGGCAGACCAGTTAGCTCTTTGCACAGCACAATCGAGGAGTTAAACTTGGGGTGATGAGAACAAATCCAGTGAGTGGCAGGGTGGAGGACTTGCACCCAGAACCACCAGATTACAAGTCCAGCACCCTATTCATTTGGTCATGCCACTTCCTAACTATCTATTACCTTTGATTAGGCATACAGTGTGTAAATGCTAAAAGTAGTTAGTAGTATATGCATATAGCATTTTTGGATAGTGTGGGTTTTTGAAGCTTGTGTTTTATCCCTTGTAATTCAGTTTTTTTTTCAACTGCAATGGGGATTAATAAACAGTAAAATAAAAAAAAAAACTTTAGAATGATTATTGTTACTATGTGAGAGAGGTGGTGGCCTCATGGAAAGTGTGGTGGACTCTAGGTCAAGAAGTCTGGGTTCGAGACCTGGCTGTGGGTATAGCAGTGTAATTTTACTTACTTACTACCCATCATGCCTGTGTGGCACATAGGGCAGCAACAAAATCCTTCCAACCCTGTCTATCTTTAGCCAGTTTTTCAATGGTGCTCCAGCTGTAATAGTGGAGTTATTTCGGGTAGGGCCTAACCCCATTGCAATGGACTGGCCTTCCATAGCAGTGTAATAGTGGAGTTATATTTAGGGGTAACCCCACAATGGACTGATATCTTGCCTAGGAGAAAAAGGAATCTTTTTGTTGTTCCACATTGCAGAAACTGGGATATGCTCTTAAAACTAATCATCACTAATCATTCTTGTATGTAAATATGTTTTTTAATGTCTTTACCCAATGTCTTTGCCAGTGCATGAATCCAAAGAAACAAGCGAAAAAAAAAGGTTACAAGAACTCTGGCACGGTTAGTGTAGTAAACTGTAAATAAATGAGAACTGAGCTCAATACATGTAAAATTTTGCTACACGTGTTGAATAGCTAATTAATTTTAGGCTGATGTTTTATTCCCTTATTCTGGGTAATACTCTTATTGCATTTTTTTTCAACCAGATTTCCCTTATGCAGTGCAAACTAGAGCAGCAACCTTCATTCTTAGACTACATCAGAGGAGGGTAAGACACAACTCTTACTAATTAAGTTCAAGATCCATACTGTAAATTAAAGACCAGGGTTTTTTCTACTCTGATTTATGGACTAATTAAGCAAGAAGCAGAGCGTGCAGGCTGCAAATTTAAGTGGAAAAAGAGGTTCTGTAAATTACAAAAAATGCTGAGAAAACAAGGTTATAGCAAGATGTTTATAATATCTCTGGATTCTAATAGAGCAGGAATATTTCAATTCAAATATATAAACTTTTTAATTTTTTAGCAGGTCATACAGCGAAATATGGTGGGCTAAATTGACAAATCATAGCACAAGTTCTAAATGAGAGATGGAATCTCATTATCTGCTCGTTGCTATTCATCATGTGATCCCAACTTTCTGTTTGGAATAGTTCTCCAAGGTTTAAGGCTGTGTCCTATATACCTGCTCTGTAGTGGTCTAATAAATAAAGTATTGGTTCTTAGAATAACTACCTACTGTAAACTTGGATTTGGGTTTACTAAGTATATAATGAAATAATTTGGGCAGTGAGTTGCATGTCATTAGTTAGACATGGAACACGATCCATGATTTGAATATATAATGGAGAACTTTCCATTAGTATTATAATTTAATGCATGCTTCACTAGCTCAGACTAGTATAAACTAGATTTCAGTTTTATAGTTGGCACAGAACCTATTATTACTTAATATGCTGTACCCTGATGTAGTTATGGGATGCATACCTGATATCGTTTTAGCATCTAGGCTGCAAGTGCGGTTGACAATTTGTGCAGAGCTTGAAATTTACCATCTATAGCAGATGGTCCAGAACTTACAGTGAAACTGTTCTAAAAATGGCTTGAAAAATTGCAGTTGACAGTGATTCTTGTCTTTGGGAAACTGTCTTTCTTTCAAAAGTTGTAAGCTAGGCTGTTTCAGACACTGATCTTGTTGTTTTGCAGAACTCAGATAAGTTTCACTGTAGCCATTGACTTCACTGCATCAAATGGTAAGGTAGCCATTGTAATACTGTGATCATCATGAGCACTTAACCCTGTAACTCTTAAGATCTGGTTGTTAATTCTCCTCTCTGGCTGCTACACATTTCCTTGTAAGTTATCTACAAGAATTTGGTGTTAAATCAAGATAGCTTCTATCAGATAAGTCAGAGTATTCTCATTACCTGTTTGTGGATATTATAGGGAGAAGTTACATGTTAATCACTTCTGGGAGTTAAAAGATCAAGGATTGCTCACTACAGAAATTGCAATGGCAATAGTTAGTGCACATGGTAGCTCTAGTGTGATACAACACAATGTCAGTACTTGCTTGCATTTGGCTAACTTTCTCAAAGATTAATGACTGTTGATAAGCAACTTAATTTGGTATAGTTGTTAGAATTATGGTTGTGGTTTACCTTGTATTGAATGCTATTTTGATTGCAAGTTCATAATTGCCTTTGATTTCAATATGCCAACTTTAATTCAAAATGAAAAATGACTCATTTGTTTCAATTAAGGTGATCCAAGGAATGCCAACTCCCTGCACTACATTAACCCCTATGAACAAAATCAGTATGTCAAGGCACTGACTGCTGTTGGTGGAATCTGCCAGGACTATGACACGTAAGTGTTGTTTGTCTGAAATCAGACAAAGTCAACTTTTTTTTTGTCCTTTTACTTGGAGAATTTTTACTGTGTAATAATAGAAATGATGGTGATTTTAAGTTGAATTGCCTTGATTGCTTCTCCAGAGATAAACTCTTTCCTGCCTTTGGTTTTGGAGCTCGCCTTCCTCCAACCTGGCAAGTTTCACATGAGTTTCCTCTGGTGAGTCCTGCAAGTGGCCACACCATCCTTGTTGTAGTGCTTGGGCATGAGTATTTCTTTGCCCATGAGAGAGTGTGAGGTCTTAAGTAACACAAGCTGTTGATAGGTTTGCTATGGTCTAGCAATGATAATTGTTAGTGCCAGATCCCCAGCAAACCTCTTCCAGACTCATCTTAAATATTCCTTCCACTGGAGAATTGTGCATCCTGCAGGGCTTATAATGAGGGCCTGCTCTCAGGTGAACCCTTTAACCCCTAATGACGACAATATCACCCCTGAATCACATATGAAGGTCACAAGAATAAATGGAACAATCACCAACTAAGGAAGCTCTTGATTGTTGAACAAATTCTCCTTGTCAGCACTTTTGGTAATGTACAAAGAACAGTGTAGAGAATGTGTCTACTGATGTAAGGGTGTAAAGAGTTAAGAAAATTTGTTTTAAATTTGACTAAGAGTTCTATTAATCAGTGCTTCATTATTACTGTTTTGAAAGAGAAAACACCATTTATTAATGGCATAATTATTTCTTTCTAGAATGGTAATCCTCAAAATCCAATGTGTGAAGGAATAGATGGAGTTTTAGCTTCCTACTACCACAGTATACAGCGAGTGCAACTCTATGGTAACCTCAAGTAAAAGTGTATTGTAAATGTTTTTTAATCTTTCTTTGCCCTTCCTATTTGACAACCTTCTGAAGAAACCACCTCATCTGGTGAAAAGCATAGTTTTTTTGGAGAACTTTAATCTACTGTCTATCTATTTATCTATCAGTACTTTCTCATTGAAAAAATGTACCTGCAAAACAAGCCTTCAAAATTGATAGGTCATCTGTTCTTTTCATCATCATCACTCTGGATCTTACAGTGCTATCTTGAGATTCTGTTGAAGCTCTCAGCACTTTCTTTTTGAAAAAATGTACTTGAAAAACAAGCTTTTCTAAACAGACAAGTTATCTGTTCAATTGACTTGTCTTTATTAATATATTAACCTTGTTGCTCTTGATCTTACACTTAGTGATTTAAAGTGTAATGATATCCTTGTGTTTTACATTTTAGGTCCTACCAACTTTGCACCAATAATAAATCAAATCACTAGGTTAGTTGGAAATAATTTTTTTCCTCAAACACTTCCTCATCTTTGTCCAAATTGTAATAGTTAACATTTACGTGTTAATTTATTTCTGTCAATATGTCAAAAATGGTTGGAAATCTAATTGCTGACACAATATTTTGTCTCTTTGGCTGCGTGGAGGTGAATAGCACTTGCTAATCACTCCTAACCAGCCAACTATTGCACACAAAAAGTACTATTAACCTGTGTGGTATTTATTAATAAAAGCCATGCAGTGGATGACCAGGTTTATTGTCATTTTTCTTTATATATTACAGACTAACCATAGAATAAAGCAAGCATTACTTATTATAAATTCTGATTAATTCTCACATTTAGCAGACACTAAAATGATGTTAGTTTTCTTTTTTTTCTAGAATAGCAAGTGCAGCACAAAGGGAGAGTCCTGGCAAAGAGTAAGAACTTTTAAAAATTCCTGGAACCTCAAAAAGGCTGTGCTCAAACATCTCATTCCCATGCTTACAAATCTAATTCTCTTTCTAGATATTTTGTGCTACTGATGTTGACAGATGGAATTATTTCAGACATGGCTCAGACAAAAGAAGCCATTGTAAATGTAAGTTTGTTTCAAATTAAACTGTATTTTGACAATCCTGCCACCAGCTTGCATTGTTAGCCATGCAGTCATGCATGTTATTTTTATTTATATTACCTCATGGCTCTTGGCAGTGTTGTAATGCAATAAGCCAATTTTTTGATAAGAGTACAGACAATGCTGCTCATGTCAACCTGATATGATCTTGATCATGCACTGAAAGAAATATTTTACTTGATGTCAATATTGTGGATAAAAAACAAATCAACAGTGGTTTACTGTGCTCCGTACTCTTATCAATAATAACATTTGTCATCACAGTGCTCAAAATTTGTTACAGACTCACTCACTGCACCTCATGAGTCCACAACATTTTGACTACTGTGATGACAAATATCATTGCAGTTAAGAGTAGAGACCACACTAAACCACTGTTGATTTGATACATTCTCTATATAGATGCACAAGATAAATGTAGTGGACATGCCCAATTATTAGCCAGTTGTAATGGGTTCCAAAAAAGTTATCAGGCTCAGTCAAATACCAGCACAATTTTTTAGCTACTAATATCAACTTTGAGAAAGTTGCTAGAGATCATGTGCATTCTTTATTTGTGAATTTTAGATTAGATCTTTTATGCAATACTTCTGTTTCTTCAAACTGAGATAAAAATCTGAATCATTCTTTTTTTCAAGTTGAAAAAATCTGGTTTGCACTTGACCAGCTATGGTATTATCCTGGTAAATTGTTCAAGTGTGACCAACCCTTACCTGATAAACTTGACTCAAGTTAAAGCTATAAATTAAATTTTTCCTTGCAGGCAGCTTCTCTTCCTATCTCCATTATTATTGTGGGTGTTGGAGCAGCAGAATTTGATGGTATGTACATAATTACAAGTTTACGTGCATATCTACTAATGAGTGATTTGATATTTGATACTTATAAGAGTGAAGAAAACGTGATGTGCTATCCACTGGGTAGATATTTTTAACCAGCCTGCAGGGCTTATGTAATTTGGCGATTGAGTGCTCTGCATTTTCTTAATGAAAAATATATTGGCCATCTCTGATTTTAATGGCAGCAGAAGGCTGAGGAGAGAAAGAAATTTGTTCCAAGGTGGTGGTCGACAGTCAAAAATGAGGAGAGGGGTGCCATCCACTCCAACTCCAAAACAAACATGGTCAGCCAGATGAATGATCACTTATAGCATTAGTTCACCCTAATAAGATGCCTGCACTGCAGGCTAATTTTTAACCATTGGATAGCGTTATTACCCTTGGAACAACCTGGGCCCAGTGGTCAGAGTAGGACTTAAACCCAAGACCTCAGGATTGAGTACCAAATGTGCTCTCCCCTTAACTATGCTGCCTTTGCAGCATGAAACTGAGTAACAATACTCCAAGTCACTTCATATTGTGAAGACCAGGTTAAGTTCCTGTGGTCCAGCTGCATTGTTTGTGTGGGATATGTGTTCTTTCTTGAGAGAAATTGCTCTATATTTTGGAAATCATGGGCCACTAGATAATTTAAACTCATTGTGAAAGTATACCATTAATTTATCATATCCTACACTTTCATTGTTTCTCATTACAGCCATGGAAGAGCTTGATGGTGATACAGTCCGTCTTTCATCACGTGGGAGAACTGCAGAGAGGGATATTGTGCAGGTAAGGACAGCGTATATATGCTTACAAAGAACAGTGTTAAACCTCTTACTCCTGTGATCTAGATCTAAATTTCAATTCTCTACACTTCCTACCATATTATTTATAGTGGTAATAGGACTGAAAGGAGTTCAATTAAGTTTGTAATCATACAATTGATGAATGAAAATGGACGTAACTGGAGTCTCAATTGTTAAGTGTGATTACAGACAATTGGGCAACACAAAGTCCCATTACCAGTTAATCAAAACTACATCAAAATTCGAGAAAGAAATTGGAAATTGGTTATACATTTTCGTTAAGAAAAACCAGTTAACTTGGCAAAATGCGTGACAAAAGCATGTGTGCATGAGGCTACTGTCTACATACATAGGCATGACATGTCAATTGTCCTATTTCACTGTCCAATTACAAGCATGATGCATTCACTGGCCTCTTCTAATGCTTAAATTGGGCTGGTGATAACCAATCCAATGCAAGAATTTTGCTGCAGTTTTGATTAATGAAAATTTAGCTCTGAGAAGTCAGAGGTAGATCAGAAAATATCTTCTAATTGATATGTTTCTTTCTTTTCAACACATGTTTCTTTCTTTTCAACACTCTTCTACTTGAAATTGTATCGGGCCGTAAGGAGAAATTCTGTAAGGAGAAACTCTGTTTTGTGCACTCCTCTCCTCTTACAAATTTAAAAAAGTGAAGATCAAGTATTACCATTTTTTGATTTTATAGGCTGCACCACCTTGAAGTTTATCTTGAACAAAGTGGTTTCAATTATTAATAACATACCTTTAGCAGTTAGTTGTTGAACTTCTTTCCTGAGCAAATGGTGAGCTTTTTCACTCTTCTCCATGGGACTAGGTAACATCATGCCAGAGATCCGATCACTTTCAAAACATTGACCATCACAAACTCTTAATTGTGAAGTTTAATGGTTGATAGTAAAGTGTTATGGTTAAATAATGTAAACATCTACGATGTACACATAGCTTTTATTCTGTAGCATTTGAGCACTGCCATTGTCTCTCTCCTCAGTCAACCCTTTTTTCTTCGGCTCCTTCCTTTTCATCCATCTCCTCATTGATCCAAATATTTCTCTCAATTCATCTATCTGATCTGTCAGTCCATTGGTTGATATGTTTGTTTGCTTTGTAGTGATGATTATATTGTTCATTCTGTTCACCTATTCATTTCTCTGTCTTCTCTTCACGTAGTCAATATCTGCACTCATCACTTTTTTGGGAACTTTCATTCAAAAATTCTTCTTTTCTTGGGGAAAATGTAGACATTGGTCATTTGAGTGATCAAAAATAAATTTTTTTTAGCTGTGATTGGTTTGGAAAGGTTTTGTGCTTTCACCTTAAAAATTTTATTTCCCTTGTTTTCACAGTTTGTCCCATTCCGAGATTTCCAAACACATGGCATATTAGCTTCAGATTTGCTCTCAAAAGAGGTGTTGGCAGAGGTGCCAGATCAACTCTTATCCTACATGACAAAAAATACCATAAGACCGAAGCCACCTCTGCCAATTTCAGTTGACAACATCACTCCAATCATACCACATTCGGCAAATCAAGATGCATCATACCCAGCCAGTCAGAGTGCACCATATCCAGTGAATCCAAGCGCCCCTCCATTTCCAGCTAATCACAGCATTCTTAATGCAGCTAATCAGGGGGCTCCGTATCCAACCAATTAGGTAGTGAAGTCAGAAGTTTCTATCAATAAGTATTTATATAATTTATCTACAAAACACAATAATATTTGCAATCTGGAATATCATGATTGATAGTAATAATGCAACTCCCCGGTATGTAGATCTCACTGCTAACAAGTACAACAGATACCTTGCTTCAATTCTTTTAAGTGTAATTTGTTGTGTTGGAATTACTGCTCTTGCACATATTTCTTGAATATCATTAAAATACTTCTGAAGCAGATATACCTTGATATTTTCTTCAATGTTAATATTTATGATAATTCTAATATTAAGAGCTCTTTTTTATATACTTCATAATATATATATAATATAAGTCTTTAAATTTTAATAAGTAACTTGGTATCTTCAGTCTAACTTGTATTCCATTATTACAGTTTGTTAAAATTCATGGTTTAATTGTTTACTTAAAATTATCTTTGCTAATAGTCATCCCTTGTTCTAAAAGCATAGTCTAGATTTCACATCTTGGCTCGCTTTTGTTACAAATTTCATTCAAATCCGTGGTTTAATTGTTTACTCACACTTATTTATGCTAATATTCAGCCCTCATTCTAAAAGCATAGTTTAGATTTCAAATCATGGTTCGCCTTTGTTGCGAATTACATTTCACTTCTTTTTCAGTGTTCCTTGTCAAGATTTCCAAACACATGGAGTATTAGCTCAAGATTTGCTCACTAAAGGAGTTTTAGCTGAACTGCTAGATCAACTTCTCTCCTTTATGACAAAACATATGATTTAACCAAAACCTCCTCAACCTATTACAGTTGAAGACATCTCACCAATCATAACTCTATCAACCAATCAAACTATTCCACATTCATCCAATCAGCATGCCTCAAACCCTGTCAATCAAAGCACACCTCCCTATTTACTTAGTCAGAGAACCCAGGGCCCTCCCTTCCCAACCAGTTATATTTGGCTTTATTAACTTGTTAAAATAACGTTTCCTTGCAAATCTTAGTTTGTCCCTTTTCGCGACTACATTGGACAAGCTGGGAATGTCATAAGTGGTGCACGATTGGCCAAAGACGTGCTTGAAGAACTTCCAGATCAGTTTATTGAGTACATGAAAAAGCGACACTACAGACCTAGGCCTCCACAATACAACATTTCTACTTTGACAGGAGTTTAAGGGGGTTACTGGGGAAGAGATGTTAACAGGTTTTGCTGTTAAACTGCTGCTGATATCGTAACTAATGTCTCACTAGTAACCAATCACTTTTGCACGTGCAGAAGCGAACAAATAAGTATTATTCACCATTGGTTATACACCAAATGTAGAATGAATAAAAAAAGGTGGCTGACAATACTGTCTCAATTTCATCACAATGATACATAGAGGCATGTTTTTGAGTTTTTCTAGTTAATGTTACAGTATGTAACAGTGTATTTGTACCACTTCATTTGGAATGCCTTACATTTGTGAGTAATTCCCATCTGTTTAAAATGGTTTATAGAATGCTAAATTTCATTCATATTATATTTAAAATGAGAGAGACCAGAGCGTGAGACTTGAATAGTGTGAAGTTTCGGAACCTATCAGACATGTTAGTCTCATTTCTGACAAAAGACTGTTTATTTTTTATTAAAAAAATATTTAACATTCTATTCATATATACAACTCTGTGTTGATAAATATTCAGTGCATCAGTCTACAATTAAACTGAGAATACTATTGTAGGTTTTATATAATTGGTGCAAAAGTAAAAAAAAATTTTTAGTTAGCTTGTGGCCAACAGTGAGTAGTGAGCAAAATTAATGTCTCTTTAATGAAAAGCTGCCAGTAATTTCATAACTTGTGCCATACATTGAAGAAGATACAAGGTACTTTTTTTGTTAAAAGTACACCTTTGATTTTCTATTTTTTAAAATCTTTTAGACTCAATGTTTGTGTAGTAACTTAATAAGTCTAAGCTAGATTCTATTACTAGGCAACTGCTCATTAAACTGATAAATGGGTAGTGTAAGGGAGAAACTTTATACCGCAATTTGCCCATGGTAAAAGCAATCCTCTTACAGGCTTAAATTAGCAAAAATGTACCTTTGATATGTAACATAGTTATTAGTACCTGCTCTCTCCTCAACCACATATTTAGAAATTTGTTTGATTGTAGAGTGAAAATTTAGACTGTATAGTTCTTTGTGTTAAAAATAAAGCTTGCAATTCAAGGAGTTACTAGCTAAATTTCAATTATAAATACAGCTTTTAATGACCTTCCATGGGAGATCTAGAAGTAGTCAACTTTTTTTCACCTTGAATTAGATTCTGCTCGATTGATTCCTAGAATTGTCACATACCAAGGTTCTTCTAGGCAATGTGGTCTTACAATTTGTGGTAATTCTGTCACAGTATTTTTTGCCCATATTTAGGCTGACAGGAACACCAATAGGCGATAAACTTACAGTAATGGTTAGAAATGTTTTCCATTACTGTCTGGGCCAATAGATATTGGTAGCTGTGTTCTCTGTCGCATACTGTTGTCATTGGAGTACTTGAGAACTGCCTTTGGTATTTGCATTGCCCTTGGAACTTTTGGTTGCATCTCGGTTGCAATGTCAACATCAGCTGAATAACGAGATTTACTTCTTTTAATGAGTCCTTTAAACTTCCCTTCATCTGTTGTGCAAAAGGTTGTTGCTATGGGAATGGCCTGTGCAGCACACATGCAACCAGTTGCCCATGAACCTTCAGGTTTCCTTTTTGTTTCACCCTGACTTTTGGTGTTCAATGTCTCCAAAGCCTCACCTGAAAGATTTGCAATGACATTTCGTGCCTCTTTGGGGCGAGATAAAGTTGAAATCTTAGTATTATTGCCTTCTGGAGACGTCTGTTTGTGCTGGGAGACAATTGCAGCCTTAGTTTCTGTAGAGAGATCCTTGGTTTTGGAGATTGGTACAACTCTGGGAGATGTCAGCTCATTATGCTTCTTTACATTTGCTGTTGGCTTGCGTATTCCCTGTCCTTCTACTGCCATGTTCATGCCAATGTACGGAGGAGCTGACACTTGGGGCTGATGAAAGACAAATGGATATAAAATTATGGGCAGTTCTTTGGATTTCAAGTTAAGAATAGAGAGATTAATGATGAAACGTTTCTGCAAACAGGTCTAGGCAGTAAAGGTTACTTGTTAACCTTTTTACTCCCAAGATCTGAGTGTTAATTATCCTCTCTAACTGCTACACATTTCCATGTAAATATGAAATTGGTGTTAGATCTACCTAACAACTTCTAATTGAGTTTGACTATTCTCGTCACTTGTTTTCTGTAAAATGTAAGGATATTACAGGGAGAAGTGATATGTAAGTCACTTATGGGAGTTGAAGGGTTAAATGGTAAACTAGTGAGCAGTACTGCACCAACTGAAGTAGTAAAAACTTCTTTTAATCTTCTAAGTGTTTCCTCTGACAATAAAAGCCTTCATCAGGGAGTTTTTTCAAGTTGGGTAAATAAGCTTGCTTATGTACAAACTGTAAATACAATATGTGTATTCGGGGCAATGTGCAATCTGTATTTGACCCAAACTTCTCACCTTTGATGTACTTAGAAACAAGCACTTTCTGTCTCTTCTATGCAGATAATGATAACAATGTATGGTTGAGTCCTAAGCATGTTTTATAGTGATGGGAAGTGAAGCTGATTTGGGAAATTAATAATTACCTGCTTAAATGCCAATTCATATCTCCCTGTGTCACAGTTCTTGTCCTCACGTCGGTCAAGTACGACTGAAAAGTTGCATATTTCCAAGGTTAAAACACGGTTACAATTTTAGATACCTCCATCAATTATAAACAAATCCTACATCAGCACAAGGATGGGACCTGCATGTGCCTTGATGGATCAATAATCCAAGGACAAACTGTTGTGATGTGTTATTTCTTCTTTGTCTCACAGTGCATTTCTCCATGGAGGCAACCTCACATGTAGCTGGTTGGGATGAGGGAAGGGAGACCAATAATGATTCAGCCTCCCATCCAGGGGGGGGGAGGGGGAGGGGGGAGCAGTACTCTCTAGGTACAGTAGTTACTTCATATCACAGGCCTTAAACCACAGCTACCTGCTCTGGATCTATTACCTGCTCTGGATCCAGGAAGCACACAATCCTTGCAATCTATGCAGCAATGACATAAAATTATTAGTCAGATGTCTCTGACACAACAAGACAAATTATGTTACCTCTCATGGTATCTTCCAGAACCTGTGCACACAGCTTTCTTGTAACTGCTGTACTTGGTCCCATGGTAGGACTGCAGTTTATTTCCAGCTGAAGATGCAAACAGTGCCAATTAATAAAAGTAGGAATGTTTACTGAGTGAAATGTTATAGTCACACAAACAATGAGTGGGTTATTACTTAAGAAGAAAGCTATTCCACAGATATTTCAAAACCCTGAGTTACAACATGATCATATGAATAAGATTATACTTACCAACCATGGCTTGTAGTCTTCACCAATAATGAAGTCAGCGCCATATAACTCAAATGAATTCTAAATAAACAAAAATCATAAACTCATGTTGTCTAAGAGACTGGTCAAGCAAGAAGTACTATTCACCCATTACACCCTAATATTAATATTCATATTCTCCACACTGATCTCTATAAATTTCCTGTTCTAATGACAAGGAGAATTTGTGTGGCAATCAGGTGCTTCTTAAATTGGTGATCATTCTTCTATTCTTTTGACTTTACATTTAATTCAAGGGTGAAACTGAAAGGAGTAATTAGAAGCCAGTCCCTCCTAATGGTTAAATTAGGGTTTAGTCTTGCAGTAAGTGCAATATTTGCAAACAGCAAAGTCATCATCGCTAACTTGTTGATGACCTGGCTGGTAAAGTCTCTGTTGTTACAGGCAAGGTCACAAGTGATTGCAATTAGAATGGAATCAAAGAACCAGGGAATGTGGAAAAAGGTGTGGTCATTGTAATGGCTAGTTTACTATAGAGTTCTCTGAAGCTCGTGCAGTGGTGGAGCACCAGAGCACATTCTACAAAGGTCTTAGTTATATCATGTTTAGTCAAGATACAGTGTTGTTGCTTACTATAATGTTTGTGTTATAACAAACATCACTTTACCTTTCGATATTCCACTATCTCCTGACAGGACTGCACAGCAGAAATAACAGCTTTCTTCATTCCAGGATAAATTGATTCTTCCCACATTTCACCAACACCACGCTTCCTACGATGACAGCGTGGATAAATTTGTAAGTACTTAATGACTTTTTTAGTCAGAACATCAAACAGATTTTGATGGACCCTAATCAAACACAATAATAATCATAACATGGCTGGAAAATTTATTGAATCAAATTCAGTTGCATGCAAATCTATGCTGCCTGATGAGGCATGTGTTCCAATGGAAAAGAAACAGGGAATTCCTCTGCTTGAAAATGTATTAATTAATCTCTAAAATTAATTTACTCTAACATTGGTATGTATATTCTCCATACTGTTCTCTAAACATTTCCTAAGGTGCTGATAAGGAGAATTTGTTTAGCAATCATTAGTTTCTATGGTTGCTGATCGTTTCCTAAATATTCTTGTGACCTTATTGTGATTTAGCAGTATTACTGTAAGGAGAAATTAGCTGCTGCAGGGTGTGAAATTTTGCATAATGCAGGTGCCAATATGCAACTAAATTTTTCACTTTGGCGACTAAATCCTGAAAATTTGTTGCCAAATTGGTGACTAGAACGTTTCATCATAACCTTACCTTGAGATATTGTGAATTAAAAAGATTTGCAAAGATAAATCCGTGGCAAACTTCCTCATTAAGTTTATATCCAAAATGCAGTACACGCATCTCGATCAATAACTAGATGCAATGTTTGCTTTCTTTGCTTTAGGTGAACTTGAACATTGTATGTCATCCCTCCTAGTGTCCACTTTGTAGCATGTAAAAGATCTTTTCCCTAACTTAATTTTGGAGGGTCTATCTAGAACGCTGACAGCGTAACAAAAGGTTTTGTTTGTCTTTGAAAATGGCGACCAATTTTTTTTTTAATTGGCATCAGAAAAAATAAATTAATTTCACGCCTAGTGCTGGTCACTCTTAGGGTTTAAAAGGTTATTATGTCAATCAGTGATTGGTTCACATATCAGCTATGAGATCATTAAGATATGAAACATTAGCTGAGAAGTTTGAAGAGCACTCAAGAGACTGTAATTGCTCTCAGTTACACCTCAAGCAATTCCAATGCACCTTTCATGCTGTCAAACCTTTGCATATGCATACACTGTACTTCATATCTCCATGAATGCAAACTAATGCTTGAATCAATTATTAATTTTTACTTACTTGAGATAAGCCTTCAAGTCATCGCTGCCCCACATATTCTCATCTGGAATACGCTTGTCGCGAACTCCATTCTCAAAGTGCTTTTGGATGGAATTATTGGCAAGGTGTATGCTTCTGATTATTTTAAAGATATAAACAGTTCAGTATTTTGATTGTTGACAAGGTGTATGCTTCTGATTATTTTAAAGACATGAATAGTTCAGTATTTTGATCAACTTATTTTTTGAGTCAAGTTGAATTACTGATTCATCTACTTACATGTGAAAGTCTTCCAGAGAAAAGTTCTGACTGCAGAATCGTATGTAGCAATCCTGAGAATACAGAAACACCATTGTTTAGTGCAGTAACTATACATGTAGCTTGTGAACCATCTCACCCCTTTCACTCCCAAGATCTGAATAGTAATTCTCCTTACTGTCTACCATAAAATTCTTATAATGTTAGTTTGGAGAATTTGGTAGAGAGATCAGCTAATAATCCCCTAATTGATATTTTCCTTTATTCTCATCACTTGTCTGCTTGAGACTGTATTGATATTGTAAGGAGAAATTCTGTCTTGGTCACTCTTGAGAGTTAAAGGGGTAAAAGTCTAAACTGAATCTGAAGCATGATAGTAGCCAATATTAAAGGCTTGAAAAATGGAGTGACAAAAAGACTCAATGTCAAACTCATCTATTAGGACATTTCATTACTTACATGATTTGAGTAACTGACAAGTGCAGAGTTGTTACACAAGTGTAAATTACAAATAGCATGCGCCACCTTCAAAATTTTGACTGTCTTAACTCTCTGTGATGTTTTTTCATGTACATTATTGACAAGTAATAACATGATTTCTATTACAATTTGGTGTAATAAGCACTTGGAAAGACTACAAATTGCATTTGCCCGATGGGCTTATGCAATTTTGTTGTCTTTGAAAAATTTACTTGTGCTTATTAACAACAAACTGCACTCAAAATCGTGTTATTACCTATATATACTAATATCTAGGAATCAAAATGAAATTTTTCTGTCCATACCTTGTAGAACCACAAAGTCAAAGGATTCCAGTCTGTAACAAGAAACCACTGTCTGATGTCAAACTTCACTCCATAAATCAGCAGTGGCCTTTCTGTAAAAAACACAAATCACATTAGAACCATAAATATTTAAAACTTTGGAGGATTAAAACCCATTAATAGAGGCTCAACCTTATTAAATGATAAAAAATATAAAGGGTTCTGTTATATGCCACACCACAAATTTTCTTTTAAGACTCAAAAAATATGTCTCTTGATACTCTGATGGCAATCTTCTGATTGCTCTCTGATGAAGAGCTACAACTTGAAACATCAGCTTTGAAATTCTATACTGCAAAACCAATTTACATTATCAACTCATTTGATAATACTAAATTACCCTGTTACTCTCCTCCATCGATGCAGCACTACAGTTTCTTTTGAAACTTACCCTCTTTATTCACTGGTGTCCAAAAAGATCACCAAAAAGGTCACCAAACTCATTTTTTAGTTAAAAGTACCCCAAACTGAAATCAAGGGTGTTTGCTGGAACATGTAGGTTTACCATCAATTTCTTTGGGTCTTCTTAGGATGTCTTGTGCTTTCCTGTTTTTTTTTTTAATGTAAACCCAACGTTTAGGCCACACATTACCTATATATTTCTGGACAACCAAGTGACCTTCTTTCTTGCCTACAGCATTACTTCCGACAAGCTTGACAATTTCGTCGAGACGATCCATACACATAATTCCTTAAATGAGTAGAATGAAAAGAGCTCAGATGAGCTGTAAAGAGCCATTATAAAAAAACCCTTACTTAAACGGTGCTGGCCTTGGAAAAGTAAACATTTAAAAAGACAAATTTTGGATCAAGTGTACCATTGGTAGCCTTGGTCAATATTCATGTATTGGTTGATTTATCAATCAAAATTTTATAAATATATTGGTAGATTGGTTATTAATGGGCAGCTGATAACCAGTAAGCCAATGTCTTGATGGTCAACTGATACTCTTATCAAGGCATCAGCTACATGTATCTGTTGGTTGAGGAACAGTCAACTTTAAACAGGTTACCAGTTGCCTCTCAACAAAATATTGGCCAACTGTTGACCAATTTATTGATTGCTTATTGATTGAGGTTACCTACATTAAATATGATTCAAATATTTTGGGATCCAAGTATGCTTTACCTCTGCCTCTTGATTTTGCTCCAGGTTTGACAATCCAAATGTTCTTCGTACCATCAATGTCAATTTGAGGAAGGTATTCTTTCATCTAAATAACAGTTGATTATAAATGTTAAAAATTGGCTACATCAAACTATTATTTGCTATTTGTTAGGTGGGAAAAGCTGATTCACATCTGATTTATTTTCATTATTCCTGTAGACTGACAGAATGTCTTTGAATACCTTAGTCTGCAAGTCTGTGATAGTCACTCCATTGTTCTAATGAACTATCACTCTCTGTTACTACCAATGCCAACCCCTTGCCCTCTACATTTTAAGTGATATCAAGCCCCTTGAGCTGTGCTTGAGCTGTGCACACACTAAATACATCATAAGTCTAACACAGGATAAACTTTGAGTAATTAATTCTATCATATCTATAATTATTGTTGTAATCATTTTTACTATGATATGGGTGTGAGTAAATTCACCTGCTTCACAACATTCTGACACTCTTTGAGATAAGGATATGCTGTTGCAATAACAGTCCCAGGACTGAAAAAAAAAAAAAGGAATTGCAATGTATGTCACAAATATAAGATTTAAAGACAAAGAACACACTGATTAGAGAAAGATGTTTTTCGTCTTGTCGCAAGTGTGGGACATAGCATCATGTTTGTAAATATGCTATTTTTAGAACATTTTTAGTTTATTCTATTCTGAATTCTAAACTTCGGCCTTTTCATTTTTAGCATCACAATCACATGGTCTCAAATGAATGTACTTACCTCTTGACTTGATAATAATAGTCAACTAGTAGTTTCCATGAATCTTCTGAGATGGCTGGACCCTAAAATTATTGTCATTTAGAAAAATTATTGGTAACATGTGCAAAAAATGTCTGGCCTGACAAGAGCCTGAATAAGGCCTGACAAGAGCCTGAATAAGGCCTGACATTTGAACCAGACACAGGCCTAACATCAACCGGACAAGAGCTCAACCAGACAGAGCAGTTAAGAGCCTAACAAGAACCTGACACAGAGTGGGAAACAAGGATTAATTAACCTCACAAGAGCCAGACAAAAAAATGGTACACAATGGGACACAAGCCTGACACAAGCTAGACATTAGCCTGACACTTAGCCAGACAGTAAGCCTGACAAGAGTGGTAATTCAGCTGGACAATCATTCAGAACAGGAAAATGAGCCTGACACAAGCCAGACATTTGCCTGACGGCACAAAAACAATAAGTGATGTCAGTGATAATTGCTAAAAAATCCCATCTTACATACAGTGTAGCTTGTAAAGTTGTGGGCAACTCTAGAAGCTGGGTTGAAACTCATCAAATATACTAAAACAGAAACTAACCTTACTAAGAGGCTCATCTATGTCCAAATGCTCCTTACACTTGAGGAAATCTCGGCAAGCCTGTAGTGCAAGTGTCAGGGCCTTCACAGGTACCACATTAGATGTTGCACTGGAAGATGCTCTGGATGTAACACCAGTTCCTGCTCTGGATGTAACACCAGTTCCTGCTCTGGATGTTGCTCTGGATGTCGCTCTGGATGTTGCTCTGGATGTGGCTGAATCCCTTGGTTTTGCACTAGAGGTTGTCTTAGGGGTAGCATGCCCCTGATCAGGAGGCAGAGGTTCTTTATTGGACATGAGCTTATCATCAATGTTGCCATTTTCATACCTTTGAACTACCCACTTAACTATGCTCAAAGCAGCAGTCAAACGATAATCGTCTGAAAGGAGAGAACTCATCGTGTTAGTTTGAAGGACAACCCACTCTGTCCTACAGTATGTATGTATTTTTTTAATACTATTTTGAACCTCTCTGATAACCCTAGAATATAATGACAAATGTTGTACAGAGATCACTGGGTCACACTTTTTGGACTTGTTTGCATACAAGAGATTATTCAGAAGATTGAAGCATCTTGCAGGTGCATTTGTTGCAAATTTTAAAGTAAAGAACAGGGAAAGTGTACAATCATCACTACACAGACAAAATTTAATTAACACTTCATTGGCATACCTATGAAATCCATTTTTTCATCATCTGAACCAAGCAAGTGTGAACGAGGGAAGAATGTATAGTGATCTGCCTCTTCATACCACTTCAAATTCCTCAGGTTTGTGGTGAGACCAAACTGTGAACAGGAAAGATCACATTATACACAAGTTAATAGTCTTACAGAACAACTTTCATCGAAGATGGGTACTCTATGCCACAGAAGCTTGTCCTGAGTTCCATAGCATGAAAAAAATAGATTGAAGTACAGTACTGCTATGCACTCCTTCTGGAGGTTGCCCAACCAAACACATTACAGTTATCATTATACATAACACTAACTATGAAAAATCTGATTGGTCAAAAGCACACAGTCAACATACAATAGCATGTGAAGCTGACATGAAAACCCAATATCTGCAGCAGATAGTGGGTTCTCATGTCAAGTTCAAAATCTGCCTAGTTTCCAAGCCCTGATCCATGCATTAATTGTTCTCAAACTTTTGCAAACTCAGTGGTGTCTTCTGTTGCAGATTGTTTAAAAATGTGTTATAAAACAATTATTGAACTTATTCTTTGCATAATATTATGAATGATCAAACCTTGTGTCTGCATGATATCACATGCTCAACCTTATAATTATTCAATAATTGTTTGTCACACTTCAACTCAGGATTAAACTCAGACATGCTAACCATTTGATATTATGACATTTCCCACAGCCATGGAAAAGAAACCAATGCCATTTCACAGGTTGATATGTTTCTGTTGGAACAACCACCTGACTATAAATAATAAAAAATTGATGGCACTGACCTTTGTAGTGAATGAGCCAGCTTTGCTGTAATGATTCACAATTTGATCCTGAAAAAAAAAAAATGTACAAAATTTTGTGATTGAGACAAGTCTCAAAATATTTAGATTGTATTATACTGAGACTACCTGGCCTTCAAAAGAGAAAAGTAGTGAACCATATCATGTACACTGTATTTCATAATTAACTATAAAAGTCTTTAAGCTAGTTCCTCGTGATTTTACGATACTACACAGAGACATGATTTATCACTTTATTCTCAGTTTGTAACTTAAGTCTAATTAAAATGCTCTGTTTTAATTTTCCTTAATATTTTACATCTCAATCTTGCCTTTTTTAAAAACTTGAAATCCACGTCATCCCGTCTGGTTGTCCATATAAATGAAGCCACAGCATTTCGTACAGTTCTGGACTGTGGGAATAAAATTATAGATTTTTTTTAGTTACTAAATGCTAGAAAAATGCATTTTTGTTAGAGAATTAATATGCTATTCAAAAGACTTCTAGGCCAAGACCCACACAGTTCATGTTACTACGATTTGGCTAGTTATTATCAGTCTCCTTAAAAACCATTCTCCCAATCACTAGGCAACTAATCATCTGTGCTGTCAATCAACCATGGATCAATTAATCAATTATTTAAAAAATCACTTCTTGAATATATTAAAATCAGTATTTCTTCACTTAGTCAAACAATCTTAATCCTTTAACTCCCAAGATCTCATTGTTAATTCTCCCCTCTAGCTGCTAGACATTTCCTTTTAAATAAGTTACAAGTTTGGTTTTAGATCAAAGTTTGAGTATTCTCATTACCTGTTTGTTGAATAGTGCACAGATATCATTGGAAGAAGTTATATGTTAATCACTTCTGGGAGTTAAAGGGTTAAAGAACTTATTTACCACAATGAGTGGTCACCTTATGTTATTTACTACTTATTTTTTTAATGATAAGTGTCTGTTGTGGCTCAGGTGGCCTGGCTGCACTCATTAGCTCACGGGCACAGTTTTTTCTCAGACACCCTTCATGGACCTCCCTCGCAATAAATATTAACACATATGTATATTTTGACTGATTTAATATATAAAGCTATAACTTTTACTCACCATAAGACTAAACTCACAGTCTGGGCCATTACCCTCATATCCTGCATTCCAATCTTCATTATCAGTATTGTCATTGTCGCTATCATCACAGCCACTACCATCATCATCATCATTATCATTGTTATTCTTACTGACATTAACTACTGTTCTTGTTTTAGTCTTTGATACCCTATGTGATTTAGCTGGAAGGTTACCAGAGATCTTTGTGTTTTTCCTGGGTGATGTTTCGTTGTCAGAATCATCCCCACTGTCACATGAATCACCATCATCACTACCATCACTGTCATTTTTCTTATTCTTTGATGGTAAAAGATTTCCTTTGTAATGTTTCTCTACATATCCTCGCTTTCGAAGCACAGCTCGCACTATTGGGTATGGTCCATGACATGTAAATACTTTCTTTTTCTGAAAGAAACAGATTGAAGAATTAAACACTTTTAGTGATGAGAATCTTTCATATGAAGTAATCTATCACATCTAAATTTATGGAAGGATTTACAAGGTCAGTGGGAATTCAGTGGGAATCTCTAACAGTCTAAAAACCCTTTAATTACCAGATCAAATTTGTCATTCTCCTTACTTTCAACTATACAATTCTCATAGAGTTAGTTCAGAGAATTTATTGTAAGGGATTAACTAATTATTGATATAATTTTAATTTCTTTATTCTCATCATTTATCTGGTTGATATTGTTTTGAAATTGTAAGGAGAAATTTTCTTGGTCACTTATGAGAGTTAAAGGGTCAAATGTGTTCAAAGGTGTCAATTAGAGAGAAAGTACCTATATAACATCATGACATCTGCCATATAAACCCTTTACACCCTAACATCAATATGCACATTCTCCATACTGTCCTCTATACATTTCCTAAGGTGGCGGTAAGGAGAATTTGTTTGTCTTGTTGGGATCATTTCCTTTATTCTTGTTGTGTATGTGTGTGATTCAGGGATGCAGATATTGAAAGGAGAAATAAGATTCTAATCTTTCTTTTGAGCATTCATCATGGGAAGGGAGGGGAGGGGAGGGGGGGCAAATAGAGCTCATTAAATTAGCCATTTCCTGATTGGTCTTTTTCAAGGACCTTATAATCAAAAAATGTTGACAAACATCCCCAACATTAATACCTTTACAACATATGTTGAAATGCAACACATGATTATAAATTACAATTCAAAGTAGCATGGTACAAATCATACATGTGTGTATTTGATAAGGTTTTAAACGCTCATCAAATACTCGCATGAATGATTGGTACCATGTAAACCGTTAACTAGACAAATGTCAATAGCCAAAAATTTCCTATAAAAAATGATCAGATTCATACCTTTATGGCATTTTCTGCGACTTTTTTGGCATTTCTAACTTTGTCAAACAAAGGATCATCATAACTTTTTTTTCCTGGCTGTGAATTTGGTTGAGACCGACTCCTGGAGTGAGTAGTTTTTTGTTTTCCAGTAATCTCAACTTTTGTACTTTCATCCCAACCAGGGCTTTTGTTGTCACTTTCAACCGTCACTGGTTTTGCCAGGGGATGAGTCAGTGTCCTTTTGTGTGCTGCTTTCAAAACTTGCTTGCCCTTTTTCAGGTACAAATTTTCAAGGGACTGATTGTAGGGACTTGATTCTTGGAATTTTTGATATGCAGCATTAGCTCTATTTACAGCATTCTCTGAAATTTTTCCAGATGATTTTGTTTTCTTTGTGAGATCATGCGAAGACATAGATTTTAAGTCAGATTCTTTGGCAGATTGGTCCTGCAAACCTGTCAAGTTAGTTCCATCAGGTTTACTTTTGGTGAGAGTTGTTAGAAAATCAGGCGCTGAAGTTGATGCCAGCACTTCTGGAGATGTTATTAAACTCTCATCAGACAACTTCTGATCATCTTCCTGCACAGTTTTGACAAAATTTATCAATTAATCAACCAGCTTATCAGTTAATGATGAGCAATTCATCTTTCTCAGCTGCATTGAGTAGCATAATTGAATGAAATCAGAAGAAAAAGTAGTAAGTGCTGTGTAAACATAAGTTGGGAGATGTGTCTATTGCTGAATTTTTCCTTCCATTTGGGTTGGTGTCAGGCTATGTTGGTGTGGAAATAGGAGAGACAGTACCTTATAAATTCTTAATTTCTAGCTCAGGCAGCCAAATGTCTGACAGGGAAAAGAAGACAAAATTTCTTGAACTAACCTCTGCAGTCCTTGCTTCTTTAAATTTTGAAACCTTTTTCAATCTCGTTGGAGACCTGCTGGAAACTTTATCAGGAACTGGAGTGAACTTGTCTTTGGTTTGGTTCAAATTGTTGATTGTTGCTTCAATCTGTGAATTGCAGACCAAAAAATGTTAAAAATTGTGCAGAAAATAAATGATTAGTGAGTACATTTCAACTTGGATAATATGATAACAAATTGAGCTCAGAATCATGGATGCAGTTATTAAATAATCACAATGTTATTTGGTTAATGAATATTAATTGTAATCATTTAAGTAGAATGAGCTGGAGAAGACTAAGTCAATGCAGTGAGTTTCGATTGATAAAAACAATATACATAGTGGGGGGGGGGGGGGGAGATGGTGATGGCATCTGAACCTCCCATCAACATATGGAGTAAGTGGTTAATTCCTTTGAGGGGTAGGGTTTATCTGTCAGACTGATGGTTAAATTATGTTTTTGATTCCAAGTTCTTATAATTCAACAAAATATGATCAACCCTGACAAATTTCTTTGTTTAAAACATGTATTGTGTGCATAAATATTACCTGAAATTCAAAACATGTGAAAGATTGAATCAGATAATCATACTGATATTGCATTTAGTTGATATTAATTAAAAATATGCAAATTTTTGTCGTCTCCAAAAAGAAGACAATTTGCAAGATTTGAGTGTTTAATAATGACAAGGTTGCTTTTGGAGATGTGCACTTAACATATCAAATATTTCTTGTTTTATTAAACAACATAAACGCGACATTTAGGCAGTCATCATTCCGACCAACACTCAATCTAGTCACAGTCTGGTGCAGTTCAAGTGTAAATCACGAGTCTTTAAGATTTCACACTTCAAATTGCATTCAATGATTACTACTGCCCCATATGGGGCTTTTTGGAGACATTTTATGTTCATTTTGTGTACTTGTTACAGGCTGGTTAATTAGAAGTAATCCGCTCTAAACAAAACTGAACAGTGCAAAAAATCAAATATGTACTCACATAGCGTTTCTGTTTCTCCACATGCATTTGCTGTCGGTCCATAAACGTTGTTTTTAACTGCTGTACTATTTTCACACTGTTTGAACTAACTTTAGGTTTAAAAGTAAACTCATCTGCCGCGTAATACGTCTTTTTGTCCGAGCTAGATCGGACCTTTTCGCCGCGTTCTTTCGCCAGTTTTATACTCAATGCATTCAGTTTCGGGGCAAAAGTCAGTTCACATTCAAAGTTCAGTCTTTGTTGAGTTTTTGTATTAAGCGTCGAGATCATTCCTTTTTTCCTCGCTACCTCTTTCAAAGGGCTAAGTTTCTTCTCCCCAGAATTGCTTACGCCCTTGACGATCTGTGTAGCTGGCCCATAACGGGATAAATCTCCAGGTTTTGTTGAAAAACTCTCAACAGCCTCCTCTAAGACATCGCCATCATTACTCTCGTGGTCCTTCTGCGAACTGCCGAGTTGTCGAGCTTCCTGAGAGGATAAATCGGTAGATTCTTGGTTAGCATAACTGCTCTTTACCATATTATAAGTCTTGCAGTAGTCTAACATATCCATCCTTAGGAGGAATTAGCCCTCCGTTTGTTTATCAGCCAGTATTGAACGCCATTTTGGAAACGTTTCCATGGCAACTTTGATTAAGCGGTGCTAAGTACTCCGCACCGTTTGAGGCCTCGGAGTCGTCTTTTGTGATAGAAAACAATTACAAATTTACGTCGTTTTAATAATATTTACCCAAATGGAAAAGGCATCTCATCACTTCAGTATTGCTTTAAAGAATTCGGCAATTGGTCGTAAATTTCAAAGTCGGTGAATCTCGAAAGCTCAAATGATGGAGAAAACTTGTTTGCATAAAAATAACCACGTCTAGTCAACTATGTCAATTCTAATTAGACCATGTTTATCAAAAGCTTAGGAATAATGGATGTTGTTGGCTTTAAAGTGGTTTCTATGAGTGTTTGTAGTTCTTTGTGGCACATGCAAAATCTGACATTTACACATTTGTGGTTTAATTACGGTGAATTTTGGAACGATTTTTGTCGCGTTCGATCGATTCTTCTAAAAATCTTGACGCTAATTCAGCGGAGGGTTAAAATGAAGATATAAGCGATTTCTTTTTGTTTTCCTTCGCCATTGCTGAAAAAGCTTTCCTCTCCATCTGAAATTAGTTGTAATGAATGTGCCTTGTGTGGTGTTGTTTTTTTTTCTAATCTGGATTTAAAGTTGACATACTAATATAAACTGAACAGGTGAGTGACACCTTCTGTTTGTGATTTCACAATTTCTTTTCCTTTATTTTTTGCAAATTATGGAAATTTTGGACACAACAGACTGTTTGTAAATTAAAGGTTCACTGTGATTGAATGAAGTCCTGCTTAGAATGTGAATATACGTAACCCGTAATTGTATTTCTTTCATTTGGTAAATTCTCAAGATTTCCCTGAAAGTCCTGAAACCTCGATGTTTTCCTTTTAAATTCGTGACGCGTGAAATTCTGTCTAAAGCATACGTGACGTGAGAATTGTTCTAAAGTTCGTTCTAGTCCATGGATTCCTAAGCCGTGGAACAGAAGCGAGAACCTCCGAGAAAACAGACTCCTTCCTAACACTCTAATTCCCAAGATTTCAATATCAGTTCTCCCCACTGTCCGCCTTATACTGCTTACAACTTTATCTCTGAGAATTTGGTGTTAGATCAGATGATGTTCACTAGTTAATGCACAACTTGCAAATTCAATCTTTTTACTTCCAAGATCGTATCAGTAATTCTCCTCACGGTCAGTCATACCTCTGAAGACTCTGTAATAGAGTCAGATCTGAGAATTTGGTGTTACATGAAGTATTTATCCCCTAGTTGATATTTCTCACTATCCTCATCACCTTTGAATTTGAAAGTTGGTTAATATTGTTAGGAGAAATTAATTTTGAATCAAAGAGGGTTGTAATCGGGTGATGGTTTTTACGGTTAACGGTTAGAATTAAGGCCAATTTATGGTTAACAGTTAATACCTTTCCATTGTAGTCACCAAAAAAAATATTTTTTACGCTTAACTTTTTTTGCGACTAACGCTAAAGATTTGTCGATTTTTACGCCTAACGGTCAATTTTTTGGCCGTTTTACGGCTAATGGTTAACCCCTCTGAGACCCTCATGAGAGGGTTGAAGTTGACAAACTTCACCTGAATCAAACTATTTAAGCGAAAGTTCGATTTTTCCTCTCTGTCCCATTGTTTTTTCTTTCAGTATTTCTTTTGTTTTCATTCAAATGAAACCATAAACCGCTGCCAACAAACGGCGTGACTTTTCACGAAAGGGTATTACCGTATTCCCTAGAAAAGTAGAATCAGTACAGGAGAATAATAAGCCCCCCCGCGCCGCGCGATGAGGTGCCCTCCTTCCAATAAGCACCCTTCCTTTCAGCGGAAATTTTAAATATGCGCACCGGTGCCTATTACTCTTCAGGACTGATTTTACTGTAGATGAAGCTCAAAAAGTTGCAAATAAAGTGGGAATAGAAACAGGTTTTCCTCGTATCCCTACTATTAGGAAAGCGAGGGAGGAGATGGGGGGGGGCGCTTATTCCACAGGGGCACTTATCAGAGGAAATATCTCCGTTCCAAAAAATAAATGGTACTTGCCGAACTGAGTAACCTTGCCTTGCTATCCTCTAGTGGTGGTACCCAGTGCACTCGCCTGCTTTTGAGACCCAAAGGAAATTCTACCGAAACATGTTGCATTTATGAAAGTGGATATACAGCTTCAAAGTGATAATCTGAAGAAAAAAGTGAAAAATAAAATTAAGGACGCATCGCTATTTCACACCCAAATGCTATTTGTTTTAAGAGCGATTTTTTATTAGTTTTTGAAAACAGTTCAAGTATATCTTTTAATCCTTTTACCCGAACATCAGTATGCAAGTTCTCTATACTGTTTCCTGTTAAGTATGGAACTTGTCTAACAATCAAAAGCTTGTTAAGTATGCGAACATTTCCTCAATTCTTATGACCTATGGGTTATGAAAATGATATTACATTTTTTTGGTCAGGAGGCTGAGTGTCGATCCTCGCCAAAGTTCAATTCCTGAAAGGTTCCAAAGACATTTTTTTGACTTCGGCTGCGGCCCTGAGGAGAGCGTAATAATAAAGATGCAGTATATTTTCAAATCAAATTAAAATCCCCGGCTCTTCTTCTTTTTTGCTGAGATCTAGAGGGAGGCTTTTATGTTAAGGAGAAAACGCAAACTGTAAAATTTATTCGCCAAAATAAAAGGCAACACTCAACAGAAAACACAAGCGTTTTGTATCGTAATGTAACGTATACATTTACTATTCACTCCTTGCGTTCTGTTTTCATCAAGCTAGACTGATTGAACATCGCGATCCCTAAATTTCACTTTGAAAGAAACAATTTGCATCAAAGACTTATTTTACATTCATATTTCTGGGTGTTTACAGCGTTCGAAATCACAAAAAAATGTACCTGTATGATTTTAGGGAACATTAGACATAAAGTACTTCGTTACCTAGCAAAACGTTTAATTATTCTAAAATAAATTATTTTGTAACTTAAAAGTAAGAAATTAATGCACTCTCTATCCAGCAAACCTTTCCAAAAAGTTCGTTATGCTTAAATGTCTCAACGACCGCGTAGATCTAAGTTACACCCTTATATTTTTGGCATGATGAAGTCCTTAGAAATTAGCTCGGTTTTTTTAACATAAAAACCGCAGAGTCTTTTTTCCTGTTTCTTTTTTCGGTAACAAGAGCAGAAACTTCACTCACTGAACTTTTGTAGTGCGAGAGAATTAAGTTGGTTTTCCTTCAAAACGACTCCGACAATTTGACTTCGGCAAACACCCACTTTTTTTTTCGCAGTGATCAAGTATGCATCCTTTATGTAAATTTTGAGCTTTGTTCATGTGCAAAATGACTGTTCAATTAGGTTTGACCAATATGATATGTTCAAGAATAAGTCCATATGTCCTTAATTCAGTATTCATCGATATAAGCCACAAATTTTAGATTTCTATTCAACCAAATTAAGTGCTGAATTGCTTGAATAAACATCTTCGTCGTGTAAATCAGAAGCATAAAAACCTTCACCTAGAAAACATGATTGGGAAAAGAAAAAAAATCCCCAGCTTTGTTTTGATGACCAAGCTTGCAAAGTATTATGCGATAGTGCATACCTTAATTCACCCGTGATTGATTTTTTTTTAGTATAAAAACTTTTTGGGCATTTCAACCGTGCAAATTTTTTATAGATAACTATCTCCTCGGCCAAGGACTGATAGTAACCGTGACCAGGATACTTCTGAAAGCTCTTGAAGTATAGAGCACTAATTTCTGACTGATGATTGTCGAGACTGAAACCGCGGTACTACGATTATTATGGCAGATTCAAACTGGCTACTAAAAACAACTGAACGTACTTACCACTTCATAATTGCTTGTTTTTCTTTAGATCTTCAAATAGTCTTTGATCTTGCGCTTAAGCTGTTGCGTACTAAGATCGCCCTAGAACTTGCTCTGTAGCTTGTCAGTGAAAGATAAACTTAAAAAGGTCGCAGTCTGCTTTGCAATTTTGCCGAAGTCACTCGCAATTTTGCGACAAAATGCGGCGAAACGAGAGAGTTTAACGCCAAACAAAGTCAATTTTTTTTCCAAGGTACCAATAGTTTTTCTCAAAATTAAATTATCATCGAACGAAGAGAGAAAAATACTTTCTTTCTATTAATAATGAAGAAAAGCCAAGACACAATCGACCTCAAGATTTGATAAAAGGATGTCACTAATTGAGTCAAACTTACCTTAATTTGCGCGCTGGTAATAAGCTATTTCTCGTATGAGAATATAACGTTTTCGTCAGTTTCCAATAGTTTAACGTTTTCGTCAGTTTCCAATAGTTTGAAAATGATCTGTATAGAAGGATGCAAGAAATTTGTTTAGGTGCGACAAAACGATTTTAGGCACCTGAAATACACTTCAATAATTGATTTGTTGTTGTGATGTCATAAATATGTCTGTGACGTCAGGTTCCTGAAGAGGTTGTTTTAGCCCAAGAGCAAGCCCTCGTTAAAAGCGGTTCGGCGCGAGCATTTCTTCGCCCGCGGGAAAGTACGAGGCTTTGAGGAATGCAAGCCGGGAAGAGGTGTACACAACAATTGGTCTGCAAGAGGCGCAGTATTATTAGTGCCAGGCCTCCAACAAACCCCTCCCCTACCCGTCGTCAATCTTCCCGCGGGCGAAGAAACGCACTAAGAATGAAAGCTTGCTCGCAGGCTAAGGTTGTTTACGTTGCTTTTTGGTGATGTTTTAGGGAAAACTGAGTGTAAACGAAACGTGCGTCAAAAGTATCAGTTGTGTCATCGAATATACAATAGAATGAATCATCGGATGCGAGGACGCACCATTGCGCGCATTGCTTAAGCGAAAATCGTAATCGCCCCACCGGGCACACCTGGTGATTTTGGCCGATAGCTACGATCGCCGAAAATTGCCAATAATAAAATAACAAACAAAACACACAAGTTCATCAATATCACTGCATGAATATATTTGAATACACAAATTTAAGCATCTATAACATACAGTATTTCAAAAAAAAAATTAACTTGCTTACAAATATTGGCCTGATTTCAGTTAATGATGGTTATGAGTTGGCAATGACCCTTAACCCTTGAACGCCCAGATAAAATTTGTAATTCTCCTTACTACCAACCATACAATTCTTATCATGTGAGTTAAGAGAATTTAGTATTGGATCAACTAATTATCCCCAAATTGATATTTTCTTTATTCTCATCACTTATCTGGTTGGTATTGAATTGATATTGTAAGGAGAAATTCTGTCTTGGTCACTCATGAGAGTTTAAGGGTTAACGGAAGGCTCTATGGCAACATTTATCTCATTATGGAGTAACAGAATGTTTCTCTTGAATAAAGCTGTGTGATGCAGTAAATTCCATCCAGTAAGTAAAAGTGAATTTTCACCATCAAGTTTCAAAACTTACAGAGCAAATGCTACTTCTCTAGACATGAAAAAAATGCCAAACTTATCATATCCCTGAAATTTTCAATTTACACGAAAATCAATCACTCTTTGAATTAATCCTATTTTTGACAGCTTCTCTCAAAATAACAATATCAGTCCCATTCTTTCTCACCTTTTAGGGGCGGTGAGGTGAGAGACCCTGGGAACAACAATGTTCAAATCATAATCCAAGTTATATTTAGAGTAAGGTTTGCAACTACTGCTAAATAATCAAAAGATTAAAATACAAAGAAAAGAAATAATTAGTATACTACTGCATTCTTCTCCACACTTTCTACTCAAATAAGCTAAATATATGGTTAAGAGCAAAAGGATTAAGCTGGAATATGAAGAATTTCACTTTAAAAATACTCTTGCTGATGTACAGCAAAAGATCATTATAATTATTCAAATCACCCAAGTGTATTACAAAGAAAAAACTACCACCACGAAAAAAAGTAACTTTGGAGATGCACACCTCATGTTGCTACACCATACAGTATATACTCATTCACCGATGACATGAAAAGTTTGTAATGCAGTATTGGTGGAAGTTTTTCCCAGTTCTACTGAGGTGTTCTAGATGAAAATATTAAGGAAAAAAAACTCAAGTTTTCCCTTCTCCTATTTCTAGGTATTGATTTGCAGTGAGTCGTCAAAACTCTTAACATAAAAAGATACAAAAACAAAAAAAGCATAATATTAAATTTAAGGAGTTCTGACCAAAAAACATAATTTGTCAGAAACAACTCTTCTTGATTCACTTTAACCCTTCAACTCCCAGACCAAGTTTGTTATTCTCCTTACTGTCAGCCATACAATTCTTGTAATGTTAGTTCAGAGAATTTAGTATTGGATCAGCTAATATCCCCAAACTGATATTTTTCTTTATTCTCATTACTTATCGGGTTGATATTGTATTGATATTGTAAGGAGAAATTCTGTCTTGGTCACTCATGAGAGTTAAAGGGTTAATAAAAAAGAAAATCTTAAATAGGTGTTATTAAAGACAATTAAATTTTAACACAACCTAGTAAAATGTATAAACCTTGCTTCAGAAGCCCATGGCAGTCGTCCAAAAAAAATTTTTTTAAGATAGGTCCCAATTTTACAGATTATAATCAAAATGCAATCTGGGTGGAAATTAATATCAAAATACATCGGCATTCCAGAAATAAACTGGCAATGCTGACATAATACGTACTTTGAAAAGCTGCATTATCTTTTGCTCTGTTTTCTCTATAAGTTACTTTCTTGGAAAAGGCAAACAGAGCATTTTGACAAGAAACAAGTAAATTATATTTCAAATAGTAAACAAAACAAAAAAAAAATTATAGAATGAGATTTAAATGGTTGAAAACGTGATGAACATTTCACATCAAATGTAACCTGACATTAGATTCTCTCTTACAAAAAAAGGGAAATTACTTGCATTTTTAAGTAAGAACCTTAGTGATGTAAAGCGTTCAGTTTATGTTCAAAGTTAACACATGGATCTAAGATATATATCAAATTAATGAACAAAAGGATTCCTTTTTTCTGGGATAGGATTTTGTTACAAAGGTGTTTCATTTATCTTAGTTCCAAAGTTACACCAATTTATTTTTTTGGCTAAAGCATCTTTGTGGGCCGGAATCTTAAATCCTCGAATTAGATTGGTTAGTCATAAGTGTTCCTGCCTTAAAGACCATAATCCAGAATTTTTTCCACTGTCAAACAGGAAAAAGAAATCCCACAGTTAAAAAAAGTTGGACTTGGTCATTCTTTAGGGGGAAACAGCTGTGCTTGGTCTTGAGTATGACCCTTGGTCTTAAGTATGACCCTCTGCCATAAGCCTTGCAAGGCACTCAAAACCTTGGGCACAGATTTTCTCCACATGAACCTCAAGCTTGGTTAATAATATAGACATATATTTATTTTTATCAGGACCTCTACCTCAGTCAATAACTGCATGTTAATTGACATATAACAGCAGCTATGTCAATCACTTTACAGACCAAAATAGTCTACAAAAACCCTTTAACTTCAAAACTGACTAAGTAGTAAAGTTTCAAAAGTATTATCCAAAACATGTTTTATGACGAATGCCTGATGACAGAGTAATACACGAAGACAAATTATCTGCAATCAAAAATACAAAAACTGATTAGATAATAAAACTGGAAACTCTTTTTTTCCAAAGTATCTCAGGAGGCCAGAATCTTAAATGCTCAAATAAGGTGCAGGTAATTGGCCCAGCTTTTCACAATACGGACCATGGTTCCAAATTTTTGTGTCATTCCTGGCAAAGTGGATTGAAGCAAACCAGCAGAAAAATAAAAATGTTCCAGGTCTGGGTTGTTTTTCTATGGCCAAAAAAACTGTGCTCTTGGCCCTCTGCTCTTTTTTCCTTCTAGATCTCCTGCCCAGTAAATAACATTATATAACCATTCTTAGGGATGAGCATGTATATTGTCGTTTGAATCAGAAGTTTGGAAACTGAACCTTACATATATCTTCCAAGGCTCTCAAGTTTAACACATTTTTAAGGAACAGAAAAAGTGAATTTTATGAGCACAATCAAAACTTCTAAGTGATTGTATCCAATTATTTATCAATATTTAACCCCTTAAACCCTACTAGTGACCAGCTTCTAATTTCTCCCTTCAGTAACACTGCTGAATCATTCATTTAGATCATGAGAATAAAGGAAATGATCACCAACCTAAAAAGCTTTGATTGTAAAACAAATTCTCCTTGTCAGTGCCAAAGGAAATATTAAGAGAAAAGTTTGGAGAATACAGATACTGATGTAGAGGAGTAAAGGGTTAAGTAAGCTGCTCTAGAGCTCACAGCTCCAACAGTATTTCAACAGAACAAAACATACCTTGCAGCACTGAGAAAAGAGATTAAATTTCTGGAGCAGAGGGAATGTCTTGTCGTGGAGGCTCCTGAGGTACACTCTCACCACCTTTTCCAGAAGTGCGAGGACTATGCCATGGTGTTTCTTTAAAAAGGAACCACAGATTGCCACCCCAGACAAAAAAGTTGAGGAATCCAAAGACCTGTAATATAAAAAATAGTTTTACTAATAATCCTCCTTACTGTCTGCTACACAATTGTTATGATGTTAGTTGGGAGAATTTGGTATTGAATCAACTAGTAATTCCTTAATTGATGTTTTACAAACATCTTATATCTCCTAACAGTATCACTCCTGTTTTTTAAATAAATTCTCTCTGTCATGACTACTGGAAATGTTAACCCTTTAACTCCTAAGACATCATTAGTAATACTCCTTACTGTCTGCCATAAAGTTCTTCTGATGTGGGTTTGGAGAATGTAGTATTGGATAAACTAATAATCCCCTCATTAAAATTTTTCTTTATTCTCATGAAGAGAATTGTATTGATATTGTAAGGAGAAATTCTATCTTAGTCACTCATGGGAGATAAAGGGTTATGAGAACTTAACAGAGAATACCTGTATAGATTTTGGAGTATAAGAGGTTTATTACTTACCACAGCCACAGTAGCAGATCCATATCGTGCTCCATTGAATGATTGACAGCCTTGAGCCTTACAAGGTGCAACTGTGTCAAATAAAGTTGTCTCGCTTGTAGCATCTTTAAGCCCAGACAATGCAGCTGCCCATGCGATGGAGCTGGTAAACCAAAAGATGACCAGGACAACAGTAAAGACAAAATCCTACACACAAGGAAGAAGAACAAACCCTTTGAGCATTATCATGAATCACTTGTAAAATCCAGAGTGTCAAAAATAATTGTCCTTAACCCTATGACCCCTTGATCAAATTTGTAATTCTCCTTACTGTCAGCCATACAATTCTTATAATGTTAGTTCAGAGAATTTAATATTGGATCAACTTATTATCCCCAAATTGATATTTTTCTTTATTCTCATCTCTTATCTGGTTGAAATTGTATTGGTATTGTAAGGAGAAATTCTGTCTTGGTCACTCATGGGAGTTAAAGGGTTGTTGAAAATACCATATTTCATCAAATTAGCTCACATGCTTTAACAACCTCTTTCCTACAAGTTCATAGGTCGGACAAGCACCCCTCTTGATTAAGCATGGACACAAAGAAAACATGGCTCTATCACCACTTCATTTACAACTCTTTAAGTGTCAACTACAATGGGATCAGTACAAGAGAATAAGAAGCACCCCCTCTTTCAATAAGTGCCCCTCCTTTTAGCCCAAAATTTTAAATAAGCATGCAGGCGCCTATTTGAGGAAACATGGTGTTACATAATCATACAAGATTAAAATCTTACACCTAATTAAGAACCACCATGCAAAAACACAAGATGTCAACTTCACTGACTGTGAATAATTCTAACAAAGTTTCACACTGGTCCATTGTAAGTTAGTAACAACCAGCACTTAACCCTTTCACCTCCAAGATCTCATTAGTATTTCTCCTTACTGTCTCCTATATAGTTGTTGTGATGTAAGTTTGGAGAATTTGGTATTGGATCAACTAATAATCCCCTAATTAATATTTTTCTTTATTCTCATCACTTGTCTGCTTGATATTGTATTAATGTTATGAGGAGAAATGCTGTCTTGGTCACTCAGTTCTTGCGTCAACTCCATAGTCTTAGCTTCTGCTAAAACCTGGACTATCTAACCCAGAGTCCACCAATTCCTACACAACAAGGTTGTCATTGGAAAATGTAACAGGTTTAAGATCTGAACTGAGGAGGCACTTGAATTGAATTATGCTCATACAGCAAACATAGCATGTTGCAAAATTTAGACCCTCTAAGCTATGATTTCTGGACATTTTTTGAGTAACTTTATTTAGCAGGACATTGGTGTTAAGATTGGTTCAAAAATGCTAATTTTCTGTCTTTCAAGTTAGCTGTACTTGAAATAATCACCAACGAAAGCAGCTCTGGACAGTAAAAAAAATTAATCCATGGACCTCAGGAAATGTATAGAGAACAGTATCCAGAATATGCATACTGACATTAAAGCGTAAAGGATTAACCCTTTCACTCTCAGTAGTAACAAAGACAGAATTTCTCCTCACAATATCAATACAGTCTCAAGTAGACAAGTGATGAGAATATAGAAAAATATCAATTAGTGGATTATCATTTGATTCAATACCAAATTCTACAAACTAAAATTATAAGCAATGTATGGCAGACAGTAAGGAGAATTACTAAAGAGATCTGGGGAGTAAAAGGATTAAAGTGACCTAATCATGATTAAGCTTACCAAAACTGGAAACGAAAAATAACCAACATCAGTTGAGGTGGCTTCTTTGGCTCGATCTTCAAAAAAGGTGTAGTAAACAAGAGCCACAATGACGAACAACATGGAAACCACACCAGTGAAGACAATGTACTCTGCCTCAGACTTGTATTTCAATTCCATTGTATGTGACTCGATTTCGGTGTCATTTCTACAGCCCGCCTTGTTGTCTGAGACATATACTTTCATCTCACTGAAAGGGTAGTAAAAATCCACAGAAACTTTTCGTGTGTCTGATACTCCTATGCAATTAAGTTTAAATTCAGCATGACCTATAAAACCAGCCACTGTGGCAAAGGCAAATATGGTGATGACCTGGATGAAAAGAAGAGGAAAAGGTCAGAGGAAAAGGGCAACTACCACCTACACTATACTTTATTTTCATGCAAATCATTTTGCCATCTCCACCCGCAAATAGCAAAAGCTAGACGAGGCAGGCGGAGAGGAAAGGTTACAGCAGTCATAACAGATAATATAATAATTGTAAAGTAACTAAATAAACTATCTGGATAAACAAGCTAAAGTTACAAAATATATAGTCTTACAGAATGATATTACAATCAAATTTACTACTAACATAACTATCAATTATATACATTGAGTCGAGGATGCAGAATTTGCCATTTTTTGTAGGAGAATGGGCACTTCAACATAATCGTCCTCTGCTTCCATTATCGAGAGCAAAAAGTCATGAAAATTTTTCTTAAAAGCTCCTTTGGAGAGTTGACGAAATTCGTTAGGAATTATGTTCCAAAGTTTAGCTCCAAACCTGGAAAAAGAATCTTGATTTAGATTCAGTCTTGAAGTTTGAACATAATAATTTCCAGACGAAGAAAAATCTGGTCTCATGCCTGTGCTTTGAATTAGCTTTAGTGAAGAAATCACAGATGTTAGACGGAGCATTCATGCAGGAAACGTCAAACATTATAGAAGATACTTTTTCAGCATATAACATTTGTAGGGGTAGAATTTTCGAGGAAATAAATAAAGGCACAGCATGGGCTCTAGGTTCAGAAAAGTACATCAAACGAAGGGCTCGTTTTTGAAGCACGAGGATTTTTTTTAAATGGGTTTTGGCAGCTTGACCCCAAGCCGCCAAACCATATGTCAGATCAGGCAAGATCAATGATTGATAAATATTTAAAAGGGTTGTACGTGGGACGAAGTGCCTAAGACGGGCAACAACACCAACAGTTCTGCTTATTTTTAATGCAACATTATTTATTTGAAATTTCCAGGTCAAGTTGCTGTCCAATAGGACGCCAAGATATTTAACATGGTCTTCGCACTGAAGCGTGGTAGGAATTTGAGTACAGTTATCGATCATTTCAATGTTAATCGAGTAGTTCAACTTACGTTGATATGGACGAAAGATAACATAGTTTGACTTTTTAGCATTGAGCGTTAACTTATTTGCATTGAGCCAGTCAGAGACTTTGAGCAGTTCGCTATTGACGGTTTTTTCAAGAGATTTCAAATTAGAGTCAGCATACAACAAGCTCGTGTCATCAGCAAAGAGATAGAATGACAATTTCGCTGAAGAGTTGTGAATATTGTTAATGTAGATTAAGAATAACAGAGAACCAAGCACAGACCCCTGTGGGACACCACATGAGATCATACATTCGGTAGATAAGTTAAAACCCACTTCAGTTACTTGTGATCGACGGAGAAGGTACGAGGCAAACCAAGCATTGATAATTCCTCTGATGCCATAATGATTAAGTTTTTGAAGCAAGATTAAATGGTCGACGGTATCAAAGGCCTTTTTTAAGTCTAAAAAGACCCCGCAAGTGAAAAGTTTTTGGTCAATATTGTTTTGTATGACATTAACGATATCAATAATGGCATGTTGCGTGGAGTGGTTTTCGCGGAAGCCATACTGTGACTTAAATAGAATATCGTTTTACCAAGATAGGATTTGAGGCGGTGGTACATTAATTTTTCAAATATCCGATTGAAAATAGACAGTAATGATATTGGACGATAATTACCAGGCTCAGTCTCATCGTCATTTTTGTACACAGGAACAACTTTCGCTTTTTTCAGTTTGGATGGAAAGATGCCCTTTTGCACAGATATGTTTATGATGATGGAGAGAGGGCCAGAGATAACGCATCTTGCGTCAGTTAAAATATGAATCGCAACTGAAGTGTGCGAAGTAGTCAGAGGGACAGAGCTCCTGGCCACAATAGGGTTGTCTTTGGAAAATGTAATGGATGCATGATCTGAACTGGGTAGACAGCTTAATTTAATTGTGCTTGCACAGCAAGCAGTGTTCACCCATGAGGTGACGCAAGAGGCCTTAACTGTAAGTACTTTTTAGAAATGCTAGGTTATTATCCTAGCATTCTTAACATTCTGAGCTGCGTGAGAGTGTCAATCCGTGCCTATGTCAGAAATGTCACTGGACCTAAAGTACACCAGATGAGAGCAAATAAATATGAGAAGATAAATGAATTAATGCATGATATCAAAATTCATCAGCTGATGCTTTTGTTTCACACGCAATCAATAGTGCCTTTATTCCTTAGCCAGTTCCTTTGCGTTACATTGTAGATTATAAAGAGAAATATATCCACATGATTTGTTCGCCCTCATCTGGTGTACTTTAGGTCTAGTGACATTTCTGTGACATATGCACGGATTTTGACACTCTCGCACAGCTCGGAATGTTAGGAATGCTAGGATAATATCCTGGCATTTCTAAAAAGTACTTACAGTTGAGGCCGCTTGCGTCCCCTCATGTTTCAGGCAGTAACCAGTAAATTTACTGCCTGTAATTAACATCTTGAAGTTCCTGAATGACTCTCTATCAGAAATGGAAAAGGAGCACCTAAGAGCAAGCTAGCTTTGAGGAACTGATGAAGTGAAATTTCGACAACTCACAGCAACAATACTGCTAATCGTAGGAATATACTGGAACTGAAGCATCTCTTACTACAGCCTAAAGTTGCTTAGAATTCTTGCAAATTCAACAGGTAAAAGGGGGGCTCGACTGGTTTTGAAAAATTTCCTTCACTTGTTGTGCTCAAAATAGGGAGAAAAATGAGCCAGAATGGCATGTGGCTTTGCAACATGTCCTTCTAGGGGGTAGGGCAGGGGAGGGTGGGTTCGGAAGCATGCTTCAGCATTCTAGGACATATTTGAGTAACTTTGTTTAACCAGACATTGATGTTGGAGAATGGATAGGAAGTGAACAAAGCACATAAGCTGAGCTCTTGTTTTGCTCTGGAAACCTTCAGTTGTGCCATGTTCTAGTGGCTGTTGCCATCATGGTTTGCTTCAGGTCTTTAGTTGTCAATTTCCAATTGCAGACTCTCCTGATCAAAATAGTGACAGATAAACCATATCACAAAGATTTTGTAGGCCATGCTGCAATCCACTTTCATCCATGATTCAAACAATTCTTACTATTACAATAACCGTAGTTTTTCGGTTATAGGGCGCACTGTTTTTCCGAGAAATTCGTGTTTTCAGGGTATTTTAGAATCAAACTTGACCATACCCATAAAAAGGAGAAATTGAACCCCTATCTTTACGGCTTACACTTAAATGTGTATATCGGTTTTTGTTTTCACTACGATACTGGCTTTACTGTATAGAAGTTAAAACCTTGATCAGCTTAAATTCAATTCTACTTTACGTAAAACATATCTCCATGCAAACGTTAACAAGTACAAAGTTAGCTTTTGCATCATGACTGAACTATAAAAATGTACACATTGTGACTTGTGCCCTAAACTGACTGTCGTCGAGGTTCATAAATAAGACTCAATAGGTCACGATCACAGGCAGCGTATATATTGAAAATTAAGCTCATATCAGACATTTTTCATGAGTTTTCGACATGCATTAACCACGGATTGTGCCATACTGACTGAACATAGGACAACCGTGCACCTTTACGGCTGACAGTTCGAAAATGAAAGTACTTTAAGCTAAAATAACGCCGATTTCAGTGTAGCAATTTGTAACCAATGCTGAAGAGTACAAGGTATTATCAAGGCATTATCAATGCATTATCCATTAAGCGCCACAAGGCACAATCTTGACGCAAACTCACCAGCTCAATGCCTTTAATGAATCCTTTAGGTTCCTTCAGAATCTCGACATTTGGCTTCATGTTCATTTTGGACAAGAGAAGAACAAGTGATCAAATATGTTCCAGCACACTACAGTCCATACACACCTGCCTGCAAATCCGCTTCTTCGTTCGCGCTCTGCCAAGCTAAGCAGCCTGGCCATTTTCTCTAACATGACGTCACTGCTAATATGAGCTTCTGCACTTTCTAGGAAAATCACATGCTCTTTGGCAAGACTAAAACGATCACGTTAGCGATTTAATAATAAAACGGGAAATGCTTTAAAATTTCCCATTTCTACTTAAGTATTTGTGGAATATCTTTTATTTGGAAGGTAGACGAATAGATTTTCCTGTTTGGCCTATCATTCTATCACGCGACCATCCGGCGGGCGAATTCGAACGGTGAAGATATTCAAGAGACGTTTGGAATGGATGGCATTTAACCACTGAAAGCTTAAACAGCAGGCTTCTTGTTCCGTTCATCTTAGATTCCTTTTGCTGTTCTAAAAAGCTATGTAGATAGACCATTGCCTCTATAAGACTGTTCTCAACATTTTCATTTTTTTACTCTCTTTAACAGGAAGGGCTCCTGCTTTAACCATTCCCTTTACCTTGAGTAAGAAGTCTTCGGGGCCCCACTCCCCCCACACCCCCACCTTCTTTCCCTTATATGCTTCGTTGTAGAGATAGTCTTAACCGCAGCATAGATTGGCTTGGCAAACATCGAATGTCGTAATTTATGCGCAATAATTTCATCAGGATTGCGCTGGACGAAATGACATGATGCAAGAATGTCTTTGAACATTTCTCTATTTATGCATTGTCACATATCGATTATAGACGCGTTGAACACTACCGAGATTGCAAAGAAGTTTTCTTGTGGCAATGAACTACGGGAGATTCAGGCGCGCTTGGCTTAGCATAATATCGAGGTTTCCTTCCCCCCAACCCTCCAAACAGCACCGCCACCTCTCTGACAGAAAATGGTAAAATACCGTGATGATTCGATTTGGTGCCCTCCGTTCCAATAAGTGCCCCCTCCCTAATAAGCGCGCCCCCCCCCCCCCACTTAAAAAAAGTTTTTGCTAATAAGCGCCCCTATTCTAACACCCCAGTGGAGTAAGCACCCTCATTCCAATAAGGGCCCTTACACCAGAAAATGCCTCTATTCCAGTAAGCGTTCCTATTTTGTTTCAGAAATAGCCCTATTAATATTAGAGTACATAGACATTGATATCGGCTGTGGTTCATCTTCCTTTAACTGTTCACAGACGGAAACTGCTACCGAGCGTGACTGATAGGTGATTCTTGTGGAGAGTGAGCATGTGGAGAGAGTGATTGTAGTTTGTGAGCGCAAGGGTTGTATACGGATTGTGATGCGTAAGTATTAGTAACAAACGGCGATAAAAGAGTTTCTTTCTGTCTGGAGATTTCTTTTATGGGTTCATTTCCAAAACTCTCCTACAGGTTCATTAAAAAACGGTGATCTTCTTCTTAGTCTTTCAACTACTATGTTTACGTGACTACATGTTAAGGTTTTTATTGGCTATTTCCTCCGAAAATTAGATTTACAAGACTCTAAGGTTCTAGATCGTCAAAAAGAAAATATCCGTTCTTGTGGACAACAACTTCTCACGAAGACTTAAACTCAATTCTGGTATATAAAAGCTATTCGTGTGTCAATAAACACGCCCTTTGATAAGATAAACAGTATTCGGTTTCATGCTCGGTTCTAATTAAAAAGTAACATAAATGTTCGCAGTGTTGAGTTCTTAAGGTTTACAAGGTTCCATTCTTAAGGCTCGCAAGGTTCAGTTCTTAAGGTTCACAAGGTTCAATTCTTAAGGTTCGCATGGATCCATTCTTAAGGTTCGCAAGGTTCAGTTCTTAAGGTTCGTAAGATTCACCTTTTAAGGTTCGCAAGGTTCAGTTCTTAAGGTTCGCAAGATTCAATTCTTATGGTTCGCGGGGATCCATTCTTGAGGTTCGCAAGGTTCAGTTCTTAAGGTTCGCAAGGTTTAGTTCTTAAGTTTCGCAAGGTTCAGTTCTGAGATTCGTGTTCCGTTTCTTCACACCACACAGCTCCTTCAAACGATTGATCTTGTCCTAAAATTTTACGACGATTGCTTGGCAGGTCGTTTTAGCCAAGAATGATCCAGGTACACAAATTCCATTTTCCAATCTTCTTGATCCTTTCCAAACAAACATCAAACCTTTGTTTCGCACATTCTGCTGTTTCTCAAAAAGAGATACGTCCCATGTCTTTAATAGGCCCCTGTTTTAAATAAGCGCCCTCCCTTGAGGTACCAAAAGTGAACGAGCGGTGCTTGCGGCATCCGCTTTAAGTGAGTAGAAGAAAGTGAAATTGAGCATAAACTAGTTCTAGTCCTCCTCTGTGCTAATTTCCCTCATGATCCTCTTCGGTTTGAAAGCGTAACATATCACGTCAACAAAGTATTTCCCACCTCAGACGAAATAACTTGATACAGAATTTTAAGAACTGTAGAGTTGGAAAAACGAAACATTGCTCAGTCATTCTGGCTGTTTTTCGGTCGGAGAGAGGAACTTTCCCAATTGGAAAGTTTCATACTATCTTATGTTTCGTTCAAAGCTAAACTTTCCATAGCAGAACAAAACTAGAGTTAGTTTCAAAAGATGAGACGAAGTAACTTTTCATATCTTTACTGATCAACCAATCGTACCCGGCTATTTTTATGAGTTTATAATACAATTAAATCAAAATACCCATGATACAGACTGTTGACTATGTTTATGGCGTAAAATGTTAACTACAACATGTTGATGACATGTTTTTATTCTTCAGCTTCGGTGTTCAGTCCGTTCTCCAAGAAATTCTTCAGTCCAGTCCCGAGTTTGTATCCAGGTGCACCATGGAACTCAGTCTCCACGATGGGCTCCCGGCGTTTCCTCCCGGGATTACACCTACGGCGGCTATTAATGCGTTGAGCTTCACTAAAAGTTAAAGATGAGAGATTTTAACTGATTTCTGCAATTCTTGGTGCTGCAGGAACGGTAGTGAAAACATTTCAAACATCGCCATTTCTATCTAACATTCAGCATGTTACTATTTTCACGTAAATTTTAGGGGGAATTTTATTCTATAAAATAAAAATCTTCCCAGATCAAGTTGAAGGAAAAAAAATTTACGTCAAAAGCTATCTTTGTGACTGTTTTAAGGAGGACAAGGGAGTACACTTGAAGCGTAGAGGATCATAGCGGAGCTTGCAGAGCGTAGCCCCATAATTATACAAAATAGTAGTAACCCATCAAGCCGAAAACATTTGGCTTACGACCGTACGACCGTACGACCGACCGTACAAGATGCTACTTTTAACATGCGGGGTCAAATGTACCGCGGGCACACCAATGCCACGGCTTTGTCCAGTAGTCTAGTGGTTAGTGCACTGAGCTCCGAGTCGGACGACCCGGGTTCTAGTCCTAGCCGGGGCAAGGCGTTGTGCCCTTAAGACGTGCGGGAAAAAAAGCTCCGCTTTTAGGCTTGGCTAAATATATATATTAGTTAAGTATCTGTTTTTCCTCTCGATCATGAAACGTTTATATTTTTCTCCTACAAGCTCAGACAAACATAATGTACATGCTACTTTCTCTATCAAGAACCGAAACGCAGCCAGCTAATCAACGAGGTCTGATTAATAAGTCGCATTATATTATCTGGTTTTAATGGTTTTTATTTATTAATTTTTTATTATAATATCACTCAGTATTGCTAAAACTAAAAATCGCTCCTTATTCTGGAGACAAACCTCTTGTCAAATGAAAAGAGAATCAGGCACGTCATTAGCAGAACAATTATCTCACGTCTCATATCAATGCTCTTCTGCAAGAAAAAACAAACCAGTTACGGAATAGTCATTATTTATCCCCCTTGGGGGTGGGGGGAGCATGCGAGTAACTCTGTTGGAGACGACTGATCTCCCCCCCTTCGCCCTGAAAACCATGCGATCCCTCCACCCCTCCCTTGGCAATAGCTATTTTCTAATCCCCTGGGGTGTGGGTTTTTTTTTTATCTGCTCATGCTTCTTGTAACACCTCTTGCATTGGGGAGGTTAATTGAAGAAAATGCTGCTTTTTTCACCAAAGCAAGGAATATGATATCACTCCCTCCCCCTCCAGCTGAGTTTAAAAGTTAATTGCATTGCGATCCAACTTCAGCACGCAAGGTTGGAGACGGATACAAAACCTCGCGCGCAAGAAAGTCTCGCGTGTCTGCTCCGCTGTGCGCGGGTTTCTTGGTCTTATCGGTTTGTTCTTACGTGGCCTATTGTGCTTCTCGTCTCTGAAGAAAAATGAATAAAGACCAAAACGATAATCCATTAGCGATTTTATTTGAGGTACAACTATCATTCGGACCTTGAACTCACACAAGCAAACAACGTGCAGTCGGGTATAGTCAAGAATGCATCCCTCCGATACTTATCGATTAGAATCACGCAAGACTAATCAAAATTCGTGCACCAATTCGAAACAGGTAGCAATGTCGTTTGCGAGGCTTCAACGACATATCTAACCTCTGAAATGCACTCAACATATGCATGGACGTAAGAAAAAAAGGGTTGTTAGCTTATTTTCTCAGCTTTCGGCCTAGAGTCTTTGTTCACCTCAACTGAGAGTTAGAAGCTTCCAACAACACTAAATACGATTAATCCGACCAATCAGCACACACTTAACAGCTTGAATGACCAATTAGAATTCAAAGTGAATGCATGTAACATCTCGTGGTTTGATGCAATCGGAGAAAATATCATTGTGCACACCCAGTGGGTCATTAGATCTCAGTGGATTTTGTCATGAAATATTTAATCTAAATCAGAAACTTGCTCAAATCGTTGTCCACACCCAGTGGATCATTAGTATAGTGGGTAGATTGTGTTAAACTTAGTAGTAACAAATTTAATGGCTTACTAAAGACGTGCGGGGAAACTTACTATTGGACTCCAACCAAACTGAATGGCTCACGAAACTGAATGGCTCACCAAATTGAATGGCTCACGAAAATGACTGGCTCTCCAAATTGAATTGCTCACCAAACTGAATGGTTCACTTTCAAATTGAATGACGCACCATTGAAAGGCCCGCAAAACTGAATGGGTCACTATTGAATGGCTCACTGTACTGAATGGCTCACTGTACTGAATGGCTCACTGTACTGAATGGCTCACTATCAAATGAAAAGCTGGGTCGAACGCGAGGAGCCTGGTGCATACTCGGCGCCAGCCTCCCGCGCCAACCACAATCTCAAGTGCAAGAATTAACTCTGGATGACACTGAAATTTTCTGACGTCTGCAAGCATTTTTTTCCTCGACAAGTCAATAGAGAATAACATGTTTTCATTTTCTAGAATGAAATGCACCCTAAATTCATATGTAAAGAATAATTGCTGTATGCTGGATAGAAATGGCAATGGTCGAAATGTTTTCACATGTGGGAAAAACTAGTCTTGCTCCTGGCTTAGAGGCGGAACCACGGATTGCAAAGATATAGTAGAGTCTAAGATAAGAAAAGGGCCATGTAGACTCGTACCCAGACCTAACAGTTACACGGTAGGATCTTGGTAAGGGAGTAAGGGGGCATTTCAGTAACAGGTTTCTCCCTGTTAACGCTAAAGAAATCTCGCAGATAATGGGTCCAAAGCTCAAAGTTTTTGTCAGCTAAAATCTGTCATCTTAAACTTTTGGTGAAGCTCAGTTCAAAGCTTGCCGCCACTGGTCTGAAGGACTCAGGAGGAAACGCCGAGTGACCATCATGGAGACTAAGTTCGAGAACGATCCAGTGACTCCCAGTGGTTGGACTACAGAATTTCTTGGAGACAGGACTGAAGACTGAAGCCGATGAAAAGAAAGTCGTAATCAAGATATTTTAGTCAAGATGTTGAACAATAAACACAGTCTGCAGTCATATCATAAGTTATTTCTATTACTTTACTATGTAAACTCATCAAAATATTTCGTTACGACTGGTCGATCAATAAAGAATGTTTGAATAGCTTTTGGGTATTGATCTTCGGCTTTTCAGTTGTCAGACCTTCCAATAGTTGAAACTCCCAGATCTTGTCGTCTGAAAAATAAATCTGTAAAAGATAAATACGTGTAGATGGAAATCGAATTAAGGTTTATCAGAAAAAGAGGTCGTCACTTGGGGAGTATTTTGTTTACGACTTTAACTTCTGTAAAGCGATGTACTGAGGTCGGAGTTACTTGCTATAATTGTAATATAACGCCTTTGTATCATTTGAAAATTCCAAAAATAATAAAATAGAACACAATTCCTCATGTAATACTGTGAATTTATCACAACTATAATATTTCATATCGTATAATGCATCGAAACTTATCTGCATGTTTGAGTTAGATTCTCGTTTGCAGCATTTAACTCGGGGGGGGTCTCCTTGGGGTACTAGACATTTAAGAATGGCAGAAACCATTGGCGGTAATAGATGGTAAGGGGTCACATGACACGGCGGTGAATTTTTAAAAGGAGTGTAACCTACGAGCAGGCCGTCATTATTAATGCTTCAGGTCGTGCTTTTTTTTTCGCCCGCTGGGGAGTATAAGGAGCCCTTAAGCAACGGCGAGAGGTCTGATAACACCAGATCACCGGTAAAGCTCTCCCCGACTAGTAAGGACCTTCTCGTAAGCTAAATGGAGTGCACCCTTCTGCTAAAATGAAAGTCACCAAAGATGTTGGTCTAAACTTGCACAAAACACACCCAGCGATGAGTAAATATCAGATTTCCTGTGGTTTGTGGACACACAGAAGTTATTGCACAGACTGAGTCGTTTCATCCAAGAGGAAAATATCTGCGGTGGTTCGCAAAGCGATGGTACTTTTACACAGCATTTGAAATGCGGCAACCTTAAATATTTAGATTCACCTCTGTCCCGCATGCAGCCGTACATGTTCGTGCGAAATCGTTCATCGTACGTGAAGCGACGATATCTAATTGGTAAGAGCAGACATACCCCACTGTGTGCGTATTGCGGTGAGCAGACGGTTACATAAGCAAGAGATATTTCATCAAAAGCACTGAGAAAATTGCTCTGTGTATTTCGTGTAAATGAAAAGAAGAAAAAGAATTTGAGAGCATAATTAACTGATAAAACTGAAAACCTCCAATGATAGGCGGTAATCACGTTGCTTTTAAGAAAGTCTGTTTCCAACTTGTAACAGACACCGTTCATGCTACGTGCTCGAAATCACTCGCCGAGTGAAAATGAACATAGCTTTTCCACCACGCTTGGATCCCAGCCATTTATCAGAGGCCGTTGTTAGAATAATCCCCTAGCCCCAATAGCTTATTTGTAATTGTTAATGGGTTAAGAGAGTTAAGTGTTGTATCTCGCTGATAAATGCATATATCCTCATTACCATTTTGTTGAAGATTTTTACTCATATTGTGGGGAGAAGTTACATGTTAAACAGTGCCGAATGACCGTTATCGAGAGGGGGTTGGGACGCACTTCCAAAACTGTTGATGGGTAAGGAGGTATCGCAGCTTATATAACTGAAAGCTGAAGTAGAAATTTTGTACCGTAACTGGAAAATTTTTACATCTTTTTTTCTCTTTTATAGCCTCTGGCTGTAACTTACTTCGGCATATCGTCTGTTGGGGATCATGAAGTCGATAAACGAAGCCGACAGATCAGATTAATTTTATTAGTAACTTTTAATTTTCTGTCTTTATCCTCACTGTAGCTTATTACAGCGGTTTTTTTCAAAATTCACCGATAAAAAATTATTTTCTTCGTTACCTGACTTTAAAGCCATCTTTGCAGGGAAACAAACCGAGCAGTCAAAACCTTTACTACAGCGGTAAACCATAAACCTCACAAGAAGTTTTACCCTTCTACTTCCCAGTCCTTTGACCTGTCTTAGCTCCGGGTTACAGATAAGGTTCACGTACATCTTCTACATTTTTCGCCGGGCTTCCTTTGCAAAAAACGTGACGTTGACCTGACAGCAGAGCAGAAATATCGCAATAATTCTCTATATTTGGTAAATCAGCGTCATTTCGTGTACCCTGCGATGCAATAATCCGCGCAGGAAAAGTTCTTATCACGAAACAGAGCCAAAACGTTTTGCAAAACTTACATGGGGATAAGACCTACCGCAATGAATACTGCGATGAGGGAAATAGGCAAAATGAAAAAAAAAAAAACAAAAAAACACGACCACGGACGATTTAGCGAGCAGTTTGTCCGAGTTACAGATAAAAACAACATGCTAATTGTAGGCCAATCCAAGGGAATGAATTACTAACGTTACTCCAGCGAAACAAAACCATATACGGGTATGAGAGACCCGTCCCTGGACATGAAAATTTCCACTCTGCTCCCTCTTGTTCTTCTCTCCACTCAGCCAGATCCAGTCCAAAGTTCAAAAGGGTACGACAGTCGGACGGAAGTCATTTTCTGTCCCGTGGAAATTTCAGGGTAACAGTTTACGCAGAAAAGTTCTCTTACAGTACTGGGTTTCTTGTCCGCCTTCTCTGCGAAAACTATCACTCGAGATTTCGTGGTAAACGTTTTGAGATGGTTCTTCGAAGGATTTTAGCTTTAAACAGGACAAGATACATCAACCTTGTGACCCGAATGATTCCCTTATTTGAGCAGGGCTGGGCTAAATTTAGCACGTACACGAGAACACGTCAATCAACGAGACGTGATCTGCCTGACGCGCGAAGTGGATCAGTCTCGCCTAAATTAAGAGCATTTCGCATTCACTCACATATCAAGCTGACAGCGATTCACTCCAACAAGACCGGGAGTTCCTTGATTTTAAAAATTGCTTGAGAAAAATACTAGTTCGAGATATAAAGATGGATACGGAGTGCGAATGCCAGCGAGTAGCAACACAAACAACACCGGCTCGACGAATTCCGACATTAGACGTTGATTTGCGTGTTCGCCGATTTCATCGGGATGATACGCGGCGAATTCACAATCTTTTCTTGGAAGAAACGAGGTGTTTGGTATGGCCGATGTTTGCGCAAGCCATTCGAAGTCCTCCAGCAGTTATTTTGCATCTTTTGTTCATGGCTGTTGGGGCAATGCTAGCTAGGTCCTTTGTTATTGCTTTGTTTGGAGTCATCCTGACCGCGGCTGCTATTTTTGTGTACACTTACCGCTGGTTTTATCAATACTTGACTAGTTCATTGAAAGGGGACTTGGCAAACATTTCCCAGGTGAGATTTTCCGTGAGTTAATTACGGTATCGATGGTTAAGGGATAAATAGCTATATTTTCAAAGCTATCTTGAAGTACCGCACCGCAAATAATTGGTGCCAGTCGCTATAAGGACTTCTGGTCGCACAAGAGCTCTTCAACTGTATAGGCTAACTTCCTTCTATGCCTCGCCCAAATCTCTTTGTAGTTGTAGAAAAAAAAATTAAATTAGTAGTATTTCTGCCATTAAACTTTGTATTGAAATAACGCGCTAAAAATAAAAAAATTGACACGAACAGGGGAGGGTAGCCGCGGCGTTTTCAGTTAATGTTTTCTTAGGGAACATTGTATCAGACGAACTTTGGTTCTCTGGAGAACCCGTTTTCATAACAGTTTGACTCTAAGGTGAACGAAATTTTGTAGATGTTAACTAGTTCTACAGACTGTGAACAGAATGACAATGTACATATTGTAATTGGTTCTTAGATATAAACTTTTGATTATGTAACAATGCAGAAATCTCTTAAGGCCATAAAAAACACGAATGGAACTTTTTAATTTTTAAACACATTAACGAACCTCTCCAAACTACGTCATCATTTTCCAATTGTGAAGCTGGGAGAGAAAGTTAGCTTTATATTCGACTGGCCATCGCTCGCTGATGTTCGAAAACAAAAGCGTTTTAATGCGTTTAGAAGGGAAGGTAATACGGTATTTCATTCTTGTCTAGACCGCGCATTCCGAAAATGTTTTCTTTGCGTGAGGCTGTTTTCTAAAGGAAAGATGTTTCCAATTTTAGATAGTTCAATGCTTTTCTTTAGTTCAGCTGTCAAGAAATTGGAGAGCGACCAGTTCAGTTGAAAATACGGAACTCTCAAAACTTTCCGATCAAAAAAATGAGAGGGAAGTCGAAATTGGCGTGTTATCGTGTCCATTTGCCATCATTTAGTATTTGGATTTCCGTTTCCTTTACATGCGCATCCCGCGCACATGACGTCGGATTACTTTACAGAAAAGGCGAGAACATTCTATCTTGTCCGCATTGTAAAGATGGTTAGAATTATTTGTAAAAGCTGCAACTTACTAACTGGCAAAATTGAAAATTTCAGCGGTAGATATTTAAACACGTGCAGAATTATTCACGTAAAAAAAAAGATTATCTTCCGCGTTGCAAAACTCATGCGCATCGTCTACCGTGAAGAAATGGCCGACGAACATTGTATCGCTGTACAATATATCAATTTTCTATTTCAAATCAATCCAACATTTGTCACGCGTCATGCTAAATGATTCACGTGTCCGATGCGTCGGTGAAAAAAAAAAGCGTTTGAATCTTTGTTTATTTCAAGGAAACTCGTGGATTGATCAAAACCTTTGGGAAAAAACGTGACGAACTAAATATAGATGAACTCACAAGAACTTGGTTCATTTCATCAATATTCACAGGAACGAAGTAGTGACTTCTCCATATAGACAGGGGGATGGCTAGGAAAGCAAAGCTCTGTATTCTCTCCGAAGATGTATGTTGGATGTAGTTTGCTATGATTTCGAGCACACCAGCGGCGATAGTATGTATACAATGCTTGAAAAAACGTGCTCATCTGAAAATAATCCCTCATAATTGACCTTTGAAAACAGCTTGATTTTATATCATGTAAAGGAGTGAAGACTACATGATCACTCTTTGATCTGTGTCACGTATGATTGTCGATGTTGGTGTACTATAGTGTGCGGCCTCCTTAAAAATTACTGCTTAACCGCTTTCCGATAAGAATGGTTACCGTACACATCTGACCATTAGTTTAATATTGGACGTAGGTTTTTTTTTCTGTTTAACAAATTTCAAATATTGTTGTTTCCACCTGTAACACGCCATCTAACTTAATTCATTAGCTCAGCTTTAAAGAATGTTGTGCGGTTTCTAATCTGTCAACTTACATCTGTTTATTTTATCGATTGCAGTATTACCTTTGCAAGGCAAAGTGTAATTTTTTGGTGGCGGAGTTCGACAGCTCGATCATTGGATTTATTGCAATCGATCAACAATCTGAAACAATAGCCTCGGTACGGAGAATGTCTGTCGACACTTGTTTCCTAGGTAGAAGAAAATTCATCGCTACAAGACTTTTCCAAGAGGCGTTCAAATTCTGCCAGGAATGTGGGTACTCAGAGATGGTCGTGGAATTTCCTGGAACTCAAAAAACAAAGAGCTATGGATTACGTCGGTGCGACACATAACCGACAAGTCAAGACATCTCTGTTCCGCGAGAGGGTTGAATTTCACGCTCGGCCCAGGCTCCCTGACAAACACCTCCGTACCTTTTCTTCTCATCATCACGTGACGTCATAGCGTCAGTATTTGGATTAACCGGAAGTGGCTAGTTTTTATGACATCATCCGCTTGAGGCCAAGGGGAAGTCTGCACGAAAGGTCACCCTACCTTTTATGATGCTGGAGTCAATCGTTTATTTCAACGAATATCTGTGAGCAGAACTACAAAGACAGTCGTGGATATATACATTTATACATCTGTATCCCACGAGGTCAGTTGTTTACCAGTTCATAACCTAATCAAACAGCTCAAGATCTTGAAAGTTACTCCAATCAGCGCGTATCTCAACCCAATCCACAGCCCTATCGGCCATAACCTCCTACATGGATGTCAGTGCTGCCCATTGGACAATCTTTGTCAGGTAGTTGTCTCCCAAACAAAGGGAACTTCGTCGAAGCGCATTGGCTGAGGAACAATACTATAAATGTGAAAACTAAATGGAAGAGGAAAAAACATTTGAAGTCAATCTCACCCAAACTCTATCAAACTTGACATTCTTTAAATTTAGCTCTTTGACCTCTGACTAGCATCTAATTTCTCCTTACAAGTCACCCCCGAATCACACATGAAAGTCGTGAGAATAAAGGAAATGATCACCCAGAAAAGAAAGCTCTTGATTGTTAAACGAAATTCTCCTTATCAGCACCTTAGGAAATGTCTAGAGAACAGTATGGAGAATATGCATACTGACGTTAGGGTTGGAAGGCTTACAAAGAACGATGAAATAGTTAACTGTATTTCAGATGAATTAAAATTAGAGTTTAATATCCTTAGTTGACCTAACGGTGTAAATTAAATGTAAAAAATTCATTTCTTCCTTTATTCAGATCTATAAAGGCAAACTCTATAAGTAAGGACATAGATTATTATTAAAATAATAGACACAAAAATGACAAGACGGGAAACGATAGAGGATAACCTCTTAAAAAAATATTACCTATCAAGAAATGATATAGGTGTGTACAAGGAAAAACGTAATACAAAATAAAAGTATGAAAATGCTCTTTTGAACGCAAGATAGTTTTGATTGAAATTTACATAACAACTGCCACCTTAATCTCTTACCCAGATACTACCCTGTTTTTTTTTTAAGTATGCTTTTCAAAACAGAGAGAAAGAAAACGAAGTCCAAATTTCATATGTATTTTGATGAGGCTTGATATCCTCTTGATCCTGGGTTACACTCTTGCTATGATAAAACACAGCTAATTACTGTGCTTCATTCCAGACTAGAACTGGTGAAAAATATGGTAGATTGAACCTTGAAAATATTTAATCCTAAAGATCAAGCAAGTCATCACTCTGGTAGTGTTCCCCTCAGAAAAAAAAACTCAAAATATGCTGATTTTGCTAGCAGCGCTGCTTTTATAAAAAGTGCAACGATTATGTCCATTTTTCCATAATACGCCAAAAATTAAGCACGATCATTAAGGGCCTCGTGCCGACTGCCACGCTAAGAAAAAGGGAGCAGCTTTTGTCCAGGGTTTCTCTCAGGACGAAAAACGTATGGAGGAATTCAACGTAGTGATGTTCCATCTACATGTTAATACTAACCTTCTTAAAATCCAATTAGAGAAACAGTTAATTCCCTCCAAGCATACTTAACGTGGTCAGACTCTTAACACAGCAGTCAAATGAATGCACACTGATGTGAACTATGATAGATAATTTGTTATTGCAAGCATGAAGAATCAAAGTAAAACGTAGTTTTCCGCAGTTTCTAAGGAAAATTCGAATTTTCGTAGGCCAAGACTTATACACATTGTTGTTCTGGCCTTTACCCACTGAGTTAGTTTACACTCTCGTACTCTTTTTTACACTTTGCACAGCGGCATGATGAAGTCGCCCGTAAACTTGGCCGCGCTGGCTATAGTTATTTTTTGTTGTGTTCATGGTGGAGTTGCCGGTAAACACCGAGGGAAATGTTAAAGAAAAGGATGAAGCAGAGCCCCACAACTATTTGTGACGATCACAGGTCTGTGTTTATAGCGGACGGTAGACTGTGTGGCGAGGGTTGAAGAAAGGTTTTATCATTTTCCTTTATCACCGAAACGAAGCGTCCTCGTTAAAAACAGTTGGGATATCTGACAAACAAAATAAAGCCAAGATTTATTTTTTCTTCAAAATCCTTTTTTCATTTGCCTTGCGCATTGGAATCGTTAGGAATTTAATCTTCTTTTCCTTACTTTACGCTTGACGCGCGTTTGGAAATCCCACTTATTGGTTTCAAACTCTCGTGCATACGCAGTATTTGACCGCTGTGTTCAGACTCTGTGGTAAAACATCGCTGAGTGGATCGGTACCGTAAAATCACAAGGTCTGAGGTTCGAATCTTCCTGAGAAACTCTGACTCTCTCTATTACCCACGCCTTGACAAGAGTTATGAAGTCTTTCGTTAGTTATAAAACAAAAAAAATTCAACTTCTCAGCTCGAGCTCTTCTTTTTTGTCTACTAAACCTAATTCCCAGACTCCTCTCTCTTTTGAAAACGCAACCGTCCCTGCTCCTCTAGCAGCAAGAGGTTGGTACTAAAAAACCATCAGGCGTTGCGCGACGCCATATTACCCCCAGCATCGTTAAGCTCTTTCTCTTCTTCCCTCGTGTTCAAAATGAAAATCCGCGGAGAGGTAATAACGAGTTAATTTTGCCGGCTAAGCATCCTGCATAGCGATTAAATTAAACTCCTGACTTTAAGATTAAACTCTATTTATTCTAAAGAATGTACAATTATTCATTTTCAGGCGAAGTAGTTAGTTTTAGAGGCGTTTGATCGCCAAAAATTTGAGGGAAATATTCTGTCTGTAAATCGCGACACGTTTCAATCCTAAATATTTTCTAGCTTCTCTTTCATTTAACTGTTAAGTCCTCGCGGATGATCGAAAATCTTGATTTGAGCTAATCAACTGCTTCAACTTCGTGGAACTAAGTACAGAAGCACTGTGTTCTAGAAACTTTTCAAAATTTTATATCTTCTGTCATTTCTTCTATCTCATCACAGTTAAAGGAATTTGAGATCATCGGCAGGCGCCTGCCATCGGAGAAGAACTCCTCTCCCCCCCTCTATAAAATGAGGATATTTGCTCCTGACGATGTTGTCGCCAAATCTAAATACTGGTACTTTGTTGCTAAATTGAAGAAAATCAAGAAGTCTCATGGCGAGGTTGTGTCCTGCAGAGAGGTATTTGTACTCCTTAACTCTATACTTAGTTGGATGTTCATGTGTGTTACTGCTCTAGCCTTTCCACTCTAAGAAGTCTCTGTTTTAATCAGCAAAAGTGTATATTTTTAATATGATGGTGAGCTGAATTATAAACTTTTTTTGATTGGCTCTTATGATATATTGGTGGACAGATACACAGATGATGTCAACATTTGCAACTTTTTGCTCCTTTAATATATAAAACAAATATTTTCCATGTTGTCATAGGTCTTTTTAGTAATAGATGACAGATAGACATCAAAATGTGGTGAGAACATCACTGACACACTTGGCTGCTTCTTGTTTACCATTTTTTTGTCTTTACCACATTGAGACATAATGTGTGATATACTATTTACTGAACAGATACATAACAACATGGAATCTACTTGTTAAATGTTTGAATTATACACAGAAATAATTATTTCATAATATAGGGGGTAAATTTCTGAATAAACTGTGGTGCTGCATTGGTGGGAGAGTATAACAGAACATAATTTAGTATGATCAACTGTATTGCTAATGTAAATTGGCCACTGTGAAGAGTTTCAAAGCTGATGTTTTGAGCATTTGACATTTCTGATGTTCCTTCACTCTGATGAAGGCTAATGCTTGAAATGTCAGCTTAGAAACTATTTACCGTGGCCAATTTACGTTAGCAACTCAGTTGATGATACTTAATTTAAGCTTGAAATTTCAGCCTAGAAACTTTTTACCATGGCCAATTTACATTATCAACTCAGTTGATTATACTGAATTACCCTGTTATTTCAGAATTTGTTTTTCTTCCTTACTGAATGACAGTATCATCTTTTAGTATATAGTTTAGCAAAATAGTCATTATTCCTGTCTGTTTCTAACATGAACTCTACTGTTTACCAGTTGCTTAACACTCCCAGAAGTGAATGGTTCATGTTTTCTCCAGACAATATAAATAGATGATCATGTGGAAAGGTGACAATGGGAAATTATAGTATTATCTGGGAAACATCATTTGATTTAGAGCAAATTTCTCTGAGCCTAAAAAAATACAAAATGAAAGGCACATATCTAGGTTGTCCAAGGGTTAATGAATTAATGGGGTAAGTTGCTTAAGAAACAGTAGTGCTGCATCAGTGGGGGGTATTATAAGGTAATTTGGGTTTTTCAACTGAGTTGGTAATGTAGAATGGCTGCTGTAAAGAGTTTATAAGGCTGACATTTTGCATGTTAGCCCTTCATTACAGTGAATAGAAGAATCAAAGATTGTGTGTGATTTATATACAGAAAGATGAAGTTATGCTACTGGATGGTAACATGAAAGCAAAAGTTTAAATAAGTTGAAAGAAATGCCTTTGTTGATACTGTGGGGACTAAGACTGCTGGTTAGAAAGATGAATTTATTCTAGAGTTTTGTGGCTTTCCGAGTTGCTTGGATGTATGGAAAGCCCATAGACTAGTAAGGGTGTTAATAGGGTTAAGTTTCAGTTGATGAATCATAACTTTGTTCCTTTATTTGAACAGATTTTTGAGAAAAAACCTCTGAGGATCAAGAATTTTGGTGTTTGGCTGCGTTATGACTCCCGTAGTGGAACTCACAACATGTACAGGGAGTACCGTGACTTGACAGTGGCTAGTGCAGTTACTTCTTGCTGTGAGTGTGAAATTTGTTGTTGTAAAATCAAATGTTGCGGGGAAATAAAAAGTGGCTGAGGCTGCTGAAATTTAGCTGGAGGATTTTAAGTATCCATTGGACAATTCTTGAATCTCTAACAAGTAATGACCTTTCTCTATCATTACTTTTCTGTAGTGAAAATTTCCAGCTCTATGAAGTTTTCTTGATAAATTACACACTAAGTGAACCTTGATGATGTAAATGAACCTTGATGATGAATTTTGAGCTTGGGGATTTTCAAGTGAATGATGATGTTGTTCAGTGACTGACAAAGTATGAATGTCAAAGTATCAATGGGAAGGTTGTAGGTTAAACTCTTATTTGGAGCACTCAGAGTTCTTTTTCTCCAAGTATACATGTACCTGTGTCCTTGAGTGAGTAACATCATCTTTCATGTAAGTTAACTTTTAACATAAAGCTGATTAATTAAGGCAACCTGACTATCAGTAATGCTCCAAAAAATATATTGTGAAACTCATTAAACCATGAACACTTTGATTTGGTTTGGAGAGGTCAATTGTCTACTGAATTATCACTAACAAATTTAGGACACCCATAATAATAACCTTTACTTACTATAGTAAAATAATACCGAACCTATTTAAATGCAGATCGAGACATGGCTGCCCGTCATCGTGCACGCGGATCAAGCATTCAGATCATGAAAGTTGATGTAATCCCAGCCAGCAAGTGCCGAAGACCACATATGAAGCAGTTGCATGTAAGTGTCTGATTAGATGTCACTAGAATGTAGTTGTGTTCTCCAGGAGTACTGGTAGCTGGTGTTTCTGCTTTGTTTGTGAAGCACATACCAGGGCGTGAAATTGCGCCTAATACAGGCGCCAATGCGACTAAATTTTTCACTTTGGTGACCAAATCCTGAAAGTTAGTCGCCAAATTGGTGACTAGAATGTTTCATCATAACCTTACCAAGAGATATAGTGAATTAAAAAGATTTGCAAAGATAAATCTGCGGCAAACTTCCTCGTTAAGTTTGTTTCCAAAACGTAGCACATGGATCTCGATATATAACTAGACACCATCTTGGTTTTAGATGAGCTTTAACGTTGTATATCATCCATCCTATTGTCCACTTTGTAGCAAGTTAAAGATCTTTTCCCTAACTTAATTTTGGAGGGTCTATCTAGAATGCTGACAGTGTAAAGAAATATTTTGTTTGTCTTTGAAAATGGCGACCAACTTTTTTTGAATTGGCTACCACTTTGAAAAATTTAGGAGCCAAGTGGCTATCAGAAAAAAAAATTAATTTCATGCCCTGCATACTAGTCTTGAGCTGAAATAAATTTTAACTTTTGCAAGTTGGGTTTTTCTTATGGTTTTCTACAAGAAAATATCCAGAGAACACTGAAGTTATTGATATCGTGTCAGAAGAAATTTCTGGTGAGGAGAAATTGTAACAACTAATTTTACCATGGAACTTTTTTGCTCATGTTTTGTGCCTTTACAAGATCTCAGACCAAGCAGGTTTTGTATGGGACATGGAAAATGCAGGAAGTCATATCAGTGTGAATGGAGATTATAAAAGATCATAAAAATGATTATTTTAAAAGCATCAAAGCAAGAAACACTTTGATGGAATGCTTATGTTGACATCATTATGAAAGCAACTGCTTGATTGTATAGCAAATCAGTCATGAAAACATCAAGAAAGTCTATTCAGAGGTTTTGGAAAGTCAGAAAATTGTTTGAATGTGTTTGTTTGAAATCTGGTTTCTCCTCTATTTGTCTTTCATTTTGCCTCAAGTATTGCTATTTTTTTAAAATTTATATATTATTATTTTTATATTTTCTTTTTTTTTCAGAACTCCAAGATCAAGTTTCCTCTGCCTCATCGTATCATCAAGTCTCACTACAAGTCCAAGTTTGTGGCTAAGCGACCCAACACATTCTATTGAAAGCCAGTTGAAAACAATGAAAATCCTGTGGAAACAATGAAAAGTGACACTGGGAAGTTACAATAAAATTGATAGTCATCATACAATACTTGTTTTGTGTGTGTATTTTCTTTGATACTTATGTTTCCCATCTCTTAACACCCTCTACTGTTGCACATTTCTCCCTTTTTTCTCATGGCTGATGCTGCAAATAACCCTTTTACCCTTTACACCCTGACATCAGTATCCATTTTCTCCCTACTGTTCTCTATACATTTCCCAAGGTGCTGACAAGAAGAATTTGGTTAAAAATCCAGAGCGTCAATCTTGACATTGTGATCATTTCCTTTATTCTCATGACACCAATGTTTGATTTAGGGATTATATTCTAGGGGGAAACTGAATGCAAAGGCTGAAGTCCCATCTCTAATATGCCCACTCATTGGTAACCCTCTTTGTTTAGTCATCAAGATTTTTATAATCTGCCTCAACTTCCTCCCTGTGACAAATACTCTAAAGCATTAGTGGTATATTGTTGTCCATCAGGGTCAGATAAAAGTTTAGTGCATGATTTACTTACAAATATTTATATATTTGAAAGCTGTTGATATTTTTCATTTTGAATATCATGGGTTCTCAGTCTTTGAAATAGATATTGTAAACATTATTCTTTAAATCTGGTCTACAAATCAGAAGCAAAGGGATAGATTGAATGTTAGCTCTCTATAAGTCTGAACTAAGTACCCTGTCTTCCTCTCCATGCAGCCCCACTCCCTTCCCTCTCCGTTCTGTTCACTGTCACCCACTCCTGTACAGATTTCTTTCTCTCCTCAGCTTTCTGCTGCTGTAAACATGGTGGCAGCCATAATTTTCACTAAGAAAATACTGAGGACTTGCCCATCAAAATTACGCCAGCTCTGCAAGCTACAATGCCTCCTTTCTGGAAGCCCTGAGAAATAACTAACCGCCATGTGAAACCAGATTAGCACAGATCATAGATGATGATTAAAAACTTACTGCTAAATATTTTGAGGTTTAAGTTACTTCACATAAGTTGCTTTTTGCTCAGTTGCAACTTTTAGACGATTTCCTCCATAGAAGAGCGAATACTGTAGCTAGTTTGGTTCTTTAGGTGTTCAGCTTTTAAGGAAAAACGACAGAAATATCCATCCACACCTCAATCAATTAATTAATTAATTGGTTAATTATTATTTTTACGAAGTACTCTTGACTATGACTTAACAAATACTTTGTCATTTTAAGGCTGGGAACAAGTGAGATGATCCACCTTGACTTTTCTCCAAAATCCTCAAGTTTGCCTATCGAAATATTGACTCTCAACTACACTTTTGTCCGAAGAGGGGAAATCGATTCCGACGAATCAACCCGGAACTTAAGTGCGCAGCCAGGCGGAGAAGGGAAAGACTGGGGCGGGTACAAAGGTTTTATCGAAGGCCGTTCAAGGTGACCAAAGAAGGGTATTTTAACGCGCTGAAATTACAACTTGAATATTTTTGATACAAAGTCACGATAGGAAAGGAAACTCTGGCAAGTATGATGTCGTTAAGAGCGGGGAGGCATGTTTTGAGTGCCTTTAAACCTGTAAACGTGTCATTACTCCGACGTTTTCTTCACACGTCGAAACCAACTTCAACTTTTGCCAAAGATCTGTTTCTGGGACGTTGTAATAAGGTAAAATACATAGTATGTGGTTTCATGAAGATCGTTTAATTCCTCGTGTGTTGTTTTGCTGTTGTAGATTGTAAAAGCACGCTATAGATCCAAGAAGAGACCTACATTTTGTCTCAGAAGAATCTGGTTAGATTGAGAAAAATCCTAAAATTATGTAATCGGCCGGCCCTCACTTTTCACAAATATCAACTGATTCCCACGAGATAGTCCATAGATTTTCATGAATTTGAGAGAGATTCTGTATCAGCCTAGGGAAAAAAAACGGGTTCCAAACGATGATTTAAAAAATTGAAACAAAACTCTACTTGTTGATGTTCGTTGATTCGAGTCAGACATATACTCATGCAAGGATTTGACGTCACGAGAAAGTTCTTTCACGGTTGTTTCAAAGTCTTTGAATTGAATTGTTTTTATATGCCTGAGGTAACAAATTTTTATTTGCTTTTTTCTCTTTTTTTTTATGTTGAAGAAAACACATGTGGAAGACCTTTTACGATTGCATTGTTTTGTAAGAGGGAGGGATGGGTGGTAGGTGTGTTCGGGGGTGGAATGGGCTGGAGGAAATGAAGAGGAGGAAACGCATGGATGAATGAGTGAATGAAAGGAGAAATATATCAATTAACCCTTTAACTCCCATGAGTGACCAAGACAGAATTTCTCCTTACAGTATCAATACAATATCAACCAGATAAGTGATGAGACTAAATAATAATATCAATTTGGGATAATTACTTGATCCAATACTAACAGTAACTTCTCTGAACCAGCATTATAAGAATTGTATGGTTGACAGTAAAGAGAATTACAAATATGATCTGGGAGTTGAAGGGTTAAAGAATAGATGTAAGAGAAAAAGTGATTGAAGGAAACAAGTCTTAACCCTTTAACTCCCAAGATCTTATTAGTAATTCTCCTTACTGTCTGCCATACAGTTCTTGTGATGTTAGTTTTGAGAATTTAGTATTTGATCAACTTATAATCCCCTTATTGATATTTTTCTTTATTCTCATCACTTGTCTGCTTGATATTGTATTGATATTGTAAGGAGAAATTCTGTCTTGGTCACTCATGGGAGTTATGGGGTTAAGGCATTTGAGCTCATGATTACATGTTTTTGTTCTCTCTATAGGAGAAAGCTTTCCCATATCCAGATCCACTGAATGAAGAACAGCGAGAAACACTTAACATGCTTGTTGAACCTGTTGAAAAGTATTTTGTAGAGAAAGGTAATCATATATAGTGAAAAATAAGAGAATTGTTCGAATCAACTTTGGATAAAGATGGTCCAGCATTCAGATGCTTTGGGTCTTCCTTAAACTGAATTACATATCAATGGAGTATGGGGATTATTTTGTTGATGTGATAAATCACTGCTTATTTTTTATTTATTTACAGTTGATTCTGCTCATATTGACAAAACAGCTAAAATTCCTGAAGAAGTTATGGGAGGACTTAAAGAACTTGGTTTGTTTGGTCTTCTTATCCCTGAAGAGTATGGTAAGACATTTTTTTATTATCAATTTAGTTAACCCTTTCACTCCCAAGATCTGATTGTTAATTTTCCCCTCTAACTGGCAAACAATTCCTTGTAAATAAGTTATGGGAATTTGGTGTTAGATCAAGATAACAACTTCTTCCTGATAAGTTTTAGTATTCTCATTACCTGGTGGCTGGATAATGTATGGATATTGTAGGGAGAAGTTGCAAGTTAATCACTTCTGGGATTTAAAGGGTTGAATGATGTAGGTGAATACCAGCTGAATTTCAGCTGGTATTCCTCTGTTTAAGAATTTAGATTGATGTGTTTCTCTCACACATAGTTAAAAATGTTTTTTCTAAAAGTATTTTCAAATCCTCTCAGGTGGCCTTGGTCTTCTTAACACAAACTATGCCCGTGTTTGTGAAGCTTTCTCTGATGCAAGTATTGCTGTGACATTGATGGCACATCAGTCAATTGGTCTGAAGGTCAGTTGCTTTACTTGTATGCCCTTTCATTCTTATAGGAAAGACCAAAGTATAATTTCTCTGTACAGGATCAATACACTATCAAACAGACATGTGATGAGAATTATGAAAAATCTCAACTCAGGGTAATATTTGACCAAATTCTTGCAACTGTAACACTTTGAGATGCATATCCAGGCCATGAGTGAGGAGAAAAACCTGTTGTGCTAACAAGGTGGAAGCTTGACTCTCTCAAGGAGTATATTAACTTAATGGATATGAGCAAGCTCAGTTAAAGGAAGCTGAGGAAATGGACTAGCAGAGCAAAGACCAAAGAATGATTTCTCCTTACAAGATCAATACATCAGCAAACAAACTTGTGATCAAGAATAATGCAAAAACCTCAACTCAGGGAAAATGTAGACTAGCTGGTATCATCTAAAAATGTATTGATTTGTTTCTAATATTGATGTGACAGGGAATTCTTCTTCTTGGGACTGAGGAGCAAAAGCATAAATATTTACCAAGACTAGCTTCTGGTGAACATATGGCTGCATTTTGTCTCACAGAACCCTCAAGGTACATGAACAAAGCACTCATTGCTCAGGTTTTTTTCAAACCTTTATTTTAAAGTGGGGTCTGCAGCTTAACTCCCTTGGCAGAAAATAATTTAAGTGGCACTTTGGTGTAGGAATGGTGCACTAGTAAATACCTAAATAAAGCTGTAAAATGTGTGTTAGACTTATGATTAGATTTTCAGAGGTAAATTTGAAAGAAATTGGACAATCCTGTTCTTTTATAATAATTTAAATATTATTGTACCCTTGTAGTGGAAGTGATGCAGCATCAATCCAGACCAAAGCAACTTTAAGTGAAGATGGCAAACACTTTCTTCTCAATGGTTCAAAGGTTTGTGATTTTTATAAGATCATTGAGAGGTGCCAAATAATTAGGCTTTTTTGAATTTGACTTAACTGTGAAACTGGACTTATAGCAACTAGCATCTAATTTCTCCCTAGTAATATCACCCCTGCATCAGATACTAAGGTCACAAGAATAAAAGGAATGATCATCGACTACAAAAGTTGTTGATTATTCAACAAATTCTCCCATCCAGCACTTAAGGAAATGTATAGAGAACAGTATAGAGAATAAGCATACTGGTGTTGGTGTGTAAAGAGTTAATAACGTTTTACTTATGGCCTGAGATACTGTTGAATTTAAACAATAAAAAACAGCTTCTTGAGGTTCCACTGAAAACATGTTCCTTTTTTATGCAATGTAGTGGCAAAGTGCAGCAATATATTGGCATTTTTTAGGGTTTCTGAAAACACTGTCAACCAACTACCTGATGTTTCCTTTGCCTTTGTGGAATTTTTCTGAGAAATACAGAAAAAAAAAACTGAAAATAATGTGGGTTTCTTCTCATCCAATGGTGCATCCAAGAAGCTTTCCACGTCTACACACTCTTGAAGTAAACATGACACTGGCCTTTCAAACCTAGTTTTCATGTACTTGAATCTAGACTGTTGTGGGAGTTGGCCATTTATGAATACAGTGTATGATTCATGTGTATCATGTACTTCATAATATTCTTACACTTATTTTGCCTGTCCTTCTTAAATTCTAGATTTGGATCTCTAATGGAGGATGGGCTGATGTTATGACTGTCTTTGCTAGGACTACTCATACCAATGACAAGGTCAATATATTTTGTAAGATATGATACCTTTTGCACATCATTTTGTCCTTACCCCACTGACCTCACCTCTCCTAACCCTTCATATTAAGTGTGAGTGCTAAGTGTAGGGTGGTAAGGCTTTTTAAATCTTCAGCCTCCCTTCCTGAATTAGATGCCCTTTTCAACCCTTTAAAGCTAAGAGTGATCAACATCTAGTTTCTCCTTTCAGGGATGCTGATGAATTATTCATTTAAGATCATTAGAATCAAGGCAATGATCTCTAACGAAAGAGGCTCTTGATTGTTAAAGAAATTATCCTTGTCAGCATGTTAGGAAATGTACAGATAAACAGTATGGGGAATATGCATAGTGATGTTAGCATGTAAAGGGTTAAGGGTGATTTTAACCCACAGTCTAGCACACTAACCATTTGACTCTGTATATGCAGTTTAAAAAATTATAATTGTACCTATTTCCTTCAGTATGTGTGATGACTGTCAATATATTTTGTAACATACAGGGTGAACAGCAAGACAAAATAACTGCTTTTATTGTGGAAAGGGCTTTTGGAGGTGTGACAAGTGGAAAACCAGAAGATAAACTTGGAATTAGAGGCTCAAATAGTAAGTTAACAAAAATGTTGTAATAGTAATTAATATGGTGAGCAAATTACAGTTAACCCTTTAACTCCCATGAGTGACCAAGACAGAATTTCTCCTTACAATCTCACTACAAAATTAAGCAAACAAGTGATGAGAATAAAGAAAAATATTAATTAGGCAATTATCAGTTGATCCAATACAAAATTCTCCAAACTAACATTACAAGAACTATATGGCAGACAGTAAGGAGAATTACTAATTAGATCTTGGGAGTTAGAGTTAAAGTACTACCACCTGTTAGAGTACTTTTACAATTAATGTGAATCTTTCAGGCTAGATTTTCTAAAATATGAGTTTTATTCTTCCTTTTTCTTTAGCATGTGAACTTCATTTTGACAACACTCCCATTCCTATTGAAAATGTCCTTGGAACTGTTGGTGGAGGATTTAAGGTAGAGTTAGGAATCTTTTGTTTTGCACATAATTTTAGAAAAACAAGATTGGAGTTTATCCTTATTTTCTCATACTATGTGGAGGAAGCAGTGGCAGGAGTGACCTGTGTTAGTGCACTGGACTCTACACATGTAGGTTCAGATGTCCAGATTTGAGCACTGATCAGGTGATTTTGTTGAGTGCTAATTAACCCTTTACACCCTAATGTCAGTATCAATATTCTCCATACTCTACCCTACATCATTGCTTTGGTACTGGCAAGTAGAATTGGTTTAACAATCAGAGCTTGCTAGATGGGCCATCATTTCTGTAATTCCCATGATCTTAGTGAATGATTCAGCACTCTTACTGTAAGGAGAAATTAGATTCTGGTCACTTGTAGGGTTTAAAAGGGCCAAGGCAAGACACTTAACATTCATGGTGCTAAATCTCTCCACTGTGTATAGATTCTAAATGATTACTGGCAGATGATCAAACAAGCTTGAAAAAATGTTTAGTGGAAACCTTGCTGTAGATTGGCATCCCATCTAGGAGTTGGGGGGGGGGGTAGGGGGGATAGTTACTTCATGGTAAAGGATCAGAGATAAGCTCCAGCTGGATAGACCACTGGGCTCAAGAGCAGACTTGATCATCTTTTTTTTATTACTGTGGAAATAATCAATTTTCTTATGATCCCCGTGATGACATAATAATCAGGTGATATAAAAGATATTATATACAACTTGCTAAAAACTCCTGCTTTCGGCAATATTGCAGTTCTAAGAACTAATTAGAATATACATTTGGTATAAAGTAAACAAAAAATACACCAACGATATTTATAGATATTGAAATAATATTATAAGATGGTCCTTTTTTTGTTTCTGTGAAGGTTGCTATGAATGTCTTGAACAGTGGCAGGTTTGGTATTGGAGCATGTGCTGCAGGTGGACTAAGAGGATTGATAGGTAATTTTAAACACTAGGGGCAGATTTTAATGAAAAAAAAAAAAAAAAAGTAATAGTATGTTTCAGAATCGAAGTTTAGGTCCCTCCACCTCATCAAAAACTCCTAAATTAACCGCCCCCCCACCACATGGGATTTGTTTTGGCTCTCTAATCAACAGAGGTTCATTGTTGTTTTTTTTTGACTGATGTTTAAGTCCAATTGGCAAGGAGATTATGCAGACCTTCAGTCCCAACATTCCTTGAGGCAGATTCTCTAATCTCTAATTGGCTTACCAGCATCTTTACACCTGCACTCACTTCCGAGCAAACTTCTACTTCTACAATGTTTCTCACTTTTTAGTACAGTTAGTGCCTTCAGAACTTTATTTTGTACAATGAAAGCATCACATCTCAATTTGTTACTGTTTTGATTTCAGGTGCAGCTGCAGAACATGCCACAACAAGAAAACAATTCAACAGGACTTTGTCAGAATTCGGACAGATTCAGGTGTTTATAGAGATTCAATCATTGTTAGTAGCTCTTTGAAATCTTACCCCAACCCAAACTGGATTTCTGAAAGTCTCACCACTGATATTCAAGAATTTATTATTTATAAATTCTGCAAAAGCATGTAATGAAATAGTGTCTAATTGGGGATCTGCACATTCAGTTTTAGTGCTTTGGTCCAGATCAATTGGTCATCCACTTTGATTTTATTTCTTAGGACTTAGAAATGCAAGTGTGTGAAGGAAATCAGTTATTTTTCTCTCTTTGCAATTTCAAAAGGGTGTCTAGAGTTTCCAAGAATACACAATTTTTAGTATAAGATAATAGGGGTTGAAGGTCTATTAGAGCAAGAGATTCCTTTATTATATATGGTTTTGTTAGGTTTTTGGACCTGATCTTATAGAACTTTCATTAGCATTTCAACCACTTTGAAATAACTCAATAAGAAAAACTTCCCATCAAGTTTTTCAGTCACAATTTGTGAACACAAAAATAAAAGACAGCTCAGTCAGGGAGCTCCAACATAAACTGCAAAAGCATTTTTTCATGGTTGATTTTTTCCAGCTTTCCTAACTAGTCAACTGTTCATACTAACACAGAGTGAAGTAGATAAAAACCAATGCAGTCCCAGATTTCTTTTGTTGCATGACTGAAGGTTGTTCTTCATGAATTACTTTAATCAGGAAAAGTTTGCACGTATGGCACTGAAACAATACACAATTGAATCCATGGCATACCTGACAACTGGGATGTTGGACAGTGGAGAGGAAGATGCATCTGTGGAGGCTGCCATGTGCAAGGTTTGTTATAAACCCAGATTCAACAGAACCATAGTTTCTTTAGAAACTAACCCCCTTTATTCATCATGTAAGAATTGTTGAGGATACTCAGAGGCAAGAAAGTTATTATTTGACAGTGGCTACCCTCTCATCTGATGATTATTACAAACAGTCAGCTATATTCCTCCTGGGTCTGAACCATTTACATGTATATATCCAGGTATCTTTTTCACTTTTTTTTCCCACTCACTTTGTAGGTGTATGGTTCAGAGGGTCTCTGGACAGGGGTTAATGAAGCATTGCAGATCTTAGGAGGTACATATCGTATATTATAAAATAATTCAAATAGTACGCGCGCTCTGATTGGCCATAAAACCATTTTACATGAGCGTATGTAAACACGGTTTTCGTTCCTCTTTCATTAGTTATTTTATAAAAGAAATGTTACTCGATAAGCTGGAAACCACTCCGCTTCGCGTCGTGGTTTCCTACGCTTATCTCGTGTTCTCCCAACCTCCCGCGTGTTTACATCAGGCTATGTAAACACGGAAACCATTTTACATTTCTTCATTAAGTGATTACGTGCAATTTTACATAGTGTTGATATGATTAATAATGGTAATAGGAATGGGTGGTGTCCAATTTGGTCCGAGAGAGAATGGCTACTCATTCCCATGATTATCTTATGTTTCTCCTCAGGCCTTGGTTATATGAAAGAATATCCGTATGAAAGAGTCATGAGGGACTCAAGAATCTTGTTGATATTTGAGGTTAGCAATATGTTATGGGTGAATTTTGAGACTCTCTGTAAAGAGGTTTTTTTTTAGGGAAAGCATTTATTTTCGTTTTTATTGGCGAATGTTTGTTTATAAAACCGGACACCCCCTACTGAAAATCTTACCTGCCTTCCCATTTTTCCTATGTTTAACAGGGAACAAACGAAATCCTCAGAATGTACATAGCTCTTGCAGGAATGCAGCATGCTGGAAAACACTTGCAAGAAGTATTAAAGTGAGTTGTTACCTAAGGAACGTTGAAGTGACCGTACATTGATCATTGTATTGATATTGTGAGGAGAAATTATTTCTTGGTCGCTCTTGGGAGGTAAATGGTTAAGGAATTTTCCCTCAGTTGTGCTCCTAACCATCATTTTGAATGTTTTACCAGATACCTAAAGAACCCTTTTGGAAACGTTGAATTCATGACGGAATTCTTGAAAAAGAGAGCTCTCTATGCCCTAGGACTAAAAGGAAACCTGCAGGGAATTGCCAATGTTTCACACCCACAATTGGCGGTAAGGCACAGATATTTTTTGTATTCGAGATAAGTGGAAGTGCAGTGACTAAACCAACGACAGAATCTATGTGAGCAGGTCCAGTGTTCTTGAAAACTTGAGCGCGCAGGTAGATTATAGTGTCGAAAGTAATCGGCGTTCACCATTAGACTACGGACCCAGTGGCTCTCGTTTTTGCAGCAGGATGGTGGAAGATATTTTTTAAGGGGGAGGGAGGTTTTGTTTCTTTTTTCAAGTGCCTAAAATTACTTGACGCTGCGTTTAGAATGTTATCACTATTTGTAGTTGCTGAATTTTCTCCGTCGGTGACTACGTCATATTTTATTCTACTTTTTACAGGACAGCGTCAAAAAATTGGAGGAGAATATCGCTGACTTTGGAAGGATATCTGAAAACTTGCTTTCCAAATTTGGAAAGGTAATTTATATTAGGAAAAAGGTTAATCTCTCTACCCTATCATCACTATTATTGTCAATTTGTACAGAATGATTGCGCGCGCGTAACACTTAAAGTAAACCAATCATAACTCAAATCGGTAAAGCGCGCGAGAAATCAAGTAAGTCAGGTGTAGGTCCGCTTCTGATTGGTTCTTTCGACTAAATTCATCAGTGCTTCCTAAAGCCATATTTTTCCATATTTTGTGACCGCATAATTTTCAAGCAAGATTTCTGCATCCAGCGTACTTCATTTAAAGATTCGCAGACTTGTTGAACACCAAGTTTCCCTTAGAATTTTTTTTTCGGTTAACGGCACCTTGTTTGTTTATTTATTATATTTTTTAGAATATCATCGAGGAGCAATTTCTGCTGAAAAGAATGGCAGATGTAGCCATTAACTTGTATGGTATGACGGCTGTAATTTCCAGGGCAACCAGGTCTATCAACCGGGGCTCACCGAGCGCCAGTCACGAGGTACATAGCAGTTGTACATTTATGTCGGACGGACAGAATTCTGACCGTCTAACGGACTGACTGACAGACTAACGGACTTACCACGTTTGATCAGGATTAAGTAAATTTCAGACAATTGACCTAACAACTGTCGAGTCTTGTCCTGTTACTGAGGGACGGACCAGAATGACTAAATTATTGCTGAAATGACTGACTCACTGGCTGACTAAATGACTGACTGACTAGCTTACTGAGCAGCTGACTGATCAACTGACAGACAGTCAGACGGACTGATTGATTGACTGACTCTTTGTCTGACTGACAGACAGACCCTTTGACTGACTGAATGACTGACTGACTTACCTACTGTCCGATCAATCGACCACCGACCGACTGACCAAACGCTCATGTTACTAACTTACTGAATAAATTAAAGGCTGGCTTACTGATTGTGTGTGTGTGTGACAAACTGAGTGTTCAAATCCCTGTTTCCTCGACTGCATCAGTGTCTGTCCATTAAACTAACTGACTGACTGACTGACTTATATTACCCACTGACCGACTAATCGAGATCCCAGCTGGCTGAAAGACACAACCACCATCTTATTCAACGACTGCCTGTGCCTTGCAGTGAAACGTAGTTCCATGTTTAACTTCATGCCCTGTGTGTATTCCTCCGGCAGGCACTTCTCGTAGATACAATATGCAAAGAAAAATATCATGCAAACAACACTCTCCTCAAAGAAGTCAAATCAGGTGAGAGAGAGAATCAATATTTAAACTTTGGAAAACACATGACACTAATTTATATGTAGCGGATAAATTAGCGTAATCTTCATAAATTTTCTTGACAGAAATTACGGATAAATGTCATTATTACATGCCAGGGTTAATGTTGGGTTAAGGGAGGGGTAGGTGTGTAGTTGTTCAGATACTGACATTGATCCTAAATTACCATCGATCGAAGGAAGCCTCAATTCACAATTCTCCTTGGTAACCGTCCTCGAGGCGCGCCCTATCTCAGTAATTCTCAGATGAAAGCAAAACAGCAAAGAAGGGAGAAGATAGTTGACCAAATGTAGCGAAGATGGTCGAAAAAGGAGATCATTCACACGGACTGAAAGCCAGGAAACTGAAAAAATTTAAGAGCACTTTTATGATACGCCTAAAAAACCTAACGTGATATAGCAACTCAACTGATTGCCAAAAAGTGTCATTCTCCCTACGCAAAGAATTCTTAAATTCGAGCCTTTTTTCGGTCACGGGACATTTATTTCTTTGTTTCTCGATGGAGAATGAAGGATTCGTTGATCACGCGAGAATCAGAAGTTATCCAAAGTTCCCGATCAAGATTCGAAAACGACCAATGATAGTGCAACGTCGCCGTTGCAGATATTTGCAGAGATTTTCGGAAATCCTGAGGACTTTCCGACGATTGCCGACAATCACCCGAAGTATTGATCGCATTTATATATCAAGATTTATTTGAACTCTCTTCCCTTTTAATCTTGCAGGCACGAAGAGTAATGGAGACGAACAGCTCAAGAAGATTGCGGAGGAAATTTTCAAAAGTGGTGGTACTGTGACACCACATGCTCTAACTGTCTGAAGACCTTATAATTTATCCGAGATGTAAATAATTATGTAAATAAATTAATATGAAAGTTTTAAACCGGAACGAAGATAAACTCGAAGACAAACGAAAGAGACCCATTGCAGGCCTATGAAAATAAATTCGAACTCGAGGGCACAGTAATAAGAAATGATCATCATTTCACTAAGATATAAATTTCTTTTCGTTAGTCCTGCTGCCGAGCTAATATTTTCCAGGTATGATGGGGAACTCTTTCTCAATGAATTGAATGTTATTTCTGCACCCTTAAAATACTTTTTTACATCATAATCCTTAAACTCCCAAGATCTGATTGTTAATTCTCCTCTCTAGCTGCTACACATTTCCTTGTGAATGAGTTTCGAGAATTTGGTGTAAGATCAAGATTACAACTTGTACCTGATAAGTTTGAGTTTTCTCATTACCTGTTCGCAGGATAATGTATGAATACTGTACGAAGAAGTTGCATGTTGATCAATTCTGGGAGACAAAGGGTTAAGGTGTCACAGGCAAGAAATTAACGTTATGTTAAATTTCACAGCAATCGACCACGTTTTAAATTGTTTTTATTCTGCTAAGCACTATTTTTACTTTCAAAACTTATTTTTTTTGTTACCAACTCTTACTATTCTAAGCAACGTTACTGCATGTTATCTTCATACAAGATAACATGAGCAATCGAAATAAAGTTGCAGACTTCTTACAGCTACCTGAGTATCTTTATTATTTTGACATTAATTAATGGATTGGTGTAGATATGTATATTTGGAGAAATATTTGTCTCACATGAGAAACCATCTTTTACCTTCTTTTCCAAATAACTGAAAAATTATATCACCGCCCTTCGGGAATGAGTACACGCTCCCTTCCTGTTGTCTGCTTTCGGGGAGGACTGGACTCGAGAGAGCGGTTCGCTAACTTTTTACCCCTTAAGATCAGTACGCATATTCTCCTTATTGTTCTCCATACATTTCCTATGATACTGAGAAGAAGAATTTGTTGAAAAAATCAGAAGCTTCCTTAGTTGGTGATCATTTCCTCTATTTTCATGACTATCATCTTTGATTCAGGGATAATACTGTAAGGAGAACTTAATTAGGTGCCAGTCACTCCAGGGGGTTAAAAGATAAACCCTTCCAAATGCACCTCCCATCTGTCTTCTAAGCATCTTCTTATGTTCTTCCTCTCACGGTACGGTATCATTTATTGAGTGATTGTTCATTCAGAAACCTCCCACTTTTCCCCAAACCACAACTTAAGTAAATATATTTTTCACCACTATAATTTCTAACCCAAGCGTTAGTAAAAAAGAGCGAATTAGTAAACGGCGCGATGGAAGCGGCAGAGTGAAAAATCGAGGGAGACTGAAGTCGGGCCTTAAGAGCCACGCCTCTTTCTCTAGCGCGACCCGACACCAGCCCCCCTCCTTTACCCTGCTTTTAGGGGATCGGTTTTTCCTCTTCCCCAAGCCCCCATTCGAATCAAATTCCATTAAGATTTAAATTTGTTTGTTAGTGATAAAAAGGTAATCAGAAATAAAAAATGAATCGTCTCTTAGTTAAAGGTACTTCAGGACCCCTCCTAAGCCCCCTGGTGTAAATCTCTAATTCATTTACGTTTTACGGTTCTTTGCGGTCTGAACTGTTTCACTTGCAAAATCATTTCACGCGCGAGAGGAAAACCTATTACCCTCGCGTGTACCTCACCTTTCGCGTTCGTTTCGCGCTTATTTTCGCCTGCCTGAAAAATGCAACAAAAATTTCGCTGCTCTAGAAGCAAGCTGGATCTGATATCACTGCACAGGGATCAAATCAAAATTGCAGTGCACTCTCTCTCACGATATTCGAGACCTTGAATTACCATTTTGTTCAAGCTATTTTCATTATTCGCTTCTGAGAGTACTAATTAAAATCTAAATGCGCTTTACGGCCGGAAACGCCGTCAGGAAGTATTAAATATGTTTCTTGCTCTCTGCTCTGTATAGCGGCAGCATCCTGTATTCACTAGCTTTACATTTTCCTACAAGAATATCAGCGCATATTTTTTTTGCGTCCTTTTTACGTTCCCTGCTTAAAAAAAATACAAGGTTCATTTGGTGCATTTTGCGTTCTTTGAATCTTGCCTTTCCGCATCATAAGAGAAAAACGATGCATTAGTTTTATTGTATTTTCCCTCCAAGGTTTCTCTTTGGTTTTGTTCATTTATTGATGCAATATCTAAATAAAGCTGTTTAAAGAATGATTTAAATAATGCAAATATTGTTTATTCTTGTTTTCTTAGTTCACGGGGGAATTCATCGCACACAATGCTTTTTTCTGTTTCTGATTCTTGATTAGTCAGCTTAGCGTGCATGCAAAACTCTGCGCCAAATCTCTGACGTATTAAACACTCATTGGCTGGATTTATTAATCCATATTCATCCCAAATCGAAGATTTTTTGGCAGACCACGCTTTTCTTCGAGGAGTAAAGATGCGTCTTGTCTCATAACGTCGAAAAATTAAAGATGCGCTTTGGAGGGGGAAGACGGTTGACCTGCAAAGAGAAGCATCGGAGAGCAGTGTTATGTTACTACTGCACAAGGTGAGCATTCGTTTGGAGGATATTGCCTTCAACTCCTTCAGAAAGCAGAGCAAGTCCCAGCATTTTGCTAAAACGAGTGAACACGTGTCAGTTGTTTGCTCCGAGCTGCTCTTCATGGACACGAAATTAGACTTGGTAAAGGTGTCGGTCTCCGTAGAAGCAAAATCATTGATTGGAGAAAACATTTGCTTAAATTCATAGTTACCCTGCGGCCGAACACTGATTTTTAAATGCTTTATAAGAAAGGAATGAAATTCTGTAGTTTCGCGACACGTGGATTTGTCAAGTCTGTCTTCAAATCCCTTCCCCAAGGAATTGTACGGAACTTTATAAAGAAAAATGAGTACAACACGTATTACTTAACTCTCCAGATCATATGTTGTGTTCAACAGTTCCTGATCATATCGCTTCATTCCTATTTACAGGAAGAGAAATGTTGTGAGGAGTATAGAAGAACAAAGATCTGGCCAAGAGGGGACACTGGAATCGCTGAACATAAAAAGAGGACACTGCAAAGATAAGAACTTTATTATTGTAGAACAGTAGCAAAAATGGTGGCCTTCTAGAAATCTTCAGTACTGTTGCAAGATATTTCTCTTTCGCCGAATGTCTTTTGAGCTTTATAGAGGAGGAGATGCCTGCAATTGAACCAGTTATTCGGTTAGTGAATAGTTTTCGACCGGCCACCATTTTTGGAGTAGTTTTGTCATGATACATATTGTTAAGCAGATCTTGAGCGATCAGTGATTCATTTTAGAACGCTAGCCTTAATTTGAGCTTATATATCAAAAAAATTCGCTTCATCGCTTTGACAAAAGTAGCAATTTGACATCGATACAAACTTGGCCACAAGACAGTGACTATGAAATTGGTGATTCCGTGAAACTGATCACTCAATTTTCTTTGCTTAACAGTTGGTATCACTGCTATATCTCGCTTGATGTCGCAAGAAGGTGATATTTGATAAGGTGGCACTGTAAACAAAAGGCTTCAAACCAAAACTTATGAATAAAAAAATTCACATCTTGAGATTAGCGGAATTAATTACAACAGTAAACAATAATATCTAAAACCACTATGCTGATCACCATTGAATTGCAAACAAGTCTATCGACTGGAACTTCGTTCAACTGAGAGCTCATCGCAATAGCTGATTTAAGTGACTAAATTTTGGAAAGCTGATGTGTTTACCCTGAACACTCCTCAACATGACAACATCTGCTATTCCTGTACAAACTCGACTTCATTACATTACATGACCAGACAGAACAATCTAAAGTTACCGACAGATGGAAACTATTCAGTTGGATGACTGAAATATATTACTTGAGGCTAACAGCCGAAAAAGAACACAGATAATTTTACGACTCAAACTTTAATAACCGACTGAGAAACTTAGTCATTCACCTAACTTTGACGATGACTTTTGCTTAATTTGCCAAACGTCAGTCGCTGACTACGACAATAATCCTTTTTACTTGAGACAAACCTTACCCTGACGATCATACAAAACGATGGGTTAAAATGCTTCACAGAGGCAACGGAAAACGTCAGAAAATAGTTTGAAAAAAGAAATCGATTTCATTAATAATAGAAGTTTCATTCTCGATATGAACCAAAAGAAAACTCCAACTTTTGCTCACCAATAAAGTGTTTGTTTGTCATAATTTAGAGAAAAAACCAGCCCAGTGCCATCTTAATTCTTAAATACTCATCTTTTTCCCATCAAATGAGTTTAGTTTTATCTTTAGCTTGGTAGCTCTTTGTTTTAAACTCTAATGCCTGGTCAAAAGATCTTTCAAATGGCGTTTGCTTTGAAATGTATCGTAATGCAAACCAGCTGCGAACAAAGTAACATTTAGATTTTCGTGTTTCGAAGATTTTTTGTTTGAAATTAGCATGGATACCTGGAGCGCTGCGTAAATGTTTGAAAAATATATAACAAAATCAGCAAAAAACAAAAAGGTTCTTCTGCTGATAAACAATGACAAAGACCATTGCCGAAATGAAACTGTATAAGAGCAACGTTGCCTCAGTTCTCCTTCAAAAAAATTAAGGAAACATTCTGATGGGTCTGGAGAAATCTTTGGCTTTTTCTGAGGGGTTGTTTGCCCACGAACACAAATTTTCGCTAAGAAATATAGATTTTCATCTTAGTAATACCTCCTCGTATAGGAATGTCTTACTTGACCTTTATGAAGATGATAAACGGTTTCGCAAATCATAAAATAAAAAACAAAGTGGACGAACAGAGGAAAGCTAATTTGGTGAGAAACAATGAAACAAAACTATTACCAAACATTCGTTGTGAAAAAGCATCATTGTCTTTTGTCAGAAGAATTTTCAAACAAGTGTAAGATCTAGTGAGAATTTGGCCTGTTGTAACCTTTTTAAACTCGAAAATAAACATCGCAATTAATGTTGCAGACGTAGTAACTTGTCGATTCACTGGTGCTTTCATTTGATCCAGAATTATTCCAGCTAAATAAGGGACAAAACCCTTTGACATAACACTCGTGCAAAATTCTAACATTGTCTTTGAATTATTGTACGAAAGTAAATTTTGGGAAAATTTTTCCTTACAGCGACGAATAAGAAAATTTTCGAAATCATGTCAAGTAATTAAGTATTGGCTTTAAGTGGACTTAAAATTTTGGCAAGGAAGACTTGCTAATCTTGCAAGAAAACAAGAAAAGCAATTGGGATATTCATCAAATAAGTTCCTTTTGTGTCCCCTTGTTAAAACGTTTGCAAATTTGTAACGGAGAATAAAGATATTCAAATTTTAAGCCAGAATGTTCGTTCATCTTATCACAACACCTGAGATGCATAGTCTGTTATGTCAATTGAGTTATCTTGTGAATTTGAATTAATGCAGCATTCGTTTTTTTTTTGCCGGCTTATGTACGGTTTCTTTTCTGTCTTTTTTTAACGTTTCGTTCAATCGACAAATTAGGTTGCACTCGTGAAAAGCAAATACATTTTGATCTTTGGAACAGGCATTAGATTTTAAAATGATATTGTAGCTACTTTATTTGTACCCTAAGTAAAAAGAACTTTAGTGCTCTCAGTCGGTGTAACACAGGAATATAAAAGAAAAGTGCCTATAAAATTTTGTGATTTTGAT